CCTTCGAAGGCCAAGAGGCCTTCCCACTTTGTATTTGCAGGATCACACACTGATCATTTCCTTGATTGTCGATATGGGCTTTTTCACCCGGCCCACGAGGGCGCGGTTTTCCTGTATAGTAAGTTGTTGAAGGTCCGGCACGCCCTAGGGCACAGCGGTGTAGGAATAATAATATATCCAAATGTACAATAACGTTAACTAACGTAACGTTAATTGATAAGCGAGCCGTGGGTATAAGCGAGTCGTGGGTATACCACCATACCGTGATATACCATCCTCAATTGCAACACATCTACACTAGGAACTAATTACAATTTCAGTACATCGGAAACAGCTGAATCAGATGATCTGCAATCTCCTGGCAAGTGCGTACATTATGGCCAGGCTTGCCGCACACACCACAACACCAAACTTTCGTACGAGCCCTCCCTGTGCCACTACCATCTTGCTGTCTTTCTTGCGTTGCCTCCCCACCCGCAGCCTTCTGCTCCAGTAAATGTTTTGCATCTTGTATAGTAAGTGATCTTCCAAGCTGCACACGTGTTTCTTTGACTCTCCGGCGCTTGCTTAATGCCTCGTTGGCCTTACGGAGCGAAGAGACTGTAACGGTCCCAGGAGTATATTGCAACTAGCTGGTGACGACTCTACGAGTTTGCCTCGAATGGAGAAAGAAGAAGAAAAGAGAGAACTAGATGACAGGAAGACAGGGCAGCTCTTATATGCTCCGGAACACACAGACACTGCCTGCCTCAGGATGACGTTATCATGATACCACGGCCGAGGGTTGCCGAGGCCATCATGGGCTCAGCCCATCACAGGGAGGTTGCACTCGGTATACCAGTTAGCGAGGTGGTACTGCGCAGCCAAGATGATGAAGGGAGGGGTGGCCCAGCCGAGGGCATTGACTCCCTGGATTACCGTTGCCCATTTGCGGTTGCCAGGCTGAGCTAGTTTCGCCCTCCTAAAACCATCCGAGGTTGTGACAACCATACCAGCGAAGATATTGCCCATCATAAACTCAAACTCGTCGAAGTTGTAGACATCGTCATCCACGATACCATACTTGGCCATAATGTTCCATACATGTAAACCACGGGGTAATGATCTTTGGATCCTCACACTTCGCCCTGTGGTAGTCGTATCTTCGCGAATAACACGTACGGGGCTCTGGTTGGCGTTTAACGAAGTTGTAAGCCCAGCGTTTACCGACAGGGGGCGCGTCGCGTTCGCGTAGCAGATGGTTGGCCATATCTTCCACACCACACAATCTAGGTGGGAATGCGCGTACAGATAGTTCAATTACATACTGAACTAATGCCTTCTCTTCCAGATCTGTGAGCTTGCGCGAGTTTGGCGTGGTGTCGCGTCGTGCAGGTCGGCCAGCGCGTTGGTCGCGGAGGGCTGAAGCTGGCACGTCATAGAGCTTAGCTTCAGCCTCCAGCCCTAGTTTCTCATCGTTTCGAAGAGCTTCAAGGGCCAATTTTACCCTTGCTTTTTCTGAAGGAGGAGGCAAAGTGAGTTGTAGAGAAGATTGATATTGGGACGAAAAATGATGTGTTGCGCGAAAGGAGCCACGACTCGCTTATACCCACGACTCGCTTATACCCACGACTCGCTTATACCCACGACTCGCACGACTCGCTTATACCCACGACTCGCTTATACCCACGACTCGCTTATCATGTACGTACGTTATACGCTCGTCAAGAAATGACCGCCATCCTACAGGATGCCGATACAAACATCGGTGAATACATGGATCGAAGTGCACGCCTCCTCGATGTTATTCCACTTCTTGACCGACCCGCCCCCTCCAAAACCTTGTTCCAGAACCCAATGCCGTCGCAGGTGTTGCCCTTGTTCACCCGGACAAACTCAGCAGTTGCTGACCATGCCGGGGTGCGCGGGCGCGGGCGTCGCGATGCCGTTGTCGGGCGGCCGCGTCGTCGTCGGCGTCAGCGTGCCTCCAATGACACCGATACAGACGTAGGTGTGCGCCTGGAGCGATGTGCACGCCTCCTCCATGTTGTTCCATTGCTTGATGTACCGGCTGCCGGGGACGTTGTTCCAGAAGGCAATACCGTCGCACGTGTCACCTGGGTTGACGTAGACGAATTTGTTACAGTTGCTGACCATGCCCGGGTGCGCCGGCATTGCAACATTCAGGGTGCTGCTGCCCGTGGATCCTAGGACATGGAACCTTTTGAACTCATCCGGGCGAGCGGGCCGACGAGAGGTCGGTGGAAGGGGGATGGATGGAAGAGGCAATGACCATGAGACTGGGCCAATCGGAACCAGCGCATCGCACCTTGTTCCTGCATGAATGCCAAAATTAAGAATCTTCCCCTGCCCAAGTTTGGTCCCAGCGTTCACTTCTGGTCTTCTACCTATGTATCCTATATGCAGGGGAACATGTGATCTTGCCGAAGGCCGTCCAGATCTTCGACCTATCCCGGCCTTGTTGTCTGCTTGGGAAAGGGCGCCATTAAGTCTAAGGTAGTTGCGAGGGCCGTAGTCGCTTTGGAAGGTACAACTCCTCGACCCTCTACATATAATAAACGCGACCTAGTCTGCTAGTTAGCCTATTAACACCTATCCTCGGGCTTTACAATGCTTTAAGTCTATCTTATCCCACCTCTATCTTACAAACCTGGCATAATACCCCCGCTCTTTCCAGCATTGTCTAATTGTCAAGGGGCATAAAAGACGAAGGGACACCTGGCGAACCGCCGAGATAAGTCTAGGCGTATACATTAAGGGAAAATCTTGTAGAATTACTCCCTTTAATATCCAGTTTGAGGGCGAACAGCCTTAGCACCTAAGTTGCTAAAGGTAGCTAGTTCAAGTTGCTTCTTCAACTCCGCGCCAGTGGTAAAGGTCAGGGACGCCGAGAATAGAGGAACCGGTCTGTTGGAAAGTCGTGGCACTGAAAATTCGGACGCTCAGCTGCAATTGCCCTGCTGTTGGATGCATGGCTGCCCAACTGAGCGTCAGGCAACGTGAGGGGTAACCAGGGCGCTGGGCAACGAGGTCAGGGCGATTCCCCCTTCGCTGGAGACGTGAGAGAAGAACAACCTTCAATCAAGAACATCTGGGATGCTCCGAGCATCTCAAAATCTGACTGTTGTAAGCTCCCATCATCTGTGTGATCACCGTGGAATCGTGGCTGTTGGTCTTCCAACACAGTCTCAGCGTCTCCGGTGAAGTTACGTCAGCTCCTGCACTGACAACCAGGGCCACGTAATCAGAGGCAGTAGCAAGGGAAGTACGACAGGAGACGGTGATAGAATTGACCGAGGTTAGTATGACTGAATTAGAGCGATTGAGCCCGCCGGGGATGGAGACAAAGCTGCGACTGTGAAAGAGAATCGGCGCGCGCAAAAGGAGTGCGAAAAAGAAGCACAAAAAAAAGGTTCACGCTATGCAGGACACGGGGTGGCGGTATTGTTGCGAAAGGGGTCGGCTTTGGCTTCGAAGCAAAACAAAACGGGACGTTTTCCTGGAGCACAGAAGCAAGACGGTAGTGATTTTTCTGCCGGCAGGAAACGTGACGCATTTCGTTGTGCCTTAGGCAAATTGTCGCTGGATCTTAGGGAGTGGAGCTTGATGCTTAGGGCAACAACAATGCCACAATTTCCGGGGTAGGAAACCCACGTGGATTAAGATAGCTACAGTACATTACCTGAAAAGGTACGAAATGGAAAAAAGAGAAAAGCTCCAACTATCCGTCCATGAACGCCGAGCAACCTGAAAACGAGACTGCCACCTCCTCCTCTATGTATCAAGCGGAGAGCACCTGAGGGGGCGTAAACCTTCTCATGTGCGTGTTGCCAGCAACCTCTGGTTGGCGTCAGTGTTTTGGTTCTCTTTCGAGGGACTCTCTGTAACACCCAACTGCCAAGGACGATCACACAGCGAGCAACCTGAAAACGAGACTGCCACCTCCTCCTCTATGTATCAAGCGGAGAGCACCTGAGGGGGCGTAAACCTTCTCATGTGCGTGTTGCCAGCAACCTCTGGTTGGCGTCAGTGTTTTGGTTCTCTTTCGAGGGACTCTCTGTAACACCCAACTGCCAAGGACGATCACACAGCGATCCCGCTCAAATCAGCCCACAGCAATGACGGCCGGTACCAGGGAAAACTTGTACGCATCGAAGGCCACAAAGTGCAGGATTCTCACCCGAACCGGGAGCCGGGCGAGAAGCTTCGAGGTCGATCATAGCGACCGCGATTGACGGTAGTAGATGACCGAGAGTATTTGGTGGGAGGACGCGCATCTTCACTGCTGTCTTCCCGGCCGATGCTGTTTGAAGACCCGAGCGAAGGTCAGGGTCTCTAGGTTTGAAATTGATTACTGAGTCGACCTGCTTCAACCGATCTTGGAACATGGAAGCGCTGCCGCGAAATTCCATGTGTAGCGCTTAGGGATTCCAGGTGAAACATGGCTTTATGAAACAGAAAGCCTGGACCGGTCTTCCAGGTTCATGACTCCACGGTCTCCACTTACTTGGATTAGGCTTTTCCAATGAGAGCCGGGCACCAAAGCGATTGGCTGCTTCGGGTGCTCTTGCCTCCTCACCAGTGTCTCGGCTGCAACCGCCTTTTTAACGGCCTTACGGATGTACACTGTAGACTCGAAGCCTGTTTCGGCGCTATGCCAGGTCTGTTTTTCGACTCCTTCGGCCGAGCCACACTCCATCAACCCTTCAGCCCAGGGGCAGGTCAAACCCAGAAAAAAAGCCATTTTTCGCCCGTTTTCATCCCCCAATCTCCGTACACGTGTAACTATCACGCTTTTGAGGCTTTGCCGACCTCGCAAACGAATTGCCTCCTTTCCAGAAATTTGGACGAGGGAGGGTCCATTTAGTGGACCACATGGAGATGAAGTCTGGGGTAAAGATAAGGTAGGTAGGAACTGAGTCAGTTTCAACAGAATGGTTCTTCCCTCAAATGCCTCCGGTTTTGGGTAACGTGCAGTTGCCGTACCAGGTATCTTACCCGACCGTTCAAAGAGCGATAACTTTGTTTCCGGGCTGGCGGCTGGTCCTATCTGGACGCTTATCCAGTGCCCTTGAAACTCAAGAAACCCCTTCACTCCCTGTCTTGGCGAAGGAGGCAAACCAACTCCTTGGGGCTGGGCCTCGCGGGCGACGGGTACAAGTTCATACTTTGACTGTACGTATTGTTGTCGATCAAGACAACCCTACAAGTGAGCTCATTCCTCAGCCGCCAGAAGAGGTTCTATGCCTTCAGTAATAAGCCAAGGCACAGATGTCCAGATGCCCAGTCCCCCAAGAGATGCGGCTCTGGAGTGCAGCTCTTGGACGCTTGGCCTGCCGGCGGATTTGAGCCCCCCAAGCTTTGGCCGAGGTCGCCAAGCCGGCCAAGCTTCACATGGCGTGGCACCTTTTTGCTTGGCTGTCGCACCTCAACCGCCACTGCTCAACCCCCTTTCTTGGCTGGAGATTTTGGCGAGGAAATGGCCTGATGTATGCGTCTTCCAAAGCATTTGCCATCACTTGGTAAAACAGCATGGGGCTAGACTCCCCTCTGATGCACGACAGGCGATCGCAGACAGCGGCGTGGAACTACCCAATGACTAAGAATGTGACGGTGATGGGAACGGGGTTGCTACCAGTTAGGATGGAGGTCGAGACTTTGGGTCTCGCCAGGGATTGACGATACCACCAGGCTGGTCAGCCCGGTCAAGAATACAAAAGATCGCCGACTCCCGCATGGCGTTTAGGAGATGAGATCTTATGTTGTACATTCTCCTGTTTTTCTTTGCGGTCTCTGTTGAAGGTCTGGCACCGTCTTCTTTCTTTCTGTCTATCCATTTCTTGGGTGGTTGGTTTCATTCGTTGTTTTTAGATACCCTGTCGTCTTTTGTCCTTTCTTTTTTGAATCTTCGAGATGCGGTCAACACTTCTGGCTCTGGCCCTGGCGGCGTCGGCGACGCGGGTCTTCGCATCATGCGCCCACGGGACATTCCTACGGCCCCGTGCCGAGAACGGAACGGTTGAAATCGCGACGTTTGGATACACCGGCAACATTGTACGCAGTCCGCGAACTACCTCCGGCATTGACATACTGACTAACATGACCCCCAGGGTCCACTCAACTGGGCGGCACTGGAGGCCCCGGTCAACAGCGTGTGCGCCACCGGCACCAGGCAGTCACCCATCGACATGGTCGACGGCGTGTTTACCCTCCTCCAGGGGTCCGACATCCAGCTGACCGTCAACGACATGCCCGAGGGCGCCGACTTTGAGAACCTGGGAACCACAGTAGAGGTCATCACGCAGGGCGGAACGCTCCAAGTCGCCGACAAGACTTTCGAGTTGCAGCAGTTCCACTTCCACCTGCCGAGCGAGCACCTGGATGCCGGCACCAGCCAAGCGAGTATGTCACCAAAAACACCACCACCCTTCTGCCATAATAGATAATAACCGTTCACAGTGGAGATGCACATGGTCTTCCAGTCGGCAGCCCAAGAAATTGCCGTCATCGGCGTCTACATCAACGTCAACGACGCACCCGCTGCTTCTGCCGCCGCCGCTGCTGCTGCCACTACCACCAAGACAAAACGCTCGCGCTCCCGCATCTTCGGCCGCCAGGACCCAGCATCAAACAACACCGCCGCCGCACCCGCAACCACAACCCCAACAGCCCTCCTCGAAACCCTCTTCTCCACAGTCGATCAGATTTCCACACCAGGAACCAAAGTCAAGACCCCGCCCCTGGTCATGTCCGAGGTCGTCGACTTCCTCAAGGCCAACGCCTTCCAGATCTACTCGGGCTCCCTCACCACGCCGCCCTGCTCCGAGGGCGTCAGCTGGCACGTCTCAACCGCCCGGCTGAGCGTCACCCCTACGTCGTTCGCCAAGGTCAGGGACGTGATCGGGTTCAACGCGCGGTTCCCTCAGAATACGCCGGGCCAGCCGAATATCTTAATGCTCTCGGCCTTGGGGTCGGCCGCAGCTGCTGTGGCGGCGGCCGCGGCGCCGGCTGCGCCAGTTGCTTGAAGGGAGGGCTGGTGTTGGTGGTTGTGTGGATGGAGGAAGGGGAGGCGGTTGTCTTGTATGGGTTCAGCAGCAGGCAGGAAGATGATAGAGGACGCGATTTATGCGAGTATGGCAATAGACGGGCGGAAATTAGGTATTTGGATTCCTCGCTTACCTGGTAACTTGCCCGGTTTGTTCCAGGTTCTTTGTTCGTGTCCGATATGTTGTGTGGTTGCTGGTTACGGATGGTTACAACGTGGTCCAAGTCTTCAACAATGTGAATCATGTTCCGTTCAACGCCTTTGCGACATATATCTCAGTTTCTTCTGGTATTTAAGTCTTAGAGACTTAACGTTAGTGCATTTGATATATCACAGGTATCATATAATGACACTAAAACTAGAGTCACGGGACCGTGATTGGAAGTGAGATATGAATAAAATGTTGACCTACCGAACCTTACTGTAGTCAGATTCTGACTGCACTTACCTCTAGGCCATCTTACTGTAGTAAGCTCTTTTGCGGTTGATGCAGCCGCCCTCAGCTACCCGCGTCTAATGAAACTATTGCCGAACTGGTTGAGGTCGATTCCAACTAAACAGGCTAGGAGCGTTTCCGCTTCACCGAGGTCTTGAGTGCCTCCTCATCGGTCTTGTTCTCATTGGTGCAGCCACAACGCAAAGAGCTCGTCGACTCATACGAGATCAGCACTTGCCCACAGACACCGGGCGCTTTGCATGGCGTCTTGCGTTGGGACTCGACTTCGATAATCCGGTCGCAGTCGATGCAGACCACGGTTAACTTGTCGTGGCCACACATCGTTGCGTTTTGGAAGTTTGGGCGGTGTTCTTGAGTATGTTGTGCTGAAAGTTTGTGCAGGTGAAAGTGCAGGAGCTCGAAGTGCTTGATGATTCGTACCAACATAGTTGAGAGAGACGTTGACTTATATAGAGTTGACATCTGCTTGAACAAGTTACCAACTAGTATTCTTACTTCCGGCACTGAAATCCATGCTGAAGTGTTGTGTTGAATCAGACAAAGGAAGGACAGCCTTCACACAACTGTATTGTTTTCTACAATGGATGGCCGCACATTCGAGAACAACACAAAAAAAAGCGGCCAAAGCGTGTTATTGATCACAGGTCGCCTTCTTTGTTATACTCTCTAGCACTCCTAGCCTCTTCTGGACAATGAAGAACAGCTACAAGTTACAGAGTTTAGAGCCTGCAAAAATGGTGGAGGTAAGTTCCTAGTCCATTTTGCGAATGACCTTTCATAGACCAATGGTGTGACTGACGGTACTTGTCTGATTGACTTCGTCTATAACATCCCAAGCCATATCTCTCTAGCCCTAAATATCTCAAGGAACGCAAGCCCACATCAGCGCCGTAAAACAGCCATCTTCGTATCCTTGTCACTCCTCGACCCAAGTCTGTTTCCCTTGTTCCAAACCCAAGCTCCAAGTGGTAAACCATATTCCGGCCGAAATCTATTCTCCCTAGGTACCTTACCAATACACAAAATTGCGTTCTCACAGTACCCGCCGTCCAACCGCTATACGCACCGCCGTCCACCACCTCTTCTTCCAAGCTTCCGAGTTGAGCAGTCCTTAAAATATACTTCTTCCAAACTTCAGATCCCTTTTCCCCCTGCGCTAGTTTCCGTCGTGGCCCGACTGGTCCCTCGCTGAACCCTTCATTCCCCCGACCCACCGTCCGCTGACCCTTCGGTCAGATCCTAGTCGACAGGCCCTTCGCCAGGCTGCCGCCATTGGCAGAGTACGAGTCCTGGATGACAAGCAACACACGCAAGTTGCTCCCTTGCCTCGCCCAGATCCAGCCCTTCTGACCTCGGCCATGTACTCGCGGCTGCCGACTCGTCGCCTGCCGGGCCGAGAGCAGGGGCTCGATGACGGCTATCACCCCCTTGAGCTTGTCTGTGATGCGAGCCATCCCTGTCGGGTGGTCTGGGCATGGCCCTCAAGAATGTGGCTGTTGGAAGCGGGGCTGGCGACTTCAACGAGGCGGTTGCTAATATCAGCGGCATCACCGGCAGTGCTGCTCATGGGCAAAATGGTGTTGACAGAATGGCCTTTGAAAGTAACGTCCATGATAGTATGGCCATTGGAAGTATGACCCCTGGCAACATGATCGTTGACGTGACTTACGTTGTTTCTGGGGAGGACGGGGCGCTTTCCCTTCGCTTCGAGTTTCGCCGTGAAATATGCCAGCATGCGGCACGCCTCGTCGGGAGAGACATATTCAATGTCTAACCCAGAACTCACCAGGGTCTCCGCCTTGTTCGCCATATGCTTGAAATGGACATGCATGTCCCACGCGTCGTCCTTGGCGACATCGACCTTCTCAGGGGAGGATTCCTCCTTATGTGCTCACTTGAAGCCTGCTTTCAAGCCTCTTTGCTCGCCTTCTGTTTCTTTTCGCCTGCCGGTATGCTTCCATGCTGGCGAAGCCGAACCTGCATGATCTGCTCCTTGGGAAGGGATACGGGCAGCCTAGCCGCACGCAGTCATCGCAGAACCGGGGCGCGATAGAGTCAGAACACTGACGTTAGCTGCATGAACGTAGGACGCCGTCTACCTAGGTAGTTGAGCCGGGAGTCAGGGTCAACATACGCTCGTAGTGGCGCCCGATCTTCCCACTGGGGCACTTGCGGGCGACTGGAGGGAAGGTATTCCTTGAATGTTAATTGCCGCAGCTCCAGTAGTCGTCGCACCAGGTGTATATGCCAGTTTACTTCTTGCGGACCAGGTCGTAGCTCAAGTCCTCTCCCGGGAACTCCTTCTGGCCCGCAGAAAGAAATACCCTGTTGTATGGGGGGGGAGAAGCGGGGCGGGAGGGTCCGGCTTGTGAATTTTGGCCTCGCAGGGGATGAAGGTTGTTAGTTCAGGCCTTCAGTCATGTTTTGTTGGGAGGGAAGGGAGGGCGAAGGGGCAGACCTCGCCGCGAAAGGGAGAGCAGAAGAAAAGAAGACGTACCACCACTGTGCGACGAAATTCTGCTTGCACATGTCGGTGATGGATATTGATTCAGTCGGAAAGTGTCTTGGATGGTTATGGTATGCTTGAGATAAACACGAGCAGAACATGTCGAGACGCGGTGGGAGGGGACTGGAAGTGAAAAGAGGAGAAGCAGAGTCGGACCACGCTTTATACACGCTCAAATGAACCGTTATTTCACGTTCTTCTACATGTATGATACCAATTTTGAAGGGCTAGCTCGTGGAAAGCTGGGGTCAAGTAGAGTCACCTGCATGGACGAGCTGCATGGACGAGAGCCACACGCATCACGACATGCATTCGAGGCGTGTTAATACCATCATCATGCTGGTTCACGGTATGCTTCGCCGACCTGCAGAATTGACAGATGCGTCCAAATCTAGTGACTGTTCCAGGGATAGGCCAGCAACGGCATAGCCCTTTCCATTGACCTCAACCAAGGGCTAAGGTAACTTATTGTAACACGCCGTCTAAATGACATAGGCCTGCAGTTCCATGGCCAGTTATCAAATCGCTGAGACAAACCGTGACGAATCTGCGGTTGATGTCCAGCAAGTGAACTTGCCTAGCGTGTCACAGGGCTGTGTGCGTCAGTATGCCCTCTCATGACATCTCACGCGTGCAACTTTCTAGTTTTGCATGGTTATGGTGTCTGATTACCAAATCAACATGCATACTATCTGGAAAGCACAGTCGCGTGGCCGATGGATTACATGCATTTGAATGGGAATGCGGTTCTGTCTTCGAAGCATCCCCGGTATTGTTATGGACTCGGTGCTTTTGATGACGTGTAGTCAACATTGCATGCGCCGTCTTTGGGTCTCGGCTAAGGTTGCACCTAGCGGCTGAAACAAGGCCGTCAATCTGTTTCTGTCACGGTTTACTTGCACTCTTGTGAGAGACGGCCGAACCTCAATTGGAGTCAGTCGATCCAGGCAGCTTCGGATATGTTATGGTCACAGATGAAACTCACCCTTGGAGGCTAAGATTCTTGAGTTTGTTCTTCGTTATGTATATAATCTAGTTAACTATCATTTGATCAAATTTTCGAGTCTCGAGATTGTATGCTTGGAATCGAAAAGGCATGCTGAAGAGGGAATTGATAACTGTATAGGATGCAATGTTACGAAAGAGAAACATGACTGTTGAGAATAGGGGTGAGAGGGAGGGGGTGAGTCCTATAGCAACTCAGAAGGTTCGACTAACTGGTCGTCGGGAGGCATTTATCTATAAAGCGTCTCATTAGTTCAGCCTTCTTTTGTGGCTTGCTCCTTTCGGATCTCGGTGTGTCTCGGCTAACGTTCTAGCCTCTAAATTCCTAAAAGACGTAATTTTTCTAAAAGACTAGTAAGGCTGCTATTTCGGCGTCCCTATTTGGCGGTCTCTTTGTCTCGCCATCCGAGATGCTCTCGATAGCTTGAAGAGGAAGCAACTTCCCGATTCAGCAGTCCCAACGACGTACGATGTACTAAAACGGAACTGACTGAAAATGCCTATATGACGTCGCTGGCATTCACGATGTCCCTATCAGGGAAGTGGTCAGCGTCTCAGCCTCTTCCGTTGCCTGCCCTAAGTCCTCCTTGACGACAGTCATTTACTCCGTGATTTACCCGTCTTCACAGCCTGATACCCCTGTGAACGGGGGTGGTTCGAGTTCACCGATCCTGGTCCAGCTCTTGTAAGCGGCTTATGCCCCTTGTTGTGATACTCTTCGCTGCGGATAGGTTTGAAACGCTCCCCGACTGGATTATGTACGAGATGTCGCCAACCTTCTAGCCACGTCGGCTTACAGTGGCTCGGACAAAAGGAGGTAATCTGCTGCCATGGAGGGGCGTAATGATGAATAGGATGTTATCTCATTGTCGATTGTCATCGGCGGGTCGTGTTTCCGAGGGGCAATGTATTCCAATCTGGCCCAAGCACCAACAGACGGCGCAGCAATACTATAACACATTGTTGAACTATTCATAAAAACTCTGAGGAGAATAAGTATGTTGGTCTTAAAAGGTACAAGACAAGAAAGATGAGAGGACGTTTGGGTGAGCCACGCGTCTCAGCTCCTGATGACAAGAGTGTCATCCACACGGAAAATTGGCCCCATGAAAATCATCCCGAATCAGCGTACACCTCGGGCCCTCTAGGCGCTGATGGGCTAAAAGCGGAATGAGACCCTGGCCAATCACAGCGTATATCGGCCTCGAGACAGGGGTATGACAACCCCTTGTCCAGGTCCGCCCAAGACGGCCATCTCGAGAACAAATCGCGTCCTTTGTTCATCCACCACGGGCGCCATTGCCGAATAATTGCTTGATCTCTTCGGAGTGTTTACCCAGGCCCTAACGAACTCTCCCCTTATGCCCTACCTGCCAGCGAGTGGCGCAAGAACTTCGAGAACACTGGGCAACCCTGCCAGCGACCAACCATCACCGGCCCTCAGTGAACAGCCTATCTGAGGTTGACCCACTGCCACGCTTCAAAGATGACATTCAGAACCGTGGCGCGGAAATCCCCGTGATTCCTCGCACGTCCCATCCAGCATCCCGCTTGTTTTCTCCCTTTTTCTGATCGGAAGCACTTCACGTTCCATGTCATGGCCCGTCCAGTATCACTTCATGACAAACATCTGCAGCAGACAGCTCGGACGAGCACATGGGAGCTGCCTCCACTCGACTTCCCTCGTACAACCTCATTCTCGGACGCAAATGCCGGTTCAGATGATGGCTGCCCGCACTGCCCGCGCTGCCAGCGAGAATCGAGGATGAACAACCAGGCCCAAGAGGCATGGCTACCCACCATGTCCCACCCGGCTAGTCAACAATCAGGACCAAAAAGGCATGTCCTCCACCGCCAGCCAAGGGTGCCGTCGCTCAACAGGAAGCGGGAATCCGCCGAGGAAACTACGCGGGCCATCGAGATTACGGGTGCAGCGGCCGAGCTTCGCCATTCCGGCCCTCAAAGCGTTGAAGCCGCCTCGTCTCACGTGGCCAGATACTCGACGTCTTTACACGCTCCACATGACCGTTGTAGTCATACAATACCATCAGCCTTTGCCGCCCACAGCTTCGAATGGGAAACCGAGACGCTGTTCGAGCCGGGCACCTGCACCCCGCCTCTCGACTCGGTATCGTACCCTTGTCCATTTCGGAAGCGAAACCCTGCCAGATTCAACTTCCGCGACCATGAGGACTGCGCCAGAGGGCCATTCAGCTCTGTTCTGGAGTTGATGTGCGTCCATTCCTCTCGTCTCCGCAGGCCCATTGCTGACAAGGACATAGCCATCACATCCGGAACCAGCACCGACGGCAGCCCATCCGTCACCAATGTCGTCGTTGCAAGCATGGGTTCGGCTCCGAAATGGAGCTAGAACAACACTCACTGTTGCCGAGAGAGCAAATGTGCGAAGTGATTTCGTTGTCTCTTGACGACCCCGAAGATGGTATCACGGACGAGATGGCGAGGACGCTGGTGACAGCAGAATATGCACCTGAAGGAGTGTGGTCCTGGGAGAAGATATGGCATTGGGTCTTTCCGAATGACTCAGACGTGCCAGACCCAGGTATGCCGCTGCCATAACCATCGCTGTAGGCGTTCACCTAAGCTTACCACTCGGCAGATTTCCCACCGTACGTCGAGCTTGTCGACGTAGAGCAGGCATTTGACGAGGGGCAGCAGACACTGAAGGCCAGCTTGCGAGAGAAGCTTAAACTGCTGCTTCCAGAACCCATTGGCGACGACTACCTCAGCTTCCTGACCGGACAACTCGAGCTCGTCTTCGAAATCCACCGAGTCAACGTCCTTAAACCATTCATGGGTCGTTCTTGGGCGATACCAAGCCGAGAGACACCGAGAGCAAGTCAAGCAGTCCAGCAGCAAAAAACCACCAGGAAGCCAAACAGACGGTCACGACGCAGCACCATGCTCCAGGCCCTGTACCGCAACCCTAACACATCAGAGACGGCCGAAGTGCCGCCATCCCTCAGACACTCCCGCACCGGCAGCACTAAGCGAACCAGCCTCTTATCCAACGACCAATCTGCTCACCGCATCACAAAACCACACACCCAATTCCCAGCGGCCCCTGCTTCCCCTTCAAAGTGCCTGGCATCCGACGACCCTGCTCCTCCTCCACACGACCCAGCCTACACTAGCAAACTCGACCCCAACCCGCGCGACTCGCGAGACTCGGGCATCGGCATGCCCTGCGAAGCATGTGATGAGCCAGACGCCTGCAGATGCCACGGCGCCCTCGCCTCCGAATTGCCCCTCGCCAAGCTGGGGGATCATGATGACAGCCCAAAGCGACATCATCATCAACATGAACATGGACATGGTGTTGTCCACATACAAGAGTACCTGAATCGACAACACCAAGCAACCGAACCACCCGAATGCAGAATCGGGTCAGCAGCGGACACTCCATGTACTACCAAGAGTCCATGCACTACGACAACAGGTACTCTCGGACTCGAGAAGGAGCGCGTGTACTGCATTCACCGGCCCAGACTGAGCCTCGACACAAACAGCGTACCGCCAACACACATACCCGACCTGCCGCGGGCAAACGGGGTCTTGGCAGAGGCCAGTGTTACATCCATGTCTGCTGGGGGAAGGTTCTCGCCTGAGTCGTTTAAGCAGAGGGTTCTGAGGGGGCGCTTGATGAGTGGTTAAGGTAGTTTCGAGTCGGGTGGTTACATAGAGATTTTACACTGGGAGTGTCAGTTTGGGAGAGGGGTGTTGGGGGAGGTTGTTGTTGCCAGTGGTTTCGTTTGCTGTTGTACTGCATCTAGGTTGATGGTCCTCGGTGCATTCTTCGATGGTTTCTCCTGGTGTTGCATATGGGAAATGGTTTGAGATCATGGATGGAAAGGAAGGCGCGGCGTTGTCAGTGGTCGTCGGCTAATGTACCTTTATGCATGCAGGTGGGCTGGATTGTCGGAATATTATAGGACATTGCATGGTGGAAAGGGACGGAGGCACCTTCAAGCATTTGTGAGACGGTTGCGGGGAAGAGGATGGGTAATCTTAATTGTATTTTCACCCTGTATTTCTCCGGTGTTACTAGCTGTTGCTTGCTGATGATGATCACCAGGTGCTTGACTGGCAGTTCAGGTGTGTTCTCCAGCTCCTCGAGGTTGTTGGCTTTTGGTGTCTTGCACAAGAGACTGGCTTGTTGTGCGAAAGACTTATATCCCGTGTTAAACCTTTATGGTCGGCCACGTAACCCAGCCAAGATACTTTATAGCAGAGGTATCAAGTAACGTTACCCATGGTGAGTCCCGGAACGCATAGCCAGACACTCGGAGCGCCTTCCAGTTCCAGTCGAAGCGAGAGATGCCAACAACTTCCGGGAGACCTGCATTGCGATCTAGAAACCGCGGAACCACGCGCTCGAACGTAGAGTGCCGGGGGGGGACGAACTGACGGACCACGGCCTGTGGGAGCTTGGGCACGTAGCGGGTGCCCTGGACGGACCCTTCGAATGCCTTGTAGGCGTCTCCGGCCCGACTTCCGTTCTTCCTGCGGATATCCCGACCATAATCGCGACCAGGGTCCACGAGCAGTGAAGTATCAAGGCACCAACTGCGGCCGCTGCTTGCCGCCCTGACACACTGGACAGTGTCCGATGAACTGTCGTCAATGTAACTTACAGGGCTTTCGGTGAGTGAACAGGCATCGCAGCCTCGGGTTCAGTGTGCGGAGCGATGGTCCGATGTCGTCACGATGGCACAGATGGTTATCATGGTGAAAGTGATCCCTGGGTTGAGGCATTGGCGAGTCATCATTCTTTCGACCTCGCCATCGCCGGCTAACAAACGATTCATCCAGTACAAGTCGGAGATGAAGTCGCGGACGATGTGGGCCAGAGTAGCCATGTCAAGAGCCGTGGGATTCGCACTCTGTCGGTTGGGAGGTTTGCGAACAACAAAGAGCTGCCTTCTGAGAATGAAGGAGTTCCTGACGATGCGAGACCTATAGACGATCAAGACTTTGTGTGCGCTCCGGTTCACGTCCTTGTATGGCTTCGATTGACGCTGGAAGAAGCGGGCCAGCATCGAGGCCCCGGTGGACGCACAGGATAGCGCGGCGGACAAACGGCAACCTGATGGTTGACGTTGACGCAAGGCAGGGTGATGCAATTGAGCGCGTCGCCGCAACGGGTCCCGTGGCCTTCATCGACTGACCACAGGGCCGAGTGAATAGTCCTGCGATACTCACACCGCGTGAGGGAGGGATAATCACGCTCCAGAAGCTCCAGGAGTGCCATGTGTCGGTCTGCGTCCTCTTCTTCTTCCACCTCCACCACCACCCGGGCTCCTCGGTCACTGTCCTGTTTCCCGGACACTTTGAATTGATCACAGGAGATTGGAGGCGCGGAAGCCGATCCCTCCCGACTTGAACATCATGGTGTGATTTGTTAGAGCGAGAACAACGGGGGACTCGTCGGGAAAGTGCTCGCTGAGAAGGAGGACAAGCTCAGATGGGAGCCTCTCAAGTAGCGAAGTCCAGTAATACTGCTGGTCGCATGGAGACTAACCGCACTACCGGTAGTTGTTAGCCCGTGGTTTAGGTACGGTTGCACTAGGACCTACCGCTTCGTTCATATCGCTAATTGTGGCCTTGCATCCACCAACTTGTGCGCCTGGGGGTCATCGAGACGTTTCGGGTCGGGGACTACCCAGATAGGCGACAGCTTCGGCGCATCGCCTTTTGCCGGCGCCGATGCGGCTTTCTTGGGCTTGAGCGCGGCATTGGAGTCGCCGTCTGTTTGTGAGTTAGCTTCTGGGATCGTGGTCCCTGGGGGACATTCAGAGTTAAAATCGAAGAGGGGCAAGAAGAGTGCTGGGCCAGATTTATGACATGAGCTCTCAGGTGTACTTGGGCTTGACTGCAGGAAATCAGAGTGCGCACAACCCTGCGTCATCAACAGTCAACCTTTCCCGCCTAGGGTGAATGAGAAACAGATCAAGCGAATGGTCAGATGTCATCTGAGGCTGAGACCAGCTGAACCATCAAGACCTTCAGCATGGGGTTTTCGGCTGCCGGCACCGGCATCCGAAACTTATCACGCTGTCGACAACATTTCGCCTATGATCAACGCTCGCGCCACCATACGCAGAGTCCTAGCCCTCATTCGCCTTTCGTGCCCGTTATGCGCTCAGACAGGTGCTTCCTTGCCCTGAAAAGGTAGTCGGAGCTCTCGAAGCTGGCCTTGTCATATGGGTACCGCCAACACCTATGGTCGCTGTAGTCAGCCTTATCAGCGAGGGCCCAAATCCGATGACGGCTCGAGCGCTTCGTCCCACAACCGCTCAGTACAGGCAATGTGCCAGAGTCTAGTGATGTGGTAAACTGTGAAAACTGTGAACCAAAGAATCCATAAGAAACGAAGGACGAAGGATACCAAGGTTAACACCGTAACCCTGCCGGACTCCACGGGTCTCGGCCCGCTTATGAGATCTGTTCCCCGCCCCAGGCCGCTACATCAACCCCTTGTGGTGTAGTTGGCTATCACGTTCGGCTGTAAAGGAATTTATCGTTACCGAAAGGTCACCGGCTCGATTCCGGTCGAGGGGACACAATTGCTTTTGTTTCGGTTTGTTTTTGCCAGTCAGGGACGGAGACGACCGAAGCAATCGTTCCGTTTTGGAGTTTTCCTGTTGAACCCCACAGCAACAGATTGGGCTCCGCACCGCCAGGATGACTGGTAAGCTCGCTAACGCCCATTAGCTCCACTCATATTGTTATTTATTTTTCATTCAACAAATTGAAAGGGAGCTTGGCTCAGTTGGAAGAGCGCAGGTCTCATACTATATTGTATCTGTATGACCCGGCTGAAAACGCCAGGATATCCTGAGGTCGTGAGTTCGAGCCTCACAGTTCCCATTTTGGTTCTTAGATATATGGTTCCATCAATTCCCCCGCTTTTTGGGTTCGTGTCCGGTTGGTTCTATTCTGCACACATAGGGATAGACTGCGCAGATATTTTGCCGGCGGAAAGGCATCTTGCAGCTGCGTCATCAATCCGTCCATGAGTCGAAGCACGGCGCTTGGAAGCTTGCTCAGGGGTTCGGATACGAGGAGCCTAGGAGGGACATGACTCGAATTTCGGGTTAAAACTTGAAGACAACAACTCATCAGACAAGGAACGAGCGAAGTGTTTGGAACTCAAAGGGCTAGAGCCTGCAAATGCTTGCGGCGACAACTTTGCCTGGATTTGGCGACGAGCCAGGTTGGTGCAAGTCGCGATGATCAATCTGATTGAGAGATTCGAGGCGTCAAACATCATAGCATCCCGGCCAAGCGCATCACGATCAAGAGAAGGTGTTGGGTCGATGTTTTTCCATCTAAAGACCAATTCCGGGACCGAAACTCAAAAGAGACCGGTCAACGACAGACAATCCGAGGGGATGATGGCCACGGCCGACACTCCGAGTTATCATGCTGCCCGACACGTGAAAATTTTTCAAGGTTTTAATGTTGTGGGCGGCTTTCGGACTTGACTGGATGGTGCTGATGGCTGTTACGCCAATCTTTCCACCGCCCGGTTCACCCCCCATGCAGCCTCGCAAGGCACTGGAGCAGCCACCTCACTTTAGGCCCCTTCACCCTCGGCCGGACGATTCGAGACAAGTTACCGGCCGGTTGGATCCACGATTTCGAAAACCCCGACGAATGGGTCGGTTGCTCAAGTTTCCACCTCGGAGAGCGCCACACCGCCATCCTCGTCGTCACTGTCCTCCGACTCCGAATCGTCCTTCACTCCGCCCTGATAGATCTGGTCAGGCGCGATTGCGCGGGAATGATGGCCATGGCCGGTGGCAGGCTGCGACGTCGATTGCGCCTCTGCAATTGGGATGGCTGATCCGGCGTCTTCCGACGGCGGCAGTATGAAATCCTGTGGGGACAATCGGGTGCGGTTCTGGCTCTTCTGGTGGTCTTCACTCTGTTCCCGGTTCTGACTCTCGCCCCGGCACTGCTCATTTTGCTGCCTCGCCCGCTCCTCCTCTATCTGCCTCATGCACATGGTGAACATGGCAAAGAGGACGCGTGCGACAAACACAAGCTTCTGATCCTCAGGGAGTAAAATAAAAGGGTGGATCTGTGACTGCTCCGATCTGGGGACGGTCGCCCTCAATATTGGTGAGGTGAGCTTCTCTGCTGACTGTGGCCGGAGTGAGAAATTCGGTACTTCTCGCGAAGTCGCGTTTAGCTTGCCGGGCTTCAGGGGGTGGGTTTTGTAAAGGTGTCTCATGAGCTGGTTACGCGACTTGAAATTGGCTCCGCAGGTGCGACACGTCGTCCGCCATTTGGCGTCGCTCATGGGCGTCTGCTGAGAATCGGTTGAGCACACGCGCGGCCGGAATTCGGGAGTTGACGGGTCCATGGTGGAGAAACGACTTTATCGGCGACTGGCCTAGCAAAAGGGTCGTCGATTGCTTCTCCGCTAAGCTCAAGTCTGAAGAGCGCTCATCGGGCGGCTGTCGCCTTAACGGATTGCGATGTTGCTGGCGAAGTTTCTGTGTTCGGCTCAAAAGTAGGCAGAAAGTGGGGCACGCAATTAACTAGTGAAGAAAATGCCAAGGAATCCCGGCCCCACACCGAACGGAGGTCTCTTCCGGCCGTCCGGCCACTAAGATGGAAAAGACGAGCTGGAGACGAACAGGAAAAATAAACACTCGGATAATACCAGCAAAAGATCAAGGTATTGAAACATGAGGGGTGGCAGAGAACCTGCATTGAACTGCTGCTCGTATCCATCCGAGAGAGTCCAACATTTAAAACAGTACCAAGCAATGTTAACATATCAGGTGTGGTCTACATCCTCCCGTTCTAATGGGGTGTAAGTGTACTATGATTGGTACAATCTAACCCTGGTTTGGTTTGTAAGGAAGTAGTTACATTTTAAAACCAGAGAACGTCATCTTCTTGGCCCAACCTGGCAAACCAGTTCCAATCCCATGTGCTTATTCCGTTCATGCGTGAATCATTCATCATCGTGAACACGCTGCAAGACATCTTCGGTGGTGAGGCCATCTCCTCTAGTACATCTTCCTCAGCTTTGGTATCGTCGTCGTAGAAGCCACCATTGATCCAGAGAGCCCGCCGTATCGACTTCTATCTATGGGTCCCTTTCTTCTCCCAGCTCAGAGTGATCTCGCCCGCCTGAAGCCGCCCTCCACAATCATGGTGGCGGCCACTGCTTTGTTGGAGGAGAGGCCACCACACCTGAGAAAGAAGCATCACTCGGCTCGTCGTCCGAGGAGAGCACAATGACCGGCGAATTGGGGCCCTGATGGAGCGTGACAACAGTACTCTGCGACCGCGTCTGTTCCAGCTCAGCAGAAGGACGGGTTGGGAACACCGGTTCGGAAGTGCTTTCGGGGCTGTGGGTGGTTGGGAACCCCCGTAACGACGGACCGGGCTCCGATGGCTGTGTCTTTGGCGGCGGTTGCGGCGAGTGTGCTCGGGGACCGATCGAGTTGGTTCGGGAGATGATGCTGCCATTGAAGCTGTTTGCTCGGGAGCGCCGTCCGCGGGGTGTTAGGCCTTCATCGTCGTCCGGGTTGAGCTCGCCCCATTGCTGTTTGATTTGATGTAGCTTGCTGTTTCGGTTGCCTTCGCCAGGGACTTCGGGGAAGCCAGTGGCTTTGCCGTGCCGAAAGCCCGAGTCGTCGAAACGATCTGGTGAGGCAGTGCCGAGCGCGTTGGCAAACTTCATCAGTGCTTTGGTGACCTCATGCCTGCTTCCGCCAACGGAGCTGTTGGAATTCACGGTAAGGATCCCCAGCCCACGAGCGGCTTCGTTGCTGTCTGGGTATGTATCGGTGCGTGTTGCAGTCGGTAGGTGGCTGGGAGAACTGTCGCATCGGCCAACACTGAGTTCGGTATCTGTCATCCTTGCCGACGGCGGTTCCCGTGGGATCTCTACAGTGAGGGGATGATCAGTTGAAGAGGAGTCAGACCGGCTGCCGCTATGCTCATGGCAGCGACAGTCGCAGGGGCCTGCGGAATGGACAACCGGTGTCCCCTCTTCCACTTTCTTCAAATACGCGGACACCAGCATGTACAAGGAGCCGGACGCTGCAAACACGCTTGCCAGTATGCTGTTCCATTGGCCAATATTGGCAGGTGGTTCCGTTTGGTATTGTACCGGTTCGCTCCAGAAATTGCGCTCGCCGATGATGATCAGCGCCAGGACGGCGCCTCCGAACTGTAACCAGCTCGTCAGTTCAGGATTCTCGCCCAGATATATTTGTAGGCGAGTGGATTGCCCAGCAGGTGCCGGCAAAGACGCTGTCTGGAGATATCATGGGGGTCGCCTCGATAACTTTCTGGGGTGTTACTTACCACAGGTATCTCGACGACGCTTAGCAGCCGGCGGATCACGTTGTTGACGTCTTTCATGCCTCCGACAGTTGCCCCGTTAGTTCCTTCAATGACTTGGTCGGCATCAGGGTCACCAAACTGCTTGGACCAGTTCGTGCGGACGATCTTGTCCCATGTTGATACCATGGACAGAATTCCAGGCACGCAGCAGGCGGCGGCGACGAGTGTGGCAGCGCCAAATGTGAAAACATGCGGTGTTGGAATGACGTAGATATTGTCGGCTGAACCCTTTCTCATCGGAGAGGAAGGGCCTCGCTCGACAGAGCAAAAGAGGCCGCAGGTGGTGTTGCCATAAGGAAACATGGAGCCGTGATAAAGCGGGTGGCCAGAACCATCGTCAATGCATGGGCTCGAGTGGGCGCGGAAAAACTCGACAGTCAGTGCCAGAAGGCCTATCGTCGTCAGCTTGTTTGAGCTGCATGATCTGGTGAATTTTGGGCATTCGCTCACCAGCAACCACAAGCATGGTCCAAATGAACATCACGTTCCGCCCTGCCAAGTTGAAATATGTCTTGGAGAGACGAACACTTGCTGGAGCCGTCAAGATGCCGATTGCGCACAGCTGAAAAGCGCCATAGATATCCATATCGACCGCGCCTGGACATTGACCCTGTTAGCGACGCTCACACATTACAAGAGCGGCGTGTCAAGGGTGAACAAGCCAAAAATGGCGTACCGTCAACGTGAAGCGCCGCGAGAACGATGCCGTGGATGGCGGCAATGGCCGGCAGTGTGAGGGCGGCAGCCAGACAAGCGTTTCGGAGCCATTCTGTCTTGCGAGCGAGCAAGCAGGCTGCCACGAGGACATAGTATCTAGGAACTTGTCAGTCTCTGGGCCACTGACACTGCTAAAATTTTCGTTGGAACCAACAGTATCCTGGTGCCAACACCGTACTGTCCGCTCAGTGGCCAACTGCAAATGACCGTTTGAAACCCTTCGAGCGGGTCGGATGTGTTGGCGACGGTTCGGCCGACGACACGGAGAGGAGTGAAGGAGGCGAGAGGAAGCGCGGGCATCAGGGTTAGGGCTGACAGAAGCTGCCCCTGAGCATCGGGCAGTGGAAAGGAGCCAGAACAGCTTCGAATTCAAGGGCCAAACACGCGGTATCTGGATGATAGAGGGAAAGAAGAAAAAAGAAGGGAACGATTCACGAATAGCCCTCGCCGTTTCGTTGCCTCGGCATGGAGTTACAACGTTGTAGGACTGGTTGGAATTTGGGCATTGGTATCTGTCAGCCAAACCAAAATCTGAAGCTACTGTAATGTGGGGAGAAGGGAAGGACCAAAGGACGGAAAACGAGGCGCTGGGCTTGAGCTCAATGGTCGTCACCGGGAATGCGCCGCCAGTCATGGCCAGGGCAAGGCTGCAATCAACAAGCGGTCACGCGCTGTGTTGCCAATTGTAGGGGGGGCCGTGTTGTGCTCTTCTCTGGGCGGATGAGGTGTGACAGGACGTCGATAGGACCACGGCGATGGCCGAAGACCGTAAAGATCCGGTCGATATGGCCAGTCCCAAATGGACGTCTCACAGAGCTTCATCCGCCGAGCCTGCTGACATCCTTCAGCATGCATGCAAGTGCCAAGCTCGCAACTTGCAGAACGACGGGCCACCTTGGTTGGGCATGTCGGCTGAGGTTGGTCAACCCAGAGTGCGAGTGCGAGGGCACAGCCACAGTGATCTCCATCTGGGAACCGTGAACCCCGCATTTCTCCCGGTTGTCAGCTACACAACAAATTCTTCGCCATGGGCCAATCTTTTGGTGGCGGTGCTGGTTCGGACGTCGAAGTCGGTGTCCAAATGCAGTTGTCAGGAGCTTAGATTTGCTGGGCGTTTCCAAGCGTCCACAGCAGTAACGTTAGCGTGCCGCCTACCTATGAGTCTTGCACGTGGAATCCTACAGGGGATCCCCACCGCCGTCCCGCTCAACACCGGAAGCTTGGCGTTTCTTGAAGTGCCCCGCAGCACAATCCTCACTTCACTTTTGAAGCCAGCCCTATGAACCGAGAAACTCAACACGCTGCTCGCACAACAGGCCGAGTCGATGCGCCGTCGCGCTGCTTCGATCCCGGCACAACATAGTCATCGACATGGCAAAGGGATTGCCCGAAGATGTCGCGCCGCCGGATTATGACTTGATCAAGAATTGGAGGTCCATCGTCACACTTGTGGTCTTTGTTGTGACTAATCTTTTCGTACTCTTCCCGTTTCACATCCCTATCTACATTCCTCGAAGACTTTTCAACGCTTTTCTTGACGGCTTGAGCACCGTGCGCATCATTCCTCCCAGGGGTTCAGAAGACGACGACGATGGGTCACGGCATGAAGACCATGGCTCTCGCACCACTCGCAAGCCCTCGCGGTTTGTGCGTCTCGACTTCAGCATTGACATCGTCACCGCTCCTCTCATTGCCGACCTCTTCCTGCTCGCCATCCTGGCCATCGGCCGCCAGGAGGTCGAGGAGGGGACACTGGGCGCCAACAACATCTCACCCCTCGACATCATGCTGTTTTTCATCACACTCGCATACATCGCCATCTCGATCGACGCCTCCGGCGTCATCAGGTATCTGGCCTTCAAGGTGCTCCAATGGGGAGGCGAGGTCGGTCACCGCCTCTTTTTCTACCTGTACGCCTTCTGGTTCGCGCTCACCAGCTTTGTCGGCAACGACCCGGTCATCCTCTCTGGGACCGCCTTCTTGGCCTATATGACGCGCGTCTCAAGCAACATTGTCCACCCGCGTGCATGGATATACAGCCAGTTTGCCGTGGCCAACATCGCGTCAGCCATCCTGGTGTCCTCGAACCCAACCAACCTGGTCCTCGCGGGCGCCTTCGAAATCAAATTCATCGACTACACAGCAAACATGATTGTGCCCGTCATCATCACTGGCATCGTTTTATTCCCGTTTCTGCTTTACATCGTCTTCAACAACGAGTCACTCATTCCGCGCTCCATCAAGATGCACGAGCTCCCAGAGGAGGCCAGAACGCGGAAACCCGTCAACCCCAACATTCCGCACGGCAGGGGGGCCGCAGAAGAACAGGAAGACGCCGCCGGCGAACAAGGGAAATTGCTGTCTCTCGAGGAGATCATCAATCCCTTCCTGGACCGCAAGGGTGCCATATTTGGCGCCGTCATCATGGCCGCGACACTCATCGCCGTCCTGGCCCTCAACGCTGCCACCACCGGAACCCATACCACTCCGGTGTACTACATCACCTTGCCGGCGGCCGTTGTCATGTTTGTATGGGACGTGGCTTTTGGTTGGATCCACCGCCATGAAACTCGCGAGATTGCGCGCAAGGGCCGTGAGGAAGTGGAGCGCCTGCGGCTGGAACGAGCGCTGCAGGAGGAAAAGAAGAGAGCCATTGCGGGTCAAGGCCACTCCGCGTCGTCCGACTTGTCCATCTCTGCTCAGCCGACTTCTCCTGATCCTCGACTGAAAGCTCGAAAGAGCGGTGTAGAGAATGCGAGTGTTGATGAGACCGCGACAACTGGAAACGCTTCCGAGAAGTCACCGACGAAGGAGCCCGAGACAGAGAACAGCCGCGAGCAGAACACCATGGTCAACACACCTCTGACCCCGAAGCGTCAGCATCAACCAACCACCCTCGTGTCCCTTTCTAAAGACGCCTTTCGATGGTCCCAAGAGACATTCCCCACCGCCACAGCTGTGATAGCCCACCTTCCCTTCGCGCTTGTGCCCTTTGCCTTTTCCATGTTCGTCCTGGTCCAAGCGCTGGTGACCAAGGGCTGGGTGCAAATATTTGCTCTGGGATGGGATATCTGGGTGCGCAAGACGGGCACAACAGGCGCAATCGCCGGGATGGGATTCCTGTCCGTCATTCTGTGCAACGTACGTTTCCCCCCTCCCGCTATCCTCCCACTCCCATCAACTCGGCTAACACTCCCTTTCCAGTTCTCCGGCACCAACATCGGCACAACCATCCTCCTCTCGCGTGTGATACAGGCCTGGAAGGTGATCCACCTCTTCGACGAGACGCCCATCGCCAACCGGACCTTCTGGGCGACCGTCTACACCATGGCGCTCGGCGTCAACTACGGCGCCTTCAGCACCGCCTTCAGCGCCTCGCTCGCCGGCCTGCTGTGGCGCGACATCCTGGGCAAGAAGCACATCCACGTGCGTCGGCTGGATTTTGCCAGGGTCAATCTCCCTATCATCGCCATTGCCATGACGGTCGGGTGTGTGGTGCTCATTGGAGAGGTGTGGATTATGCGGGATATGAGTCCTATAGATCTGCGATGATTCCTTGGATTGAGGGGTTTAGTGCGGCATTTAGACCTGATTTCTAAGTTGTACTGATGAAGCCATGACATTGTTTCTAGCGGATTCAGCTAAAGAGCGAACGAGTGAAATGGTACTTGATTTGTGTTTCGAGTCGTAAATACCATAATGTTAACCTGGCTGACACTTGATTTAACTATACTTTTCTTGTTTATGAGGCAATAGACGACAAGAAGGAAACGGAGACAAAAGGAAAGGAACATCTCAGGTAGCGACAACTCCCTCCCGAGTCTCGCCCCTCCGTAACGAACATGCTCAACTCTGTTCAACGCTTTATTCAAGCTTTCTTCGCCTCCTTCTTCTCCTCCTCTCCCTTTTCCTCCCCACAACCACCGGTCCCAATCATAGCCACCGCCTCCCAGACATGCCCATCCAGATCCTCCCAGCTGCGACAGTACATGCCCATGCCCTCCCCAAATCCCTCCATCACATACGTGTCCTTCTTGCCCCCGGCCCCTTCCACCTTGGCCAACCACCCATCAACCTCCTCTCTGTTCTCACATGCGATCGAGAACAGCGTCTCGGTCGAGGTGTGGGCGTCGACGACGGTGCCGGCGGGCCGCATAAACTACCAACAATATCAGCTAACTATGAATTTCCCATTCCGTAAGAATTTCAACGTTACATAATCCACACAGAAAGCAGGGGCTGTTACTTACGGTCTTGAATCTTTGGTGGGCGTGCACCATGAGCGCCATGGTCTGGTTGGGTTCCGGGAGCATGAAGGAGGCTGTCTCGGCGTCGGACCAGGCTTCCAAGGGGGGGAAGCCCAGAGCAGTGTAGAAGGCTTTTGCAGAGGGAACGGAGGTGGTTGGGAGGTTGAGGAAGAAGGTTGGTTTGGGGGAGTTGGAGGCCGAGGTGGACATGTTGGGCTTTGGTTGCGTGAGATGCTTCACGTTTTTGTTGTGGAAATAATCAAGGATTTATGAGTTTGGGTTGATGAGGCTTGGGAGCTAAGGGTGATGTTTCATATGAAGAAGACAAGGAGAGCGGAACGGGAAGGAAGAAGGATGGTTGAGTCATTACTTATACCTCGAAATGCTTTGAGACACCTCCTCATCTGTTCTCGTCTTTGTCCTGGCCAGAGCCTGCCATATTCCCTCCGCCAAGTTCCTGATGAAAGGGTGCCTTGATGATAACTCGCGTCGCTGCCTGGCGGCCAAGGCCGCTACAAGCCCTGCTTACACGTTCTTGACGCGCTGTCCCGTGACATTCCTCTCGTACTCCGGCGAAGGGAGCGAAAGGGCAGCCAATTGGCATGCAGCTGGGCATGCCGCCGCATTTTGGGCAACGGAAGGATTACTCAACATCTTTGATGCCAGCACCGAGATTCACTTACCCTACCTGCAGGGTGTGGTTGGATACTGAATGCCGTCTCTCAATGTGAGAATAACTGCCTTCGCGATATCTTGGCTTCGAGTGAGTGCCAGGCACAGAATAGGAACTCACTGTAAATGAAATCGGTCTTGCTCTGAGCCTCTGGGTCCTCCCCAGCCTGCGCCATGAAGGGCATCTCGATGATGAGGCAGTGGACGAAGAGATGGCGCGGGTGACTCCCTGACCTAAGCCTTGGTCCGGGCTAGTTTCCATGGGAAGTGAATAAGAAAATTGCATCGGTTGATGTTGCATTGGTGACTCCATTTCGATGCGCAAACTCGCTTGATGATAATGTCCGTCAGATGAGTAAGATATACGCTGCTCAGCAGGAACGTGGAGGAATGATCAATGATGCATGGACGACACGGGTCATTTGATGAACTCATGCAGACTTGTCCCGTTGGGCACAGGCGAATTCTGACTGAAGCCTGACCCGCTGGTACCAGACCCATCTTCGACATCGGAGACTTTCCATTGCCGTTACATGTATGCAACTATTCGCAACTTCAGCCGCATCTTGGCCTCTGCCACGATCGGGTTTCCCAATCCACCAGGCCCCCCTGTCACCCCAACGCTATCAAGAATGATTACTAAAGGCTTGTCTTGTTCCTCCGTCGCAGGTTTGCATTCCGATATGACCCATCAAACCAGACAACAGACCGTGCAAGGTATCGGCGGTGGCGTCTGCAAGATAAGGAAGGCATCCTGGCACATTGGCGGCGACAGAGGGATTCTACTCCCTAAAGACCACGTTAGTGTTGTGGGCATGTTGATGCGGATGTTAAAGCCGTCACCCATAGGACTGCTCAAGAGGCCAACTCCCTTGTTCCATTTCCGTTGGTAGTGGTAAATGGCCATTGTGCGTTCTTCTAGACTGGAGTCTCCACTTGTTCCATTTCCACTGGATAGACAATATGGATCAAGCGCGTCTATTCAAAATACCAGGTGCCCTCCCTCACTAACGTAATCAGGTTTTATCTAACAGCTCACTTTCCCTTTTCCTCTTTTTCTTCCTTTTCTTCTTCCTCTTCTTCTTCCTCTTCCTCTTCTACGTCCTCCTTCTTTCCCTTTTTCCTTTGGCTTTTCCCTCTCCTTCTCCATCTCCTTCTCTTTCTCCTTTTTCTCTTCTGTAGATACATAGTTATCTACTGGGGGAGAAACCATTATCCATTACCTATGTTATGTCCCTCCCTTAGATATCTTAGGTGTGTAGCCTGTCGGCCGCCAGGTACCCCTATGGATTCCGCCCAATCTCAACTCTTGATTGTCAGCTTCACTCAATGAACTCGATTTAAGCTGACAACCTGAGTTGTCAAACAAAAACGGTCCCTTCACACCAATACCACGCCGCCCATCTTGTCCTCGAATCCGCAACAACTGGATTCTTTTCGGTAATCACTCTTGAAAGACTCTGCCAACCACAATTCTCGCCCTTCTGCATCTGCTTTTTATTCGCGACTTCCAAGGACTCCTTCCCACTCATTGGACCCCTCCGGATTTCATCAGCAAGCTGAGCAAGAAGCCGCTACTTCAACCGCACAACCACCACCAACTCAAATAAAACAGGCATCCCCCGTACGAAAGGAATTCCCGCAACACCGATCATCAAAATGCCTGCCCGTGTGCACCCCAAGCGCGCGCTATCCAGCTCGACGGACTTTACTTTGCGCCGGGAGAGGTGTTCGTGTCCCGCGAAGCTGCCGAGCTGATTTATGGGCTGCTTCTGGGCTCCGAATTCCCTGATGGCGGCCGAAACTTGCACGAAATGCGGCCGCGAGTGGCCATGATTCTCGCGGCGATCTTCAAAATCTGCGTCGTCTGCGTCGCGACGTTGTTGCACTCAACAACAACAACTCGACCCTTGGCTGGCAGATCGTGGCAGGGGACATCGCGGAACAGCACAGGTGCCAATTTTCGCCTGCCAACGTGGAGGAGATTGTTCCCGCCTTTGCAGGTGCAAGAAGCGACTACCACCGCCGCGACCGCCAAATCACGACCCCGACGCCATACCCTGAATTCATGAATTTGATCGGCGAGTGGAACTACGCTTATGGTAAAGGAGCCAAGGACGCCGAAATCATCCCAAGTCACGACACTCGCGGCGCGCCCCGCTCCCCTCGAGAATTGCCTGGCGGGCTTCGGCCTGCGCGACGGCGGCCCGTCCACTCCCCCCTCCGCCCCCACGAGCGCCAGCCAGCCCTGGGCCCCGTCACACCTTCCCCCGGCCGATCTTCATTTCTTGAATCACCCCAAGTTTCGTGACCGGCTGACGGGTGTGTGCTGGGCTGGCTGTCAAAGGCACGATGCCCAATCTTCCAAGCGAGAAGTCGGGCCCCCTCGGTCCCTGTGTCTGGCTGGGATGGCTGGCGGCTGCCAATATTCCGCCGCCTCCCAACAATTCCCACGCAGTGTACGTGGCGCCCATCGGCCGTTTTTGCCAATAGGGAGCGTCAGCAGTAGTACAACGACTCCGGGCACCAGTCAAAGATATTTAGGCACGTGGATGGCTTCATGGAGTACGCGGCCGAGGCGTTTCAAAAGCAGTAAGAAGATGGTGCTTGGTCTCCTTACTCCTTTGTTTCCCACCGCTGGCAAGGCACAGGACTTTGTCCCAGACCTCGGGCAAGTCAGCTCTCGAGATGTTCAGCAACACATTCGCCGGCTCGGCACTGCCATCATGATGCGCGTCATGGAGAGAAAAGAGACCCCAGGCCTCCGGGCCGCCCTGTTCTGTCCCTGGGACAGGCATCAGTTCATCAAAAACAGCTGGAAGAAGTACGATTGGCGTCTGATGCTCTGGAAGGGCAATTTTATCAAAGCCGTGAGGCGTGGGCGGCCAAGGAAAAGGTCGTCATCCGTGGTGGTTACTCTGGAGGCTCCTTCCTGGTGACCAAGGACCGATAAATTGACCCAGTGGAGATGTGCGCGGGTTGGCTGCTGCGTACGGTCACGGCCACAAAGGGGACGATTCCCGGCGACGAGGAAGAGGAAGACTGGGAGTGGGAGGAGGTTTGCTCTTTTACGAAGATGAAAAACTAGGAACCTCTGGAGGAGACAAAAGAGGGGCAGATGCAGGTGGACAAAGACATGTAATTTGCCTTGCTTGACTAGGTCATGGATGGGTATCTTGATTAGACATGGGCTACGGTCTCTTTATTGACAATCGCTTATTGAGGACATCCCATCGATGCGTTCTGACGCTGATCTCGCTGCTCCATGTGTGTTAAGTCGGTGACATGACCAAGGTAACAAACAAAAAAAATGAAAACAAAGAAAGAAAAAAAAAATTAAAGAAAGGACTGAAGATCCAAATGTGCGACCAATCTGCCACAAGCGGTACTGAAACGACGCGCTAACACATCAGCTTGAATGAAATCCGGATGTCACTCCTGCTAACGACCGATTCCACAACATTCCCCATCTCAGCAAGAACCTAACCGACGGTTCTCAACTCTCGCGGCAAGTTCCTGTTAAATCTTAAGTCTCGCTACATATGGTGTCAGCAAAACTGAGGGCCCAGTTACCACTCATCTTGAAGAAGGGGAACAGTTGGTCGAGGAGTTTTTGCTTGACATACTGGCTGGCAGGCTGGACAGGGCACTGCTGAGGTGGACCCGAAAGTGGGGCTGCCCGATTGGGCGGGCTTGTCTTCGATGATTGGTGATGCTCAGACCTAGAGCAACTTCCCGTCTGTCTTCGCCGACTTCAAACGAGCAAAGCTCAGAGGCTTAACACGGTCTTATTTGAAGTGAATAAACAAAGAAGAACCCAAATAGCATAGTCATTTTATTGGCAATTTTTCATCTAGATTCTTTACTTTGTAATTTACGTAAATTGTTGGAGATAATGTTGGGAGGCTGGAGACGATATGAGTTAGTTACTGAACTTTCATTCCAAAAATTTATACTAACTAAACAGTCATGACTATCAGCACTTCATGGCACATAAATTAGGATTAGTGTAAATTGGTAAGGCAATACAGGGATAAGCTGGGTAGGGAAGTCCAAAATTCTGCTAAGGCCGAGTTGAAACCAAAGGTACCTACCTACCTAGCTCTATATACTAGTTATAATCAGGAGCACTCTATATAGAATGGGATGGTCACTCTAGTCTTATAACTATACTCTTTTTATATTAAGAACTGAGAAGTAAGTGGATAACCACAGAAAAACTGCTAAGATGTTCAGGACTTAAACAACAATAGAATTAACTAAGTAAAGTAAATAATCCGTACAGATAACGTTAGAGAAAATAGGAAAAAAGACTGCTACGTATTGGATTCGGAAAAGGAGATTTGGGGTACCACAGAGGTGGGGACAGTATTTTGTCTACCCGACGGCGTTTTGCTAGTAACCCAAACCTAGACCTGAGCATAGATAAACCTGAGCGACCAGTTGTTTGTTGAAGGGAGGAGGTGAAACTCGGGCTTATAAGGTTTGCCCGCATCATCTACACCCACCGTCATCCGCCCCCCCTCAACAGCAACGGTGCAGCGTGATGCAATAGGTATCCATGCTGTCGGCCAGGAAGCCACTTGCTCATCACCTGGGATCTTATCGCCCCCATACCGAATACATCGCCCGACCAAGCGCTTTTGACATTCTCACCAACATCTTGTTCCCTTCACGACGAAACTCGAGTGATCAAAATTGCAATAAACTCAAGCGCACATTATCAGCCTATCTAAAGGTGAATATCACCCCGTCGTCCTAGCTGCCTCAGGCTTTGAGCGGTGAGCCGTTTCAACTCAACCTTCCGACTGGTCCATTTGTATGTAAATCCTGACATTGGCCGTCCCTACATGCCCAAAGGCATCTGCAGGCTTTCGGCTTGCCTGGACGTTAAGCGGTAACAAGAACAACAAAACAACAAGCCGTCGCAAAACTTCCACGCCAAAATCATCGCTCCTAATCACCTCATCTCGGCGCCGACGTTGTCATCTTCGCTTACGGCCTCTCAATTCTTTACTTTATGAGACCGCGCTAACGCCGCCACAAGCACAGAACCAATCCATCACACCCAAGAACCGGTTACCAGGTACTTGCAAAATAGTTAGAAGAAGCAAAACTAGAAGAATATCATTGGGAAACGTGTTTCGAGAGCTACCGTGTTATCGACAACCTCCGGCTGGTGAGTTTTTGGCAGTGTCAGACACCTTGAACAACCGCTACGTTCATTTAGGCGGCTACAATTCAAAACCCTTAGTGGTAGTAGTCGACGCGGTTGATACTTAGCCGAGTACAAGCTACATCATGATTACTGCCTGACCACCCGGTTTGCGCATTTCAGCAGTAAACCGCCGCAGTTGCTCCCGTGGATACGGTTGATAGGGAAGCGGGCCAGTATGGGGATTAGAACATTTTCGTGGCATCCCTCAGAGCGCCATCGTCATGATCACAACTTAATCTGAGCTGGCAGGCCGCTGCGCCGTTTACTGTTCCCCGCCGGACAACGATGAGCCATTGACAACCAGTAACACGCAGATAACCTGATTCAACAACCGTTCGGTGGGGAGCCATCAAAACCCGCGGACCCGACAACAAACCACTGGTTTTGGAATGATCTAGGTAATGGGCAGGCACCAGACAAAGTCGAGCACCAGTCATTCCAGCCCCAAATGAAGAGAAGCCTTCGTGCACTACGTGAAAGACTGGTATGCCTTCGCTTCCTACTCTCCATTCCGCTAGCCCATGTCTTGCATTGACCATCGTCACCTTCCACGGCAAACACCGTGACCAGAACAGTGGCTGTGCTAAGTTAGTTTTTCCTTCTGTTTTTCCTTCTTTATTGCGCTCTCTTTGCTGCTTCTCCTTTGCTTTCACTTTTTCGCTTTCTCTTTCTTCAAGTTTGTCCCTTCTTTTTCGCTCCCAATATTGTCTTCTTTCCTTCTTTTCTAGCCTGCGCCCCAGAATGCTTCTAACAAGACATCGCCAACAACATGGGCGGTTGCTAACGACAGGATACCCGAAAACGAAGTGAGAGACCCCAACTTCAACCGTGCGACTACGTCGCAGATCTCTGCTGGCGGGAGTCGATAGTCAGGTGGTTTGATGGGAATCAACATTCGCTTCGATATTTCTTCAAGAACTTAGTATTCTGTGGACCACTCAAGGGGAAGGATAATTTACGTCATCCATTGAAAGAATTCTCAAGCCAAATGTTAGATGTAGTGTCCATGTCCATTGATGGCCGAATGCTGATGTGGAGCAGCTACAGCACGGTTTTCCGGAGACGAGACGGAGCTACATACTATGGCAAAGCTGGAATCTGTCCTACATCGCCATCAATCCTGACCTGGACCCCCTCACTCCACCTCGCCGCCGCTGCTGCAGGGGAGGCCATGGAAAAGCGATGTGCGCCTTGCAACCGTACTCGGCTCAAAATCGTAAGTGATTCCCTTCTCCCCGTTTCGGTCCTTGGAAGCTCGAGAGACGGTTTCGGGCGGCGCATCCGATGCTGCGTCGGTGTGGCTCTTATCGTCACTCGCGCTGATGCCGAGCAGGTTCCCCGGTGGGGATGCCCGGAGTTCCCATTGGCTAAGACCTTGGGTTTTGCCGGCGACGTTGTAAGAGGGACTAAACCGAAGCAAACCTTCGAACCCATCCATAGATGTCTCAGAGTTTGCATGTGGCCGGGGATGTAGAGGGAGACCAATGCCGGGAGATCCCTGGGTGACGGAGACAGCCTCGGTCGTCAGAGAGATGCCATCGAGAAGCGGAAACGGGTCGAAGGAGGGCGAGCGCGGTACCTGCACCTCCTCTTCTACCACTCCGTTTACTGAGTTGTGGCTTTGCCCGGCCTTCCAGATGTCGGCTTTCTGGCTCAACGGTTGGCTTTCGCCAATGATCTGTGTGGGCGGCAGGCTTGACGCAGCATACTCAAAGAGTTGCTTCCAGTGGTTAGCCATGGGTACTGGTAGCTGTCGTGGAACAAACCCACCAGAGGACGCTTTGGTTTCCGCTTTGTTCCGGGGCCCTTCCTGGAAGCAGAAATGGTACCGCATTCCGCTCCAAGCGAGGCCTCCTTGCCCTTGTTGTGGCTCATGAGCTCTTCCTCATCAACTCTTTCCACTGTGTGGTTCTTTGACACGTTCCTGCTCGAAACAGCTGTTATTGGCGGCGAGGGTTGCGCTGCTTTTGACGCTCGAAACCGCACGACACCCTTTGCTGAGTTCTGCGTCTTCTTCCGCTTCTTCTCAGCCCGGCTGGCTGCTGATGTCTTTGGACGTTTGCTTGAGGGCTCTTTGTGGACAGGAACCTCAGGCTCGGAGTCGTGGCTAGTCTCGCGTATCACTCTGTCCATACCAACTAGGGGCAGGGGCATGATCCTAGAGAGATCAGCGAAGTCCAAAACAGCTTTACGCTGGCGGTACTGACTCGAGACGCGTAACCCTTGTGTAGGCATATCCATCCCGCTGCTGCAAGTCGAGGTTGGCGTCATCGAAATCGGAGCGGTCGAACTTCCAAACACCAATGGGAGGGTCGTCCGGGCGTTCTGTGGCATGAAATGCCAACGTCCAGTGCATGGGTTCTGGCTTCATCAGCGTTGAACTGCAAGCCAAAAAAAAAAAAAAAAATTTGAAGGCTGACCTGTCCAGGACGGAAGCCGGCTGAGATAGTCTCCCAAGTCCCACAGCTGGGAATCAGTGGTGGCAGCGTGCTGAATCCCCATCCCTGCCCTCCAGATGTCCAGGATATAAACGCCGTTGTGCTCATACTTGAACGCGACGGTGTAATATTCGACCAGACTCTTCTCGCCCCATGCCTTTGTCCGCAGGAACGATATCCGGAATTTGACAAGAGCTTCGTTCTCGATAAGTGGGAAAATATCTTCTTCCTGGGCGCGTAAAATGTCAGCTCGGTCATCTAAGAAAGAGACGCGGCGCATACCAAGATGCCCAAAAAGCGGTTGAGCCCGTAATTCCCAGTTTGCCGAAAGTACACTGTGTGTGCCTGTTCCCTGAGAATCTCCTTGTCATGAGTGTGAATACCGGACCCCGAGGCAACGATATCTTCAAAAGATCTCGATACAACTCCAGCCACTGGCAACAGTTGGAAACACTCGGGTGGAAGGGCGCGTCTGCGCTCCATCAGGATTCAACTCCGGCGCGCGAAACGACCTAGTGATTGACATACCTGGAGTACAGGATCTGACTTATCTGAGGCAATGATGAGTTAGAACGTGCAACGGGTTGGTTCCAGGCGATGCCTTACCGCTGCGCCAAACACGACCTTGCACAGCTCGAGATCGCGCTTTGGTGGAGGCTCACATACTGCGTAAGACGCTGAAGGTCGTTTGGCCATGTTGACGATAGCGCGACGGTACCAAAATTCCGAGAAGGCGTGCTGCGCGACTCGTGATTGTCGACGGTGGTTGCGGGTTCGGCCCACAAAATCTCAAATTCGACTCCCGCAAATTGAAAGGAAGTTTTTTCCTTGGTAGCAGGACTTTGACCAGCAGGGGGTTTTTCCGGGACAATCAAAAGCCAGGCCGAACCTTCGGGTGGTCGGGGGCTGGAACTTGGAAGAGTCGGAGGAAAGAGCAGAAGATGGATGCTGCGAAAGGCAGGCGCGGACAGCACCCCAATTTGCTAAGTGCGCGGCCAGACGCCGCATTTCCCATGGGGGGTTTCCCGAATCTGGATTCTTGACAGGGCAATGGGTTGAGGGCCTGTCTGTCAACTCTCTCAACTTGTCCGGGAGATGATAGGGACCTGGAAGAACCTTCTGAGCCGAACACGCTGAACCAAGCGAGAAAATGGTGTCAGGTCACTGGACTGGAAGATGACCGGTCGAAAGTCGACCGTCGTTGCTATAGGTAGAAGGGTCCCGTTTCCCCGTCTCGCCGACTGATAGCAGATGTCACTGGAGGAGGTTGGATGACCTCCACACCAGATTGGTCCCCCTCATTAGAGTGGGAGGGAGTAAATGCCGGCAGGCACTTTCATAGCTAGCCACCCAACTGAGGTAAGGGAGTTGTATGACTGCTGAGATTTCTGGTTTTCCTTCTGTCTATCTTGTAACCTGTATTGTACCTTGGAGTTTTGACTTTCATGATTTCATCCTCTCCATCCTTTTCGGCCACTTCATCTCGTTTGTTACGCCAGCTCAGGTTTGACAGCCATTTATAGGAGCGGATCGTGCGTGTGGAAAATTGGGTTTGTCGAGCCCGTGGATCAAGTTGAGTTGTTAGATCTGGGTGATCAGGCGGAGCAATGAGTCCTGAGAAGATCAGCAACTTCTATGCAGGTTCCCAACTGGATAGCTGACGCTCCAGGCACGGTGAGTGTACTTTGAGAGTGACAGCTTGACAACAAAATTCTTGAGATCGGCTTCTCAGGTGATGCGAATGTTCATGAACATCCGTCGACTTGGACTTCAGCAACAGCAGCGCCTCCCGTCGAACCCGTGCCTGTGAACGACCGGGATCGACGAAGCACATGCAATGATTTCGAATCATCCGTAGTTTATTATGTAAAGAACATCCTGTAGGACTCTTAGATAGAACTCGGCGGGGGAGTATGGCCTTGCTTCTCTGTACTTGCTCTCGTCCAAGATTCAAAACTGAGGATGCAGACCTGCCCTTGTTGAAGCCCCGCCGTGATAAATTCCGGTTTGCGCTACCGCTTCGGGTCTTGCGCAACCCGGTTGGCAAGGCTGTTGAAATGGCAAGGTTGAGACGCGCAACCTGGAAATGGAGGAGTACGGAGTATAAACGAGCTTCAAACGGAACACCTGCGAATAGCTGAGGGGTTCTGAATCCTCGGCAAGTGTTTCGAGACTTCCGAACAAAAACGGAAGCCGCTAGTGTTGCGGTCGCCGAGTCCCTGGTTCGGGCCGGAGCAGCCTTCCCCGCCGCCTTCGCCTGCAGCGTGACGAGGATGAGTGGCCCAGGCCACACAACCTTTCCCCTCCCGAACTCAAACGCAGATCGACCGGAACGATTGAGAGAGGTTTCGGCGAAAGGGAGACCTCAACCTTTGGCCGGTGTTGCCGAGTCGGTGTAGTCAGGGACCAAGGGCACTTGTAGGTATGGAGTAGTCCCATGGATTCAACGCCACAGTTAGTGGCTGGTTCCCCGAATCACGGGGCAGGCGGGGACTTGACCGGAAATGGAAATCGGCGACAAGACGGGAGTCAACGAGACAGAGCGATGCAATAGCTATGTGTCGCCGCATCATACCAGGGCTTATTGTTCTGTGAATTACTTCATGGGTATGGTCTATTGTTCACCGATTTGCGATGGATTCGAGGCTTTTAGTATCTTCCTTCTCTGCACTTCTGTTTTTGGGCTCGGTTTCTCTGTTGGATTCTTGTGTCCAGGTTTTCGCGGTCGGAAATTGACAGGGGTGGCACAAGCACGCTCTGTGCAAATCGAAGCGGAGCATGCGTTAGCCAAGTTGGGTCCAGTCTCGCCTCTTCCGTTGACTCCTGGAATCACCACTCACCATCACCTTACCTCAGCAAGGGCAGGAGCCAACAACGGGCTCAACTCGACCTTGTGCCCGACTGCCCGCCACTCCGCCTTGACCTTTCTATAGTACTCGTCTCTCTTCTCAGCGGAGCAGCAGCCTGATTTATTTTTCTGAAACCTTCAACGATACCCCATCCACGTTTTGTTGTGGCCCGAATCCATTTCAGTTCCCGCCCTCAAAGCCTTTGTTGCCTCCAGATCCGTTCCATCTTTGCCCTTACGGCCCTCCGACTACCACAGCCGCCCTTTGCCGATCACGCGAAACAGCAATGATAGATGGACTCTCAAATCTGATAGTCAACTGATAATATGTGGGGAACGCTCCTGCTCGTAACACGCGCTGGAAGACGACGATCCCGTGTCCGTTACGCGTTGGTCCGAGTGTCTCCCACTACCGCGGAAATCACCAACATCCGACCTCCAGCCGACCTTTGCTCGAGAACGCGGTGGCACGAGCCCCCCTTGAACACTCGGACGCCTCCACATCTGGGACTGTTGGAGGAGAGAACCTTTCCGGCAAGGTGCTTCCTGCAGCCAAACGACTCTCTCTCCAACCATCACCATGGAGGCTCGCCGACCACGGTCCGGGCACAGGGTCTCCATGACTTGGCAGGAGGACGAAGGCACGGTAACACACCACCGTATGATGCAGTTTGCCGACGAGTGTATCGAGACGAAGACGGTCACCACTACGACCACAACAAAGCGCTCTTATCCGCCCCTCTTTCTCCGCGAGCCACGTCAAGTACATGCGCTCGACTCCAAAGAATACCCCCTTGCGGCGAGGCCGACTCCGCTCGAGTTGCGAAGTCTGACATTCGATCTCGATGACTACGAGATCGCGAGCTGGGAAGACGAGGATGGCATAAGTGCCGAGGTGAGCGACACCGGGTTATTCCACTTCTCGTTGGACACGTGTGCTAACACAATTGTCAAAGGTGCAACGGTCCCAAAGCACAGACTATACCGGCAACATTAAGCGCGAACCAGGCGTCGAGAGCCCCGTCTCCAACTATCCACACGAAAACCCGGAGCCGTTCCCACGTAGATCCCGAAGGTCAACAACGAGGGCCGTTTCACCGAGCTACACACCGATGCCGACCAAAAACCCTCGCTTGGGCACCAAACCTACGAGCGCTGCACATACTCTATCTGAAAAGTTACGCCACGCCGCTGCACGTGGCCCCCGGAGGGAAGCGGCCAGGGGACTCCGACGCTCGTCTGGTTATCTTGCTACGCCTACCCACTCCGAACTCACCAGTGGTCGCATCGAGAGGACTTCGAGGTTGCGACCCCTTCCTGTTGACACAGCAGACTCTGGCATGAGCCAGTCCACCTCGGTTTTTGAAGCGGACAGCCCAGCGGACATTGAGTCGCAAACATTCAGCAATGTCGCGACGCCGCCTATCACGGACGCTGAGCTTCAGCCTTTCGACGACGCGGATGACTCCCTCTCTCACATAGCCCACGGCCTACCCCCAAGACGCAGTATTAGCTCGCTAGCCGCCCAAGACGTGAGCCTCCCTAGTCCACGGCTCTCGCCCACCCTAGCAGCTACGCAGCTGCAGCCCAGCCAGATTGACGATGAAGAGGAGGAAACCATAAACACCTCTTTCTCGACGCAACTCTCCCCCTCTGGGCCACAACAATGGACAGAGGACAGCCAGGCGACTGATGACACCGAAGTACCAGGCGCAATGGATCTATCTCCAGCTCGGGATGGCAACTCGCCTGCTCGATCAAAGCCGCGCCGGCGCCACTACGTGGACCCCGGCGCGATGCTCAACAGCTTCGACGCCATGCCAAACGAGCTCAAGACATGGATGATGTACCAGTTCTTGAGGAGATGTCCCCGGAAAACGCTCCATGTGGTGGCCGACGTGGTCAACCCGGCTCTCAAGTGCGACTTCCTCAAGCAGCTGCCCATAGAGCTTAGCCTCCACGTGCTGTCTTATCTGGACCACCGCGACCTTTGCCGCGCGGCCCAGGTGTCCAAGCACTGGCGGCACATTGTGGACAGCAACGAGCCGGGTTGGAAGGAGCTTTTCGACCGTGACGGGTTTTCGCTACAGCCAGGAGAGCTCCAGCGGGCGATCAACGAGGGCTGGGGATGGCAGGATCCTATTGGGTTCGAAGGCTGTGAGGTGGACTTGAGCAACCAGAGTCGGCTCAGGTTTAGCGAGAGTGAGCTCATTCGGGCAGCAGTCAAGGCTGAGCAACAAGAGTACCTGCCAAGAACGAGGAGTGCCAAGCGGAAGCGGGGGCTGACACAGATCAACGCCGAGAGAGCCAAGCGTCGGGCCAGTGCCCAGGAAGCAAGGGCGGATCGAAGCCTGGCTTCGGCTAAGATGCATAAATCCGAGGGGCCCATCTCGGCTGCCAACGCTGCAGCGCTTGCTGTCCCCGATCCCCAGATTGGCCTCCCTAGCCTCCGACACCTCCACCTTTTTAAGTCCCTCTACCGAAGACACTACATGTTTCGACAAAGCTGGATGAGCGGGAAGGTTAAGCCCAGCCATGTTGCGTTTGCGGCCCACCCACGCCACGTCATCACATGTCTCCAATTCGACGACGACAAGATCATTACAGGGAGTGACGATACCCTGATACACGTCTACGATACCAAGACGGGCAAGCTGCGCACAAAACTCGAGGGCCATGAGGGTGGCGTTTGGGCGCTCCAGTACGAGGGGAACACATTGGTGTCGGGAAGCACAGACCGCTCCGTTCGCGTCTGGGATATCCAGAAGGGTATCTGTACGCAGACGTTTTACGGGCACACGAGTACGGTGCGGTGTCTTCAGATTGTCATGCCTGCAGACACCGGCAAGTTTCAGGATGGCAAGCCCGTCATGATGCCGCCCAAGCCACTTATCATCACAGGCTCCCGGGATAGCCAACTCAGGGTCTGGCGACTGCCCGAGGCAGGATCCCGCCGCTACATTCAGACTGGTCCGCCGGCGAACGACGATCAGTGCCCGTACTTTATTAGGATCCTTTCCGGGCATGGCCACTCAGTCCGTGCCATTTCGGCCCACTGCGACACTCTCGTTTCCGGCAGCTACGATAGCACTGTTCGCGTCTGGCGCATCAGCACGGGCGAACAGCTCCACGTCCTCCACGGCCACACCCAGAAGGTATACTCAGTCGTCCTAGACCACAAACGGAACCGGTGCATTTCCGGTTCCATGGACTCGCTGGTCAAGATTTGGGATCTCAACACGGGCAGCTGCCTGTTTACCCTCGAAGGGCACAGCATGTTGGTTGGTCTCCTGGACTTGCGCGACGATCAGCTCGTGTCGGCCGCGGCAGACAGCACGCTGAGAATCTGGGATCCGCAGACGGGCAAGTGCAAGAAAGTGCTTGAGGCTCATACCGGGGCCATTACCTGCTTTCAACATGACGGGTGCAAAGTCATCTCGGGTAGCGAAAAGACGGTCAAAATGTGGGATGTGAAGACGGGCGACTGCGTCCGGGATCTCCTCACCGACTTGAGCGGCGTGTGGCAGGTCAGGTTTGATGACCGGCGATGTGTGGCGGCGGTGCAGAGGGACAATCTGACATATGTCGAGGTAAGCTCTGGAACAATGGTGTAGTAGGGACATCGCTAACGAAACTCCCAGATCCTCGACTTTGGAGCTGTCCGCGATGGCAGACCGCCTGAGGAGTTGGGCAGGCGGAAGCTGCTGAATGAGGCGGAGGTCCAGCGCTTGATTGCCGAGGAATCCTAGTTGGCCTCGGAGGCACATATGGGTACAAACTGAGGTTTGACCGTTCTCTAGCCCTGAATCCGACATCCTAGACACGACTAGCTACAGGATACATGGGTTATTACGACGGGCATGATCTGGTGAAAGGGACACAACAGAACGAAGCCAAACAGGAGCGCCGTGATGGTGTGCATTCGGCATTACCTCCTATCGTCATTCTTCATGGTCATAGCGAATATAGCCGTGGAACGAGAACTGGTCAGGCAAGGCAAGGCAACACGGGTATATTATTTCGAGATGCCGTACATAGCGTTATCATTTGGGCATTTTCCCTTTCTCTTTCATATTCGTACTTTCTCCGATTTCTGGCGCATGGCATGGGGAACGGTACAGGCATCGGCATGGTGGGAAATCAAAGGGCTGAGGAGTGCAGGGTCTGACGGGCGTTGTCGCTGTCGCTCTGCACCGTCTATCAAGTAGCTTGCATTTGCCATTTTACCTCAATCAGTACCTAATGAAGCCACGACTTGGGATTTTCAGTGTGTGTTGGGGCGTCGATTGTGGTGAGGAAAAGTTCTGATGTGACTTGAGAGTTGATTACTTCCAGCCCACAACCCATAACGCAACAGAGTTGACCATCTACTCAAGGATGAGGAGATGGCCTTGGCTCTCGTTACGTTTTAAAGTAAGGTATCTTCTATCTTCCTGAATTCGAGCCACATAGACATGTTCACAGCAAGCGATTGCGTTGCGTCCCACCATGGACCCATACCATTCCGGGAGGTGGATAGCGCCAAGACGTCATAAACCCCTGAAGCCTTGCAGGGCAGGAGACGGGGCTTCAGCGGGCACACGACAACCCTCAGCCTTGAGCCCAATCGTCACGGTTCGCCACACTCTTCAGCTTCACCCGCGCGATTTGGACTCGTTGTGCCACCTCGATGCTTCGGGCCTTCTTCAAAGGATTTCGACGGCGGTGACTGATCGCCATGGCACCCCCGAGGGCTAATTCCAATTCGGCTGTAGTGGCCCGAAGCGGAATCATGGGGTCGTTGTCGAGTTTCTGGCAGGTTGGTGTCCCAGTTGCCGCTCTGGAGCTTTTCGATGGTGGATGTTGGGCTAACTCGAGTCCTCACAGAGAACCTACGCCGCCGACTACATTGGCTTTGTTCTCCTCCTGGCCGGATATCTGATCGTACGGACGCCTTTATCTTTGATCGACCAAGGCGTGTGACTCCGGTCGGCGAGCTAATAGAGGAGCAGGTCCAATTCACTGTCGAGCCTTTCCACCGCATGTTCTCCCTCAACGACCTCCGCATCGCCTTTCCCCACGCCGAGGAAGAGCGCGTTCCCCTCGGTAAGCGGCCTTTAACGTCAGCTCCTCCACATCGTCCACCTGCTTACACCTCTTCACGCAGTGCACAACTTCCTCTACGCCCTCTTTCTCCCCCTCCTCGTGCTCCTCCTCACCAACCTCTTTACCCACGCCTCCGCGCACAAACATCATGTCGCCGTCCTCGGCCTCGCCATCTCCCTGATCCTGGCCTCCTTCCTCACCGACGTCATCAAAAACGCAGCCGGCCGGCCCCGGCCCGACCTGCTCGCGCGCTGCGTCCCCGAACCCGGCACGCCGCGCGACGTCCTCGTCACCATCGCCGTCTGCACCCGCAGCTCCAAAACAGACCACCACACGCTCCACGACGGCTGGCGCTCGTTCCCCTCGGGCCACAGCTCCTTTTCCTTCGCGGGGCTGGGGTACCTGAGTCTGTTCCTGGCGGGCCAGCTGCGCGTGTTTGCGCACACGGCGCCGTCTCGGGGCCAGCTCGTGGAAAAGGTGGTGCGCGGCGATTTGGTACGGGCGCTGCTCTGTGGCGCGCCGCTCCTCGGCGCGACCATGATCGCTATCAGCCGGTGCCAGGACTACAGGCATGACGTCTGGGACGTGAGTGTTGGGGCGCTGTTGGGGTTGACGGTGACGTATTGGAGCTATAGGCGGTACTGGCCTAGGCTGGGGAGTGGGAGGTGCGATGAGCCGTTTGCTGGACCGCCGGGGGCAGAGGAGGTAGGGTATTATGGGAGGGTGAGGGATCTGGAGGAGGGGCCAGGGTCGAATGTGGGTATCCAGATGGGGGTGTTGTTTGGTGGGAGGCAGAGTGGTTGCTAACGTGTTATTTCGTAGGTCGATTGAATGTACCGGCCATCTGGTGTACATATTGCGGCGTTGAAGGTTTGGGGTCTGCGCGTTTGCGGTAATTGTGAGGGTTGGATGGCTTCCCACGACACCACGCAAGCTGCTCGACCACCGTTGAGCACGGAGTTTGCAATGACCTCTAAAAGTACAAGCATAGATCGCAAGCAGCCTACTTCTGTCTTATCGCCCATCTATCACTTCTCAACCTACTTTTCCTCGGCTGTCTCATCCTTGGCCAAGTCGTGTTCCTTCAATAACTGATTGATCTCTTCCGCGCTCCATAGCTTATGGAAGATCTTGCCGTCCTTGGTCTGGCCCACCGTCGCAAACTCGACTGCTTCCATGTTAACTGTTGCCCAATGGTTTGGTGGATCTGGCTGCCCACTCACTCTTTTCGCTGCTCAGCTTCGTCGAGTCCATCGTCTTGCTCAGCACCTTGACCGCCATACCGCAAGCCTCCTTGAGCGTGCAGTCCTCCTTGTAGTCCTGCTTCAGCAAGCTTTGGGCACTCGCATGGTTGGCGCCCGAGCTCGTAGCCTTCCACCCCCCGTAGTTGCCCGAGGGGTTGCTCAGGTACAGCTGGAACTGGCGCTGCGGGTCCCAGCCGGCGTAGATGAACGAGACGCCAAACGGCCGTAGGCCGCCGTGTTGTGTGTAGCCTTGCTTGAGGTCGCACAGCCGGCGCACCAGCTGCTCGCAGGGAATGTCTTCGTTGTACGTCAGCAGGTACCGCTGGGCGGCTTGCCGAGCGTAGTTGATGAGAATGTTGGCATCAGCCGTCATGCCTGCGACGGCGCACATCATGTTGCTGCAGGCCGGGTCAGCGGCGCCGACCTAAGAGTTTCATGCTCCCTCCTCAAATGTCCTTACTCATTAAGAATGTAAAGCTTCTCGGCTGATGTGTCCTGCTCGAGCAACTTCGATGTGACCTTGCGTTCCGCGGCGAGGACGATGCCATCCTTGGCCAGGATGCCGATAGCAGTGCCGGCATGAGAGATGGCTTCTAGCGCGTATTCGACCTGGTAAAGGCGACCGTCGGGAGAGAAAATGGTTGTCTGTGGAACGGATAAGCTTCAGCGCCCACGTCGAGCTTCCACGGTGCGCCCATTCATGGTTCTGTGGAGTCGGGACAGCGACCAACATACCCGAGAATCATATCGTCTCGACATTGTTCTGGCTGGGTTGCAGAAACGAGCGGTGAAATCGTAGGTTTGCTAAAGGCTGGCGAGGGCCCTGCTGTACTGGTGGGCTTGCTGGTTTGAGCGGACGCAAATGCCTTGGGTTGTCTGCCCATGCGGTAACAGGCGGAAGGCTGATGATTGATGCTGCAGCTCAGATTGAGCTCCAGGCAAGCGCTAACGATAAACGTTAACACGCGTAGCTGCTTGCTGCCTTGCACTCTTGGTGGGGCCTTGGAGCACGTACCCCAACTTCGCAGTCCCGGTCAGCTTATCTAATCTCTCTCGGCGTTTTGACTTGAGGTCGCGACCGTTCGGCAAACTCCTCTTTCCAACCTCTCCGCAACACAAACTGAACCACCACGACACCACCGGGAGAGACCGTCACAGCTGCGGTTTCCCGGCCACAAACTAAAACGCCATTACCGCAACCATCTCTGCGACAAGCTGAGCTCCAGCCTCGTGATCTGCGGGTTTCGCGCCCAGTTTTCCAGCGGCACGCGCGCACTCTCTCGGCGCCGGGAATTGAAGCTTGGGCCCAGAGCTATCCACGACGCCGACACCCGCAGCCTCTTGTTCCTGTCCGCACCATTCACAACAATCTGTCGGCGCACGCAAGACGGAAGGAGCTGGGAAAACAGGCAGCGGGATTTCTGCATATACCTCTAGGGAATTTTGTCGTCCCGTCCCTTGAGTGCATGCTGCAGCGTCCAGTCCTATTGTTTAGTTTCTACCTATCTGATCCAAGCGTAAACATCCTATCAAGTGACTGCGTGCGACCGTCACGCATGCTCTGAGCAATCCGCAGTAGATATCCGCAGCACAAGGGAGGACAAAAGCGGTATCCGGCACCCACGCAGTCAAGCAGCCTTTGTTTGGTCCCATCTTGATGCGACAATGTCCGGTAAGCAGCAACAAGAGCGTTGACGTTCTCTGCCAAACCCCCATCCCTATCCCACACGAGAGTCGACTGCATGGACAGCAAGCCAGCGCAATGCCGCCTCTCATTCGCAGCCTTCGCGGGCAGCAGCTAACTAGCAAACCATCACCAGAGCCGGAAACCCGTCGATCCGCCAGGGCCACGAAGGGCCAGCACAAGGCGTTGGAGCAGCTCGACCAGCCCATCGAGGTTCCGAAGCGTCGCGGCACCAAAAAAAGCAAGAAGGCGGCACCCGAGCCAGAAGAACCCGAGGAGGAGATCATTCGCTGCGTCTGCGGCGCGACAGAACAAGATGAAGACTCGGGCGAGCCGTGGATCGCATGCGACCAGTGTGGCGCCTGGCAGCATAACATCTGCATGGGCATGAGCCAGTACACCGAAGATCTGCCCAAGGAGTACTTCTGCGAGCTATGCCGGCCCCAGAACCACAAGGAGCTGCTCGCTGGCATCGCGCACGGCGAGAGGCCGTGGGAAGCCCGCCGCAGAGCGTACGAGGAGGAGAAGGCCGAGAAGAAAAAGAAGGGTCCAAAGAAGGGCAAGAAGCGGACGAGCGATCTCAAGGAGGATGCCTCCCAACATCCGAAGCAGTCTCCACCGCCGCCTCCCGAGGCTAAGAAGGACGCCAGGGCTGTTGGTATGAAGCGCAAGAACGGCGAGGTCCCGCAGGACAAGGAAAGCAAGGTAAGACAGCTGACTCCGATTTCTGACTTTGGGTCGCCCGGCTAATGAACTCGCCAACTCCGGGTCCGTTGCAGAAGATACGCAAAGTCAATGAGACGCGATCCGTTCCTGTGCCAAGCTACTCGCCTCCCGCGGATATTCCTGACAACATCATTGGCCTGCCAGAGGCACGTCAAGGCCCGGCAAAGCTATTATCAAAGTCGTTGGTTGCCTCAATTGGAGTAGCTGAGAAGAATGGCGCCCACCCCTCTGACGGTGTGTCCGTCGCTGACCGTGCGGAGCGGTTCGCCCTGCAGATTGAGCGCGCCGTGCATGACACTCACGCCAACGTGGCGTCATATGCCAGTCAGGTCCGGACACTGGCCTTTAACTTGAAGAGCAACGCCGAGCTCACTATCCGGCTTATTGACCGAACATTGACTCCCCCCATGCTTGCCTCCATGTCAACCGAGGAGCTGGCTTCCAAGGAACTACAGAAAGAAACGGCCGAGATGCGTGCAAGAGCAGAGAAGCAGGCGATTAAGATCACCGAGGATGTCCCACGTGTTCGGCGAACTCATAAAGGGGATGAGATCATTGGGGACGACGGCCTCATCACCAGCGAGGAAGTGCCGTCTGGGCCAGTTGGGCGGCCAAGCGCGCCAAAGAAGGAGCCCAAGGAGGCGCCGGACTCCCTGCCTCAAGCCGGACACCGGCCTTCTGCCGCCGGACTCACGGTGGCCACGCAAAACTCTCCCGCCAGAGCTGATTTCGACCTCAACAAGGTCTTCTCGAGCGTAAAGTCACCGACGCTTCCTCAGGGCCAGCCGCGTGCATCATTTGCAGCCGCGCCAGCCGTCGGGCCTGGAGTGGATCCAGATGTCGATCGACTCTTGGACGACGGCACACAGTCTCCTCCGTACTCACCTAAGGAGGATAACGATCCAGACGTAGTTTGGCGAGGGAACATCATCATGAATACGATTGCCGAAGTCCAAGTCGTCGCCAAGCACATAGGCGGTGCCAACTTGAGCGAGACAATTGGCCTGGCCTGGGACAAGCTCCTCCCTCGGAACCTGACGGTTTGCGGGCGCATCGATGAACAGCAAGCCATTGTTTACCTGTGCGGACTGCGATATAGCTTGCCGACCGATGTCGTGGTTGTCAGCTTGGAACCGACCACGCCGGCAGCGAAGGCATCCATGCAGAAGCTGATCGATTACTTCGTCTCTAAGAAGAGATACGGAGTCGTGGGAGACAAAGGTGTTGCCAATGTCCGCGATACTTATCTCGTCCCTGTGCCCGCCGGCACCGGCAACCAACCCGAGTTCATGATGAACTTGGCGGACAACTTCATTCCTGACACGAGGGAGGAACCGATGTTGCTCTGCGTTATTGTCTATCGCAACGACCCTGAGACCATTCAACGTATCCACGGCACAACAGATCCCAATCACTCCCTGAGGATGCATCAGGCTTTCGCCCAGGGCTCTGGTCCTGTCCCGTCACCTGGAACTCCGACACCCCCTCAGGGAGGGTTCCCGCCTGCAAGCCGGCCGTCAGTCTCAGCACCCGCATTTTCACCAACTTCTCCGCAGGGTCCGTTCCCGCAATACCCGTCGCCTAGGATGGCCGGGCCCGTGTCACAGCCCCAGCCGCCGTCGGCCCCGACTACGCAGGCCGCGAACCAGGCGCCAAACGTGGATGAGTTGCAGCGGCAGGGCGAAGCTATTGCCCGTGAAGTACTTGGCCATCTCATTACCAGCCCGACAGTATCGTTTTTGTTACCGCAGGCGCACGGGATGTCGCGTAGGGAGTGGGAGGTGGTCAGAAACTTCTATGAAAAGGATCCAAGGACCCGGGACGACCTGCCGTATCTCAGCGCCGTCCTGGAGAAAGAGGGACAGCAGCAGAGGCAGCCCTCGCAACCTCAGCCTGCGCCCCAGGCTCAAGCGCTGCCGCAATCCCTCACTCATCAACAGAACCGCCCGCAACCCCAACACATGCCACCCCAACCTCAGCCCCAGCATCAACCGCATCATCAACATCAGCCCCACCATCCTCCGCATCCTGCACGCAACACTCCTATCCCGCCGCCTCCGATCCCTCCAGCCGCTGCCGCCGGACCCCCAAGGCAAACACCCATCCCACCGCCGCCCATCCCGCCGCAAGCAACGGCGAATTCTGGGGCCCCGCCGGTGTAGAGGGCCGGTCAACGGGGTGGAGGTGCTGAAGTTGGATCCGTTCCTTGCCCGGCTCAAGGCCAGGCCCTGGGTCCGCCTTCTCGCGAGCTGGATGCCTTACTGTCACAGCCCCGCCGACGGGTGTTTCGTCTGCCTCCCATGAACCAAGCATCACATCAACCACATCGTCCATCTCAGCCAGGCAGAGTCAGTCTCTATCTACGTCGCCTGCTCCATCTGCTCCTTCACTCCCGAGCCGTCAACTCTCCCACCGCTTGGGAGTCGACCGCAAGGAGTCCCACCAAGCAAAAGACCGGTCCGGTCCGCGTTTTTCTGAACGCCTGTAGGAAATCCGCAATCGGTTCTTGGAATCAACCCCGAGTTTACCTCGTCTCCATACCTACAACGCTCCACCCATTTGCGACTCGCCCAAACCAGCACCATCAACGCGAACCAGCACCACCATGCCACTCCCCGTCCAACCTGTTTGCATTGTCCCCCAAGCCCGCTCACCCGCTTCAAGAAACGAAGCCCTTCACGTCCACGTTCGAAATGTCCACGTTCAAGACGCGCACACCTTGTCCCCCTTCATCTCCACCTACTAACCGTGTCACGCTGACGGGTGGCCCTGGGTACACGCACCCCTACAGTCCTCGAATACCGTCCAGCCTACAGCGCTCCTTCACACCAAGCGAGCCGCTGGCCCTGCCGTCGCGTGTGCAGGCGCCGGCGCAGCGGTCGATTCTTCGACAAGGCTGCGCATCCGTCACGTCGGTCGCCTCTGTTGTCGCCGCCGACGAGTCCGCCGCGCGTGGAGTCGAGGAGTCGGCCTGGTCCTGGTCCTGGTCCTGATCTTGATCTTGATCTAGGCTGTGAATTAGTGTCTGGATCTAGGTATAAATCTCGGTCTCCGCCTGCGGCTCGCTGTTCTGGTGGTGGCATTGACGGGTGGAGGCGGGCGGTGTGCAGGGCTGGCAGTGGGGGTGCCAAGCTTTGTCTATGTTTCGATTGTATTTCACTTGGGGCTGCGAGCGTTGTACTTGATGATGCCAGTGAGAGTCGTCGAAGTAACTCTGGGCCGGAGGAGGAGGATGAGGAGGACGCTATCATCGAGGCTGTTCTGGACGATGCGGTGGATTTGCAGGCTTGGGATTTCGATGAGTCAAGTTCTGGTGACAGTCTGGATTTCGGTGCCTCTCCTTCTTGCGAGAGAGACAAGGAGGATGAGCGATGTTGGGTTTTCGTGGGTTCCAATTGTGGTTACTCAACGAACGAAGAAGATGGTGAGGAGGAAGATGCCGGGAAGAACGATGCTGGCGATGGGGTGGGTGAGCAGTTATGGGTTCTTGGGGATTCAGATTCCGGTTATTCAACCAAGGAAGAGGGGGAGCCGGAGCGCTCTGGCGTGGGTCTGGAGGGGCGTTCTTGGGAAGCGGTCGACTCTGGATTTCATTCAGAATCTGATCTATCTCATGAACAACATTTAGATGATGCGTTTGAGGATTTGACTCGGGAGGTATTCAGCATCACTCTAAGGCTTTCGGGGCAGGGAGAAGATTATGTTGAGGGTGGAAGCGGGTGATATTACGCCTGGGTTTCACCTTTCCGTTTTCCACTTTCTTCTTTTCCTTGTATTTCCACTTCTCTGTCTGTTCTTTTTGGCTCCTCCCTCTTAGGAAGGGGCAGCGGTGTTCTCCAGCAATTGAGGTGCAAAGCGGGCGGACGCTTCTTGCGTTGGACAGGGCTGCCGGACGATAGCGGCTCAGGTCTTCGCCGCTATATGGGCTTGGTGGCGGGTCTCTCCACTTCTTTCGTACTTTCGCTACTCCTGTAACTTGTCTTTATCTGGAGCAGCGGAATAGGGCTTGGATTTGAGAGATCGTGGCGAACCAAGGTTTCGTAGGTACATATTGTATGGATCACCAGCACCAACCTCATGGCTGTTGCCAAAAACAGTCTCGTGATCAATGCCAACGGGAGTGTTTGTTCCATTCTGATTACCTGAGACTGTGGTGTGGCTTTGGGTCTGATCGGTGTTGTGTTGCGCGATTGGCTTACTCCTGATAATCTGTGGATTTCCTCTCTACCATTTCCATCCAGTTTGAATCCGTACCCAAACGCCGCCTCGATTTCATGGGTATCACACGAAGTCGTCGCGAAGCTCGCCCCACACTGCATCATCCCACTCCTGCTTCTGCCTCAATCTTGGGACACCGATAGTCTCCTCGGCGTCTGCATCCAACTGTGGCAACTGAATGCTGGCCAGTCCCTCAATCGTGCGCTTCGCCTTGTCCACCACGCTCCGAATCCCTGCCGTCTCAGCGCGCATTTGGTCGCCGTGGGCGTTCATAAGCTGAATCAGCTGCTCGCGGGCGTGGTGGGGGCGGTACTCGTTGAGGGTGTGGTGAAAGTTGAGCAACAGGATTTTTATGTCTTGGACTTTCTCCGCGGCCTGGCAGGTCGTGGTCAGTCTTATCGATCAGGTTCAGGTAAAACGGAGACCCACATGCGCCGGATTATGGCCCATGAGACCGATCAGCTCGAGGTAACTGAGCATGAGCGACTTGACGAGCTTTTTTAACTGAAAGCCGCGATCGAGATGGCTGCTGTCCCTGTCTACCTCGGGCGTGGGCCCTAGGCGCTGGATGCCGGCGTCCTCCAGGGTCTGAAGGGTTTCTGTGAGCTGGGCTCATGTTAGCGCACGGCTACATAGCAGCAGGACGATGAGAAGCCGCCCACAGTTTCGGGCTCGCTGAATAACCTCCATGTTCCCTCAGCTGGCTCGGGCGGTGGTTGAAGGTTGGCAAGCTCTTGCGGGACTTTGGGGATGTGCGCGATGGCATCAGTACTGAGGCCCTGCTGATGGGCGTAGTCTTCCTTGACGCTGTTATAGCGCTCCAGATTCTCGGGGGTGAAGGACTTCCAAAAGGGGGGCGGATCCGGCCAGAGCGCCGTTACTCTCGTCGGGTCATCCTCGTTGTTGTCCATTGCGCGTCGTCCGCCTATTGGTCTGGTTTGTTCTGACGGCGAAAGAGAGGTCGCAATAAACTTCAGATTTTCATGTCTGGGGCATCGAAGATGCTGCCATCCTTTGCTGCAGGACGGTCAAGTCCTTCCGGTCGGCAGGCAGTGCGAAAGAAGATTATGTCGGAAGTTTTAGGTTCTTGGAGATGGTGACAGTGATGCACTGTAGAGCCGTGAATGTAAAAACCGAACCCTTGCGACTGTGGCCGAAGCTTATCCCTGCACAAGTGGCTGCAACCGTTCAGTGTGGGGCAACTGAGCTCCCTTTGTGGCTGAGATGACTTCAGTGCCACCACGGGGCCCAACGCTTCAACACTCCTAACAAACAATGAAATAACTAATCAAAGTATGGGGTTTAGGGTCATTGATCGTTCCAAGGCCTGTACTCGCCGTTTGAACAAGCATTCTGACGCGAATTACCGCCAGTTCTGACGAAACAGATTAAATCGGCCCCTCGATTCCCTGCAGGACACAGGGTTGCATCGCCCTCGACCATCCCAGTCCTACTTACTACCGTACCGTTCCGATACAATTCCATTATGGCCGATGTGCGCGCCCTCCTACGGCAACAGCGCGTCGCGCGCCGCATAGAGCACCCGCATGCTGCATACTCGGACGCCGGCAAGCTCATGTGCACCGTGTGCAACGAGCACGTCAAGACTGAGTTGCTCTGGGACGGCCATCTGAAGAGCACTGGCCACCGACAACGGCTGCAGACCCTACACCAAGAGTCAGTGAAGAAGGGGGCCAATGGATACGCCGGGTTCGTGGACGAAACCGCAGACCGAGATGGCCCGGCGGCCCGGTCGAACAAGCGGAAGCTGGCCGATGCAGAAGACGACAATATGGCCGACCACGAACCCGAATCACCCCGAAGTAAACGTAGCAAAGCCAACGCTCCGTCCCCAGAGTCACCGCAACTCGAGACAGGGGCGACACCGGCAAAGAAAGATGGCGGCAGCAAGTCAGGAAAACCGACAACACCGCCTCTGGGCCGCCGAATATCTGGCACCCCTACCATCGGCGTCGAGATGCAAATTCCGTCGCGTCCGGCGACCCCCAGCAGCGGTGGTACACCAGTCGTTACCACTCCCAAGGCAGCACCCATCGGCCGGTCACCGTTGATACCGGACGCGCTAGCAATGCCGGAACAACAGGCGCCCGCGACAGCGCCATCAGCAGCAACCGCGGACTCACAACCGGCAGCCGACACGACAACATCAGCACGGGCAGAGATTACCGACGACGTATGGGCCGCATTCGAGGCAGATCTGATTCACGGTTCGGCAGCAGCTAGCAGCGCCAAGCCATCAGCCGCCGCAGCGCTGGAAAGCGATGCGGTCATCTCGGCGCCGGCCATGAGCGCAGCCGAGCTAGCAGCCAAGTCAGAGGAGGAGGAGAGGGCGAGGCGGCGGGCGCTGGTGGATATCCAGATCGAGGATGAGAAGGAGGACGCGACACGGGCGTTGGAAGACGAGTTTGACGTCATGGAGGAGCTCGAGGCGAGGGCAAGGAGGCTGCGGGAAAGGAGGGAAGCATTGAGGGTTCAAAGTAATGGCGGGGTTGCCCCTGCCGCTGCAACAGATGGTGAAGCCAAGGGCTTTGCGCCAGGCAAGGAGAATGGTACTGTGGAAGAGGACGAGGAAGGTGACGAGGACGACGAGGACGATGAGGACGACTGGGATAGTTTCCGGTTCCGTGCATAAAGATGGTGGTCCAACGTCTACATCTGTTCTTGAATGTGGCTTGGTTTAGGAAACGGGCTGTACCCATTACTTGTGCTTATCACGGTACGTCCTTTAATATGCCAGCGCCTGAGGGCTGCTATAAGCATCTATTCGTCACACTCATATGGTTTCGCATATCCTTTCCAATGCCCCTCCCCATCCCCAGTCGGTTGTCGATCCGTTCCCAAAGCATCACCGAAGCACTAAACGCCAACATCCCTACCCATCCAAGCAAGAACCTTAAACGCATATGCAACAAATCAGCATCCACCCTCATACCTCCCCCCTGGCCACCCTCTCCCAGTATCTCCTCAACCTCCAGACCCTCCCGACACCAGCCCGTTCCTCCCGCCGCCTAACCCCCTCCTCTCTCTTCACAACCTCCCCCTTCCAAACATTCCCAATCCACTCCCTCAGCAGATCCTTCACCCTCTCCCTCTCGACCGCTCTCTTCCTCGCCACCAGCGCCGGCGCGACCACCGCCCCACCCCCTCCTCCTCCTTTCTTCGTCTTGGACGCAGAGCAGGGGAGACACTCGGGCGGGAGCACGCACCGCTCGACGAGCGTCTCGGCCGACGGGCGGCGTGCGAGCTGCCGCGCGAGGCGGATCGAGGTTAGCTTGCGCGCGAGCCGGCGCGAGGCGAAGGCAGTGTGGGTCAGCACGATGGAGCGACGGATCAGGTCGGCGAGGGACGGCCGCGCAGGGGAGGTGAGTAGGGGCGGAAGGAGGGCGCGCGTTCGGCGGAGGCGGGCGTGGTGAAGGTAGGGGGCTAAGGAGAGGGTGCGGAGGCGGTGGGAGGTCTGTTTTGGTTTGGGTCAGATTTGGTGGTTAGCTTGGTTGTTTTATTACAAGGGGGTGAGAGTGTACTGGGATGAGGTGGCGATCAGGGGTTTGTGGTGGTGGTGGGGTCACTCGTTTGGAGAAGGGTACAGTACTTTCGAGAAGAAAGGTATGTCTTGGGATACACAAGGTCCACAGAGCACTCAAAGCGGATCGAGAGGTGCAAAGGTATTCCATGGCCCCTGGTGCACTAAGGGAGAGGGAGGAAAGACGTTCGGACCTACCCGAGAGGTTGCCAACAGATCACACACTTCGAGGTACCCCAGGATATGAAAGAGCACTTCGTTCGGCAGGTCAAGCAGACGGGTTGGAGTACCACGTTGCGATGTCACTTGGTCCATGCCGAGAGCGTTCAAGTTTTCGCCAGGGAAACGAGATGCGGAAGGAGTCTGGATCATCGACGAGTTGGACGCGTTTGTCGACATTCTGCAGACCGTTGCTGAGGTTTCCGCGGAAATGTCTTCTCTCCACTCTCCTGTCGTGGCTGCACACGTTCGAGCATCATGGCTTCTTGGGATCAGCGAGCAGCCGCTGTTCCCAGGAGCTGACAATTCAATGCTTTCGGCCCGGAAACCTGATATTGAAAGCCTCGCGGTCTTGGCGATGAGCTGGACAGCATCGGCTGAGTTTAGATTGGCACCTTCGCCGTCAGCATCTTGGTCCTCGAATGAACGCCAGTCCAGCTGTTGCCCGGCTTGCATGACTGATAACGCCATGGCCGATCGAAACTGATCGGGCGGCGCCGCCATCTTTCTCGAAGTGGCCGCCTGCTTCCGGTCCCACTCCCCTGCGATGATCTGGCAACGCACGCCGTGTCCAGCGCAGCAGAAGCCACTTCGGCTTGCTACTTCGGTGAAGTGTGCCCTCTGGGTTGGCAGTGCTCTTCCACAGGCGCGATTCGGTTATGCGGTGTATGACCCAGCCGTGGCCCGTTTTCCAGAATCGCGTTCACTCAATCCTATGAGCAGTCGCCCAACCGCGGGAAGTCAGCTCCGGGGATGACGGGCGCCACGGTGCTTTGCCGGCAAGGCGCGTCGAGCGTGTAGGATATGGCGGGTGAGGTTGCTCGGTGCGGCTAGAGTGTTTCGCGTCAAGCAAGGCTGGGTGGCCGCCGATATGGCCGCGCAGAACTCAACAAATTGGTGCCCTGGTTGGGCGTCGACACGAGGATCTGCCTTGCCAAATCGAGGGAAATTGTTGATTGTGCGAGATAGTGGTGGTGGTGACTGCTTAGATCACAAGGGGCCGGCAGAAGCTGTCGTCGAGGGGATCAATAAGGCAACAGCCCCTGGACAACAGAATGTTGCAGACGGGAGAATCTCGCCCAGTTACAGTAAAAAGAGATGCACAGAATCAGGACTTGCATTCCCAATCCATACATCGCCCTACTACCTTATGTAAGGTAGGCAACAATCTGGAGGATGATGCTTCAAGCTGGCGAGGTAGGCACGACGGGAGGGATGTTGTCCACGGATTACGCAAGGCGAGACGGCGCAAGGGGCAATCACGAGACACATGGCGCCAGATCCGGCGGCAGGCACGGAGCCCCGGGACTGTGTGGCTTGGACGTGACATTGTAGTCATCTGTCATTGCAGCCTCTTCCCGTTTGCAGGAGCCGTCAAAGTGCAAGCCGTAGACATGTTCGAAACCCGACTAGAACAGTCTTGCGCGTATAACCTTGGGAAATCAGGTTCCCTCGGTCAAGGTGGAAATTATCCGACTCGATCGATGTTCTTGGTAAGGTATCGTAAATGCACAGTGTGGGGCTCTAAGAAGGAACGATGAGCATCGCGGGGTTCGATGGCAACCTGGAACTTAGCAACTGCCTCGACTCAAGTCTGCCGCACTTGGTCGCGGCAAATTCATCGTGTCACCCGATTTGAGACTCGGACTGAAATTGCCAGCAGTGGACGAGGTAGTTGAAGAGCACATCAGAAATATATCTATCTCGCTCGAGTTTCTCTTCGTTTGGATCCGGACACCCGCGCATCGCGCGGCTACAGCCCCACTGGTTTCCTAGATCCATGCTCGCCTTGCGATGATGCGCGTCTTCCTGCTTGCAGCGTCCAGGGGGCATCTGCAGGGGCTCGCAGGATTGTGCGGGGCTCGAAAGCAAAGGTCCAGCTGTTTCGCAGCACATTCCACCACCCGAGAGATGCATTTGGTGAGAGCCTTCCGCGAAAACCTGGACTAAGGTGCTGCTGCTACTGCTACTGCTGCCATGCACTGCTGGTGCGGGTATGCACTGTGCTGCGTCCTGTCATTACAATCTCTCCAAAAGGGCAGGTAATTCCACATCCTGCGTTGGTCACCAGCTTGGAGTTGAAACCGTGACAACTAACATCGCCAGCTATCTCGAGGTGTGCACCATGGATCTCGATTTCGTATGGCGTCCTTAGCTGGTTGATGCCCAAGGTTGCCAGTGTTCTACCCCAAGGTCACAACCAGCCCTCCCGAGCCTGTCGCCCCGCCGTCAACAAAGTATGATGCTGGATCGGCGGGGCTGGCCTCAAGAGCTGCGGCCACGGCCGTCTTATCACTTCCAGCCTTGCCTGTTCAGGAACGGGGGGCCGCCGTAATCAGCTCAACGGATTCATTGCAACAGACTCCAGCCTGGTGCCGTGACGAGCCGTCCGTCTTGGTGCTGTCGTGTTCATCGCACCTTGGGCAACCTCGAATTTTTGTTGAGGCCCGGTTCCGCCAACCATCCCCGGTCGACATGCCTACGGAGCCACGAGATGTTGAGCCTTGATCGAAGACGAATTCTTTAGGCCGCTAGGAATCTCAAAACCATCTCTGATGCTGCTATCCCACCGAGTCGTAAGGCAATCGACCGAAGCATGTAGAGTGGCCAACATGGGGCACGGGTACCTCCAAGGGGTCTTGCACGGTCAGAGCTTCTCGAAACAGATCGGACGCCTCCCGCGACGAAACGAACAACTGGAACTGACAGTTGAGTGCCGAGGCTCGCTTGAAAGCGCTGCATATTCAGCAGTTTCTTCCGCACGAACCTTTTTCCGCCGGCGATCTATCGACGCTCGTGGGTCTGGCCTGTTGTTTGTCTGGCCGGCATCCCCCAAATCGAGGTCAGCCAATAGAGACGTCCACCAGGGCCCTTTGAGGCTGTTCCCAAAACACACCCTCCCGCTCCCGCCCTCCCGAGATGGCCCTTGTTGCATCCCTGTTTCTGAGTTCTGAGTCGATCGCTTCAGCCCGTGGCCTCGAGCTAATCCAGCTCCCCTGTCCCCCAGTATCAACGTCACCAAGAATTTGATATCCATTGCCATTGCGCACCACTTCAGCCGCGACCCTCACCGCCACAGGACAGACAATTTCGGATGTTGTCGATACCCGACGGCATCGCTACGGCTCAGCAACTATTGGTTGCAGAAAGCACGATGGCTCAGGACAACTTTGTTGGTTTGGGCGCGTTGTTGGATTCAGACGCGCTTAAACAGGATGACTCCTAGAAGCGTTTTCACATGGCCGGATTGGCGATGCCGCAGAGCTCGAGAACTACGGTTTATCAGCTTGTCAAACGCTGCTAACCTGATATCCACCATATTCACTTGTCGAACTTAGCCACAGTCTGGCACAGAGTTCTCGGAGCAATACTTGCCGCTGCAACGTATCAAAGGCGGACCAGCCACCAACCGTAAGTGAACAGAGCACAATATGCTTGAGTGAAACGGTGGTGATCACCCTGCCAAAGGGACCGGCCCGCTCCCGCTCCTGGAACTTCGGCTGTTTGAATCAAGAAGGATTGAATGGATCAAACAGATTTACATCCCATCTTCGCCGCCGACCGGAGCAAGCGTGGCCCATCACCCCAACTGGCCGCTTCAACGGCCATGTTTACATCACCCTCTGCTTTTCGCTTCCAGACCCACCCGGCCGCCTCGATGGCCGCGACAACCACATTGATTCATCGCGCTACTCATCATATCCTTCCGCTGCCAGATTTCATACCCGTGTTGCAAGCTGTGCTTGTGGCGCAGCGGTCTGGTCTGCCTTTGCCGGTTATCCCTCCTCACCCGGGCCATTTGCGGCAGCTCCTCTGACCCGGACGCAGCCCAGCGACATGTTTCAGTTTCAATCAAAATGCGGCCGCCTGTTCGCTCGGCAAAAGAATGCTGGTAATGGCAAATTCAGCTACCCCGGACATCGGCCGCTCAAGAGGCACCCTGGCCGTACGGCTCGCCCTCGGTGGCAAGGAGCAGAGGAAGGTCGGAACATCCGGGAGGTGGCCCGGACATGATGCTGCCCAGCCTGTCAGGTTAGCAGCCTTGTCAGGCCTCGGTGACTTGTATTATCCCGCTTGCATCACCGCACAGGAAGCAAGGTGAAGTGTAAGTCACCGCCCCCATGGTGACCCGACCGACAAACTAGGCCACTCATTCAATCCTAACCGGTACGGCTCCATCCTGTTTTACGCCCTGGCAAAAGCAGGCAGCCGCAGCCTTCAATGGAATGCTGACTTCATGGCAGAGCGACTTCCATCTCTGGCGTCCCCAATCCGTGCCGGCTTTGGCCTGTTCCGCTGCGGCCCAGCCACACACAAGAACCCGATTATACTTGGTCGTTTATCGGGCTTGTCGACGATCACGACCTGCCTTCCCTGTGACGTACGCACGGATCTTGCAGGACCGGCGGCCGGCTGGCAAGTAGGCCAGGTGCTGTGTATGGTGCCCTGAATGGCCTGGTCAGTTTGGAGCCATGTACCATGGACGACGCGGGGATCGGCTAACCCTGCAGGTATAGAAGGTTGAAGGATGTTCCAGAAGTCACCGAGACAAGCACTGAGCTGCCCATTCGATCCGATCACAGCCCGGCACACCATCCAACCACGCCTCTGGACAAACCACCCCCCGGAGGGGCGAAACTCGACAAGAACCAGGACGGTTGCTGGCTACTCACGAGCCGCCACGTCGCATATGCCGCTCACTAACCACCCGCCATCAAGGCGAGCGGGTCGCTGTGGAGTTATTCCGGGGCCCTTCTGAGCACATCGCTCGAACCACATCGCGAGTCAGCAGCTGTGCGGGCGGGGCTGATGCCCTCGAAATGGAGGACAGTTCATGTGAGAACAAACTCCTGCGAGCCTATGCTGCTTAACGGTTGCTGGCTGTGTCACTCTGGCAGCAGAAGCGGAGCATCGTTGCACCCGAAAAAATTATTGGTCTTCCAAAATGGCATCCAGTGGGTCAAGTCATCTGTTCAACCTTGGAAACCTACATCTCATGGAGCGTATCGTTTCCTTAGGCTGTAGATTTCTCATAATGGATACCCTTGGCCTGTCTGTGTTTCCGCATGGTAGCGGCAACAGGGCAGGCCGTGACGCCACGATCAATCGATCACGACGACAAACCTCCTGTGAGGCGCTCTCTTACCCGAACCAATTACAACAGCAATAGAACAGGAGCGCAGGTGAGAATGTCTAAGTAGGCGGCAGGGTGACGAAGACGGAATGCGGGTTCACCTGCACCTGGCCATTCCAATACAGGGCTCCTTTCCGAGTGGCTTCTGCTTGTAGATCCAGTCTGCAAGAGCAACCGGAATTTAACCAAACCTGAACCGGGAGATAAGGTGGTCGGAGGTGCAAAAGTTGTGACTGGAGACAGATTTCGCGGCAGCTCTCCATATCCAACTTTGTCCCTGCCGAGCAGAGAGCTTCGCTCTTGACAGTTACAAAGCCCATCACCGGCATTCCAATCTGCTTAGGAACGGGCTGTTCGGCTCGGCCAAGTCAGGAGAATACTCTCGAACCCGATCAACGCCAAGGGTCGTTTCGGTTACACCCCTGGGGTCTGGTGGACCAGAGGAAACAATCAACTACGTCCGCTTTCTGCCACCTACCGTCCTCGATTTTACAGCAAGGAAAGATAACTTTCTGTTTTCTATCCTGTTTGGTGACGGCCGGTTTCCTTGGTTCAAACGACCGCCCCTCCCCGAATACCCGGCCCAAGCTGCGGCCAGTTGCTACCACCCGTGGGCCACGAAACAGGTCTGGCCGGGGCACCCGCAAGTTGGGTAGATCCTCGGCAATCCGCAATGCCAGAGTTTTCAGAGTTAGACAGCGGGGTCTCGAAAGAGGGGAATCCATATCGTTGAGTACAAAACCAGGCATCACCGGCTTGCCATTGGGCTCTGATTTTCCCTGCAAGCCACGGGCCGCTACAACACGACCAGCCCCAGGGTCAGTGACGGGGGAAAACGCGTTTTACACGCAGGAATTACCGCGTGGGCTGGGGAAAGAGGGGGAACAGTGGTAGACAAAGCAGAGCTTCTCTCATTTCCCCCATGCAACGTAGGGCTGGCACCGAACCCCAAGCCAATGGCACACTGCTCGATATAAGAAAAGCGCGACTTGTACTGCACTTACATACACAGATCCACCCACCTCGTGGTCAGATTTCTGTTCGGTTTCCTTGGCCCAGCCCTGCCAGTACGTCTGGGGTGTCTGTAAGTACTGGTACCTATGTAGACGCGGTGGGGAACTCGTTCGTGCGCGTGTGTCTGCTCAATACCCCTGGATAATGAGCCCTTGCAACGACGTGGCTCCTATGGGAGCCATGCATACTCAGATGGGCACCCAGGTGTCGGCCACGGAAAACGGGGCTAATCTGCCGAGCCAAGGGTAGCATCGCTGCATGTTTACCCCATGTCGCCCCCGGACAGGCACACTCTGTGCTCGACGTGTGATTTCGAGCGTGATTGACGATGGACCAGCCGTGGGGACGTCAATGTGGAGGATACCTCATTCTCGGAGAAGGTCAGGGGTAGGAATGGTCAGAGTCCCGGCCGGCTTGGAGTTGATGAGCTGGATAACCTTCTTCACTTTACCGTTTTATCCTTGACTGTCCTCTTTTACGCCGCGTTGCCTGCATGGGAATGTTGTTCATGAACTCTTTCCTCACCCCCTTGAGGAGTGGAAGGAGACGACAGCACGCCCGAGTATAAGAGCTGTCCAGACCCTCGCGATCATAGGCCCCAAGCCGCTCCACGACCTTCAACGACGCCCAGTGGGATGATATCACGATTTGGCTTCTGAAAAACACTCCATTGACTCCACGGCAAAGTCACGACGAGGACGTACGAAGACGACCCCATACCTCACGGGCTGCCGAACTTCAACGACACCAACTCGCTGGATACCAAACCGTGTTCCTGGCGCGCGAGTGTCCACACGCTGTGTCGTTAGTCGCCGGCAAGCCTCCAGGCTTCCATCTTACGGGGTGAGTCAACAGAAGTTTGTAACATGAAGATCACGCCGGGCGGCTGCTGTGGTACCCAAGGAGCGGCATCACCAGCAAGAAGATGAAAAGGGGGGAACAGGTGCTGACCCGGCGTGTTATTTGATAGGTATCCCGGACTCGACCAGGGACCGGCCTTCAACGAAAACGGTCCGACCTCTTTCGTCTCCCGCCCTCGACTCGCGTGCCTCGACCGGGTTGGGCAAAGTGAGAGGACAAATCAAAGAAAGGAAGACAGACCTGGAGGAGATAGCGAGGCACGCCGCGACCTCAAACCACCCGCCCCTGAGCCCAGAAGCACCTACGGAAAACAAACTCGACAACACACAATTAACTAACCCGAGAGAGCGAAGACATCACCGAGACAGAGACCCAGCCCGAAAGAGAAACAAACCAACAACAAAAAAAAAAGAGTGGAGATAGATAGAAAAGAGCAGGGGAGAAAACCATGTGCTATTACGACCAACAACTCTGGCAATGCGGCTGGTGGCGCTGGTCCACCTTCCGCGAGCAGTGCAACAAGGAGTACCGCACGGGCGAGACGTGCGGGCTCAAGCTCATCTACAACACGTACCTGGAACCGGGCGTGTGCAAAATCTGCGACCAGGTCCTGAAAAAGCAGCGGCGGGTGCACAAGATGCACGACGACATTGAGCGCTGGACGGGCGAGGGCAACCGCCGGGCGACCATCGAGAAGACGCGGCGCGAGATTTCGGACCTGGCCCTGCAGATTGAGCAGATGTGGCGGGACCATGAGATTCGGAAGAATTCGACCAATTACTGAGGAAAGGGGGGATGATGTTGAGGGGAAGGGGTGACTGTTTTTAGTCTTCATAGTTAAATCCGTTTCTTCGTTTTCTTGTTTTCGTCTGTCTCCCCTTGACGCTGGTCGGTTTTGTCTCTTTTGGGTTTTTCGTTTCATTCGTTTCAAAGTGCCAGGAAAGGAGCAAAAAAGCGTACCAGAGCAACAAGGGAGGGGCGGAAAAGGGAATGCGGTTTCAACAGTGTATGTTGTGCAAGGGAGTGAGCAGCGCTGGCAGATGCATGTGGTCAAGGGATGGAAGAGGGACGGGTTCTTGGAGAGAGACCAGTGAGTCCGGCTCAGTCCTATGAGAGAACGGGCTCCGTGGTGGTGGTGTGTCATCGACGGAAATTCGGGACTAATTGAGATGCTTCTGCAAAGGGGCATGATGGGTGGTCGGGGGAACGGCTCAGGCCAAAGATAGTGTGGATCGGCAGGAAGCGAGAGAAGGGTCGATGCTTCCATTTCCCATTAACCTTTCCCCTTTTTATTATTGTCCGGGACTTAGAGAAAGCGGAGTCATATCCCACGGCGCTTACTTGAAGAAGCAGGGTTAGGCAGACGCCCGGGGAGGCTGCTTGTCGGGTATCAGCCTGACGCAAGCGGTTTGGGAGAGGGGGGGGGGGGGGGATCGGGAAGCCGGAATGGGAAGACCTCCTTATCCGCTCTTTTTCTCGCTGTTTCCTTCTATGAGTTTCGACGAGTGCACATTTTCATTCTTCTCATCTCTAGGGAGTTGCCATATCCATTGATGGTCAAGGCGCGGTGTCGGTAATCAAGGCAAGAATCGGCAAAGGGGCACAGCACTTACCCTCCAGTGATGGGTTTGCAGAAGGAAGAATGAGGTAGAGCTCGATTTGTATTAACCAAGAAGCTGTGCCAAAAGCAAGACAATGGTGTTCCTACAGGCCCTGGCCATCGGGTCTGCTGTTCTGGCCAGACGCCCTTTGCCGACGATGTCTGATGCCGGTTGCTGAGTCGAGGAGGACGTGGCAGGGCATAATCTAGACCGCTCCCTTGACCATCATTTCGGTGGCGACTTCCGGTCTCCAATAACCGCTGGCAAACCTCGCGGATCAGGTTGTCGGCGGGTCTGGCATGACTGAGAGTGCGGAAAGGGCGCATTTGGTCTGTACACCGGGGGCGAGCGGCATTTTAAGACCGCAGAGTCCGCGGAGCAACCCCACTGGTTCTTGTTCCTAGTCATCGGGGTACATCGGCAAGAACATGACGCGGGATGGTATGTTCGAGAGTCAACAAGCCAGGGTGCTGCAGGCGGCGCAGGTTACAGCGAGTGGATGACTCGGGTTGGCATTGGAGAGGGGAAGGAACAGGGCTGCCGAGTTTCCCGTATGTAGAGCGTCGTCGTATCATCTGTAGCCGAACCGGGCGAGACGTGCGCATGGACCGGACGAATAGCGGGTGACAAAGTGGCTGGGACGCATCGTATGCGGCGTCGCCAGCATCACCGTGTCTCGGACAAACCATGACGGACCGGAGTAAAAAGGCGACGATGATTGAGTTCGCTGGCTTCCAGAGAGGAGAAACGGAGTTCCAGAAGACGCTGGTCAGCTGTTCACTGCGTGCTCTGCGGCTGGGCGGGAGACCGGTGGGCCGCCCAAAGCTGACAGCGGACCGTCACAGCCCTGAGCAAACCATTTGGGCAGAAATGGATCGTCGATATATTCCGTGGACTGCTTGGTTTGGCACGCCCAAGCAGGCGCGGTTGAGAGCACGTGGGGATTGAAACTTGATGTCCACAGAGTGCCAGGGACGGGTTGTTCAGCGCCAGCACATGGGCGGGCGGGTAGGAGTGTAGCCCATTTTGGTCGTAGTCCTCCATGTGATGCCCGTGGTGGCTGATCGGGTCGGAGCTGAGCGAGGTGGCCTCTTGGCTGTTGTACGCATCTCCATTTGGCTGCCGCATATCTTTCCGGTTCCGGTTGTCCGCGGGAACTTCAACTCCACGCTTTGAGCTGCTCTTCAGCCTTCCCTCGATCCGTGGGACCCCCAAATCCGCTCCGATAGCCATCTGCGAGGTATAGACCGCCTCGTGGGGCGGTCGTCCGAGGTAGGCCACGCACGGCCTCCCCCATCGACTCCTTTTCGTTCTAGCCAGTGTGTTTGAAGCACAGTGGTTTCGTGAGGCGATAAACCGGGTTGCGAGCCAAGGCGGCGTGCTGACAGATGTGCTCTTTCTTGATTTCCGTGGTTGAATGTGCATGGCGGTGTCAGTTGGTGGAGTAATTGGCCTGCTTAAGTGGGTGTCAGGAGCCGGAAAGGAGATGGCGCAACGTGGGAGTATCGCCACGCCAATGCAGTTGGAGGCTGCGACAGATGATTCATGACCCTGTGGATAAACCATGGGAGAAGGACAGAGGTCCGTTTATACTGAAGGCCCACCCGTGCTGGTACCTCACCACCTCCTGCGCATGTGGCTCGTGGTTTATGGGCATGTTGGCCTGCCACATGCGTCGTTCAGCGCCACCGGTAAGACGACTCGCAACATCGGACCATGATTGACTGAGCGGGGGTTGGAGAAAGGCCACTTAACGAAGACAAAAGAGAACATGTTGATTGATTTAGACGGTACAGTGTGGTACGGACTGCTCGGCAACCTCCATATCCGGTGGCCTCCACCATCAAGGGGGCCAGAACGCTAACCATGGCCAAGACCATGTCGATCAAAAAAGAACTAACGAGCAGGCGGCAACCTGCTTCCGTGGGTGTCTAGCGTCGTATGCAATTGGGCTGTTCCACGTTGACGCGGTGGTCAGCGATCCCGGCGCACTATTGCCGAGCCTCGACGTGAGTCCGCAAGTTGGTGTTTTCCTGTTCCCGAGGCCCCGCGTTCTCCAGAAGAGGTCGGGTGTAAAGGGAGGACCCGAGGTAATGGAACGGCGTCAGCTAATATAGATCAGCAGACACCCCTCTGCCCCTCGAATCGCACGGCTGAGAGCGCATCAGGCCACCGGATGACGCTGGGTGGTCAGACCGAAGCATGTCAGCGCATGGCCGCTGCAGCATCGGCAAAGTTACCGATCAGGGTATCGCCGCCGTCAACCTTTATGGGCACAGTGCCTTGCTGCATCTCGATGGTGTCATCGTCCGGGAAACCCCAATCGACACAGGCGACAGCAGCGAGGTCATCATGCGACGACAACTTGGAGAGAAGTGTTTGGTACCGAATCGTGGTGGCGTCCTGGCCGGCGTAGACGTAGGGACCGGGAGCGGGCTCGGCGGCCTTGTCTTGCGGCACGATTTCGTAGATGTCAACCATAGCACTGTGGGTATCTGGTCAGCCATACGTCGACCCAGCGCCGTGGAACCGGGAGCGGGGAGGAGAGGGGGCCTGGTGCGGAAAGGAATACGGGAGGGGTGGACATACTCTGACGTACGCGCCACCACCCTTTGCAAAGCCTCAATCTCTCTTTGGGCTTCCTGCGGGTCCTCCTGGCTCATCATGTGCTGCTGGTCGAAACTGCCATAGTGCAGATTGTTGGGGTCGTCGAAGAGATGCTGGGCCTCATCATCCTAGAAGCGGGACACTGTCAGCTTGTGCATCCAGGGAAACATCACATAGCATCACGCACGTCTTCGAACTCATCCCGCCGGCGGTTGCCGAGGCAAGATGAGCAGATTCCCATGACGTTGTGTCAGTCTAAAGTCCCCGCGACCAAGGCTAAGAAAAAAGAATGGGGTGATAAAGCGCCAAAAGCATAGAATAGGCCAGAAGTCACAATAGTAGTTCCCTCGCAGGGAAAGCTAGCGAGGTCGGTTCATAAGGAGGAATGGCTCAATAGAGAAATGTGAATGATCCTAAATCATGCCAAATTGAGGTTTGTGATGTTGCTCAGCGGTTGCTGTCACATCTCCATCGCCTGGTTCCTGGCTAGCTGGCGTCGCTCGCAGATTTTCGACCTTCATCTTTGTTTCCTCGCGACAGGGCCAGGTTGGCAGGGGGTGAAAGTGCCAAGAGTCCAGTCTCCGGCGGCAAGCACGCTCGGGCCACATGCACGCACCAATGAAGCGGGCTACTCGTTCAGCGGAGTCCTGCCTCATTGGTTACATAGTTAACGTTATGCAAGTCACAGAAGCCCCGCTACGTCCTTACCGGTGATATATGGCTCGTGCAGACGTCGTCGGAGGATCTCTCTAGCGAGGCTGCGGCTGAAAGACCTGGATAGTCCAGGCTTCTGAACCCATCAGCAATTTGTTTCTGTGCGATTGCTCATGGGAATGGAAGCAGCAAAGTACTTTTCCGAGATCTTCATGTGTAATCTGCATCTTCCTCCCAGCATCTCAGGAATGGTCATTCCATGGAGCGGAAGCAGTTGCTTTACATCCTCATCACATTTGGAGAGCGAAATGGATAAAACATTGGGTCCATGGCTGAAATTTATGAGCACGAAGCCAGCCTGGACGAGAAATGCCGTGATAGTTGAATCTTTGGGCCAACAACTGCTCCGCAGACAGGTCCAGACCTCGTCAAGAACCACAATGGAAGATGATGAACCTGAAACCGCAACCGCCCAAGGCATCAGACTCATCAACGCCAAGCACTGTCCCAATTACCGACTTCAGCACGTACCGCGACAGCACAGGTGCTGGCCAATCTCGGGGAACACCCAACGGTGATCTTTGCGCCACCCTGATCGGATCGACAGCTAGTTAAGTATCAACCCCAGATACCCCGGCGCTCGTCGCTTCGACGAGCCAACATCACGATCAACATGGCTGGCAACAAGTGCCGGCCGGGGGCAAGATAGTTACGGATATTTACCTGGGTACTGCCCCGTCCGACCTTTTCCAGTCCGAACACCGAACGCCTCAATATTAGCTGCGGTCGGCAACTTCGCAATGGTGGTCGACACAACGCTCCAGGTGCTTACGGGTTCAGTGGCTCCCGCAGCATTTTTGTTTCGCCCAGCCTGGCCCGCTGTCTCGGGTCATGAGAGCTTCACTCCGCTTTGGAGTCGTCAGTCCGGTGGAAGCGCCTGTGCGGACAGTGAAACGACATGCCCGCAGGCAGCATGGTGCTGTAAGTCGAGTTCACTGATCAAGACAGCAGTTGCAACCATTCCTGGCCCGCAGCGCTGACCAACCCCGTCCAGGCGGCGCCGAAGAGGTATGCTCCCTCATCGGCGGGGCGTTCTTCTGCTGTCCCGAAGGGGCTGGCTCCGTTGGATGCACTCGAGTGTGCGCTGCTGGCGACTTCCAGTGCGGTTCCATCTGCTGTGCAGACGGCCAAACCTGCATGGGAGGTGACACACCGTCACCGTATTGCGTCAGCCAGAGGCCTACCGGAGTGCCAGGCACGGCTGTTTCGACGACCTCGATTTCCTCACGGACTGCCTCGACGTATTCGGGCATCTCATTGTCGATCACATCTCCTTCCTTTCCGGCCGCCATTATCAGTCCAACATCGTCAGTCACGTCGGCCATCGCGGCCTCCACCAACGCCGCCTCCCTAACTCAATCCGAGCAACCTTCGCCTGCTGAACCCAGCGTAACCGCATCAACAACGCCACAACACGGCTTTTCCCGCGCAGCGCAAATCTCCATCGGCGTCATCGTCCCCGTGGCCGTCGTCTTCCTGGTCGGCGCCCTCTGGATTTTCAACTTCCGCCGCCCCGGTCGGGGCCATGCCCGCGGACACCGCAGAGGGGAAGCAAGAACCACCTCCGAGGACACGCAGGCCTACGACAAGATCTGGCTGGACGCGGACACGGCGCCGCACCTATCGCCGCATGAGAAGTACATGATGAAGTCCAACGCTGAGCGGAGGAGGCAGGGTGAGGGAGAGAGGTATGAGATGAAAGATTTGCGAGAGCTAGAGGATGCAGGGGTTCATGGGCAGGACGCGACAGACTCGGGATCCGGTGGCCGGGCGTCGCCGCATCCGGGGACTCCGGTTATTGTGTAGGTTGTTTGTGGGGATGCAGTTGTAATGCGCTTTCGTGAGTCGAACACAGGAGCGGGCACTCGTGTTGTTATAATACTGATTGCTGAACGTTTCAAGCGGCATTATTATGCAGCCCCCCTGTACCAACAAGCGAAAGGCAATCTCGCGTTTCTTGTTGCAAAGTGCAACACTTCCTCACTGAGGCTCGTTCCATCGTCAGCTGCATGTAGCTGAGGGTTAGGGTCAAAGCGGTCAAAACAGCCATTTGGACTCCTCTAACCGCTGTTTGTCTCAACGTTGGCTGGTTGTTCTGCCCAACCAAACACAACTCTTCCATCAAATGCAGGGCACGAGGGGCATGGCAAGTTCAGGCCCGCAACCCAGGACGCAGCTGTCAGAGCTTTGCTTTAGTGGGGGGCTGCGGCTGAGGGCGTTGGTGCCTGCCAAGCAAACATCAGAACTCGCTTTCCTCAAATTGAGGACGACAGCTCTTGGTCCTGACGGACCGACGCCGGCTTGACTCACGCACGCCGGCTGTGTCATACCCTCCGCAACCCACAGGTCTCTATCACAGGATATAAGAAAGGGCGATAGATCAACACGAGCTGCTTTCGCTTTTACTTTCCTATCCGCCTTTCTCGCTTCTCTTCATTTGAGCAAGCATCTTACCGCCGACGAAGAAGCGGTCTTCTACCTACAACATGGCAGCCACACATCATGAGACGTACGATCTCTTAATCGTCACCGACGCCACGGCGTCCATGGGAAACTTCCTCTACTCGCTCGCCAAATCAATCCAGGACATCATCCGCATCACGGCCATCACACACGCTTTCTCCAGAATTGGTGTCCTGGCGTACCGAGACTACGACGTTCGAAGGGGCGAGTTGACCTTATGGTCGGGATGGCACAGCCGCAATGGGCCATCCGAAATATCCCAGGAGCAACTGCTTGCCTTTGCCAGAAACCTCACGACTGAGGGCGGTTACTCCTGGCCCGAGGCGGCCAAGACCGGTCTCGCCCTTGCCTACCAGCACATGCGCCGAGAGGCAAAGACCATCATCTTGTTTTACGCCGACGCCCCGCCCCACACCGAGTTGGGGGGCGACCAGTGGCAACAGGAGCGGGAAGCGCTCCTCAAGCTTCATTCCTATGGCGGGACCGGCTATCTCTTTGCCGACTGGGTTTCGGCCGCTAACACCTTGAGCAACGGCAAAAAGCAGGCACAGGTGTTTTGCATCGTTTCGTCCAAGCACTCCAGGGACTACGCGCTCAACCCAATGTACACTTTCCTTTCCACGCGCACCGGCGGTGCGTGCGTCACGTTCACCGGGACGCCGAGCTCGACCGCCATATCCAAAGTGACCATTGCCCTCCTCCTCGCTTGGATGGGCGCGGGCAAACAGGGCGCTAACCAGGACACCGCTGAGATTGTCACCCAACTCAACTTCGAGGATGACAGTGGAGTCGGCCAGTTAGCATCAGAAAAGGACGACAATGCTGCCCGTTACCTCCCCGTTTCTCGCAAGCCCAACGACAAGGAGGCGCTGGACAACTCAATCACGCGTTCCCCGCTGTCTCTTGAAACGTTAGCCCAGGTCATCCCACGCCGTGAACACCCTGTCATGGACTTTGCTGCGCGCTACAAGGTCGACGCCGAGTATCAGGGCATTGTCGTGGAGCAGTTGACGGAGATCATCGAGTCCGACGTATTCGCCATCGCCCTCAACCCGGTTTTTGGCGCGCTGTGGCGCACCGTCTGCAACGACCGGACGAACCCTGCCCGCGACAGGCTGATCACTCGTTTCGGCCTGCAGGTGGACAGGGAGGAAGACGCGGAAAAGAAGGAGCAGCTGAAAACGTGGCTGGAAGAGTCGTATGACTGGGCGGGAGAAATTATCGACACCATCAAGGTCGTGCCGAAGGAGGACCGCTATCCCTGTGTTTTCCTCGACCCCACGGTACGCTTCTCGCAGGCCGAGGACGGGGGCTACGAGGAAAACAGCTCGACAAAATTTACCCGCGCTGAATTGCTCGAAATCGGGCGGTCCTGCGACTACCGCATCCTGCGCCGACTCGGCCGGATCCTCACTCACCTGACGTACGTGGACTCGGAAGACGAACTTCCCGCCCATGTCAGGGACGTCCCGGAGGAGGAAGTGGCCAGGATTCCCATGGCTCTGGCGAAGCCCAAACATCAGCGGAAATTCTGGAAGATCCTCCTACACACCGTGCTCCCCGGGACTATGCTGGCAGCGCGCCCCGCCGCCGTGCTAGCCGCCCTCAGCGTGCGCATGGGAATCAAGCCGCTAGAGGAGGTGGCTTATATGGAGCTCTTGGCCTGGCGAGACAATTGGAACACGCTCGACATACCTGAGACATGGAACAATAACTGCCTCAGCCTGCTTCTCGAGGCTGACAAGACGCACCAGCTAGCAATGGCAGACGCACAGCCTGGAGCTACCGACGGCCAGACACTGTTGAAGGCCGAGGACCGCAGCGTGTTTGAGACGCTTGTCAGCTACAAATTGCTGGAGATGAACCTGGACACCACGCTCGAGGCAAAGGTCGGCTGGACCCCGAACAAGAGCAAGATTCCACTGGGGCCGCTCGCATTTTGCAAAAGCTGCCAGTACCCTCGGTCCGTGACCATCATGGCTGACGACGGGGTATGCGGCATGTGCGTCGCGCCATGCGAATGCGAGAACAAGGAGACCCACGATGGCCACTTTGGCACCTGTGTGTCAAAGACGGACGACAGCAGCACGCTGGCGACATGGACCGAGTGCTCCATGATCGATTGCCGGGCGCAGTACGTCGTCTACCACACGGGCAAGCTCAACGTGCGCCCAAAGTGCCACTACTGCCGGCAGAAGAATCGCGTCTCGACGACCAATTCCAACTATGCCGCGCTCACCACGGCGCCGTGCGTCACATGCACGACCTGCGCCAATCGCATCCTCTGGCCGCAGGCCTATCGCTCGGTCCTTTTCGACGCTTCCACCTTCACGTGCCCCGCCTGCCGCACCAACACACATGCTACCATCGTCGCCGTTCCGACCACAGCCCGAGCCCTGTCCGTCGAAAACGGCACCGCCTTCCTCCTCCGCAACGAGGATGCCGCCATCCCGGCCCCCTTCACAAACCGCTCCCTCTACCACACGATCTCCACCGCCTCCGTCCCTGCCTCAGACCTCCCCTCCAAAGTAACCATCCTCCCCTCCCTTGCCAACTCCAACAACCTAACCCTCACAATACGAGGCAAACCCCTCCACAACACCCCCTCCCTCCTCGCCTCTCTATCCTCCTGGATCTCCTCCCGCCGCGTCCAGTCCGGAACCTGCAGCCTGTGCTTCACACCAACCCGCAAATTACACCTCCGCCTCGCATGCGGCGGGCGGAGGGGCTGTGCCCAGCCTATTTGCGGCGACTGTGCGCAGGCCTGGTACGGGCTAAACAAGCCAGGCAACGTTATCAACATTGCTGCGCTGAGCTGTCCCTTCTGTAGGCGCATGCCAACGAACAAGGTTGCCTTGCCGATTGGGCTGCGGTATCTGGGCGGGTTGAGGGATGCGGTGGAGGAGGTGGGCGAGTGGGTGTATGCTTGGTGTGCGGGAGAGTGTGGCATGGCGAGGAGGTTTGTCGACAGGATTTGCGCGAGGGGGGTGCCGGAGGTGGAGGGCTGGCGGTGTGAAGGGTGTGTTGATGCTGGGAGGCGGAGGGGCGAGAGGAAGGGGGATGCCGGGCGGTTGGTGGTGGTCAAGATGTGTCCTGCTTGTGGGGTTGCGACGGAGAAGGTGGTGGGGTGCGATCATATCAGCTGTGTGTGTGGCAAGCATTGGTGTTTCAACTGCGGGGAGATGGTGGCCGACACGGCGGGGGAGGTGTACAATCACATGTCGCAAGTGCATCGCACTTGGTATGCGGATGGCGAAGACGAGTTTGGGGATTATGAGGATTATACGGACGAGGAGTGACGGGATGGAGGTTGAAAGTGGCTGAGGTTTAATAGCAAAGGGAATAAGAACACGAAAAAGAGTGCTGCGGATTGGAATCGAAAAAGAGGACTGTACTCGCTCTGCAGTCCGGGAGCGGGTTGGCGTCCCAGCGGCCGATCCACCTGACTCACTGCATACCACCTGCGGTGCACGAACGGAGCGTCCAGAGGTCTGATTGTTGTTGGGATTGTTTCCAGTACCGTGCCTCATAAACCCTTCCTTCAGGCTGTTACTCTTCTAAGTCCTCTCACTCATTCGTTAGGGACACTGCCATAGCCATTTGGCAAATGCAAAGCGAACAGAAACGCATGACAGGCAAATGGCTTCTTTTTGCCCCATCCCATCATCGCCTAAATGCTTCCCTTTTTGTTCTTCTTTTCTTTTTCCCCGACCCTTCATACTTCTCTTTCCATGTTTACGTTGCTTCTTTAACTTTTCTTGTCGCTCCCTTTGCCAGTAAATGGAATCTCATGAATCTCATACCCCGCCATGCTACAACTTGGAATCTGACCGATCCAACTGCAGGTCTTGACATGGAGGCAAGATGGCGCTTGGTGTGTGCTGCGTTGGTAAGGTACGTTAGCGGACAGGGTTAAAAGCACGATATACTTTCGACTGTCATTTTAGGATCGGTCTATGAACCTTGAAGTGGCTCATCGGTCTGCACTTATGTGAGGGATAAAAATGACACCACCAGGAATCGGTTACCAAGGTTGGCCAAGCAATGACGGTCAGGGGGCATCGAGGAAAAGGGAAGTATACAGAGATCATGGTTATATTTTCGGGGCGGCCGATGCAGTATTATCCGCCCTCCCAGATTGCTGCGAAGGACTGTCTCCTTCTCAGACAGCGATATCATGAGCCACGGCACAGCAAGTACCCGTATTCTCATCCATGGAGACAGTTGGCTTTGCCGAACCCCTGCCAAGACTGTTCTTGGCGTCGCCCCTTTTCAGATCAATAAACAAGAAAGCGTGGTACATCCACCCTGATCCTGCTCAACCAAATCCACGAGAACAGAAAATTGGCAATGTGCCGAGGAGGTATGCACAAATCCACCCAAAAGCACCCGACTCATTCCAAGACCAACAGATATCAGCCTGTTGACGACAGCCAGTTTCGTCATTCCAGAAAGGAGGTAACCCCACCAAACCCGTACCAGTCCGACACAACCGGCCCAGGGCCAAAGAGAAGGAAAAAGAACAGGGAAATATAAAAAAAAAGGGAAGCGAAGGATATCTCCCCCGGCTATGTAATCGCGCAGAGTTCTCACGCATCCCCATACGCCGTGGCAGAGTAGACCGTGCCTCGATCGCCGCCAACGCCATTCGGGTGTCCCGCCTCCAGATTGACCATGGTATCAGCTTGGGATGCATCAAACCCGTTGGTGTACTGCGACGCTGCAGCAGCCGCCGCAGCCGCCTCGCGCCGCTCCAGGTTGACGATGATGTCCATGGCGCCGTCCAGCGTCTCCTTCTCGGCCCTCAGATCGCGCCGCTTCTGCTCAATCTCAGGCCCCTCCGACATCAGGCGCTGCAGCACTTCCTGCGTGGTCACCTGGCCCGTCAGGCCGAGCTTCTCGTGCAGGTACGTCTCGATTACGGATGCGACGCGCGGCAGCAGGCCTGACATGACATGGATCGAGACGTAGTCGACGAACCGGTTAGCCGCCGTCAGGTAATACCCCCTAATATACGCGGCGACATTCAGTTCGGGCTCGAACGGGTCCGGGCCAAGGTTCTTGAGCTCGCGGGCCATCTTGCTCTCCTCCTGCTTCCGCTCCTCGTCGGTCATGTCCTCCACCTTAGGGACGGTACAGAGCTCCTCGCCGTTGTGCGCGGCAATGCGGAAGTGGTTGCGGTGCCGGACCAGGATGCTCCGCTCGGCCGCCTGGTTGCGCTTCAGCGCCTCCTCGTCTTTGGTGAACAGGCGCTTGGATTCCAAGCTGTAGATGAGTTGCAGCTGCGCGCGCAGCTCCGCCTTTTGGGTCTCGACAAACACGCGCATGTGCTCGAGCGATTCCTTGTAGACGGCGCGATTCTTCAAATGAGCAAAAGAGGCGTCGAGGATGCGCATAATCTCGGCTTGAAGAAACTGAAATGTGTCTCTAATGAAGGTCTCGAGGTGAGAGGCCCATGTCCTAGCCGACTCTGTGTAGAGAGGCTCATAGACACTCGCGGACACAAGACCAGGCTGGCCGGGGATGGCGGCTCGCCTGATCAAATTGCGAATGTCCATGAGGCTCTTCGACGACCTGGGACCACGCGTGGGTGTCACGGCCGGCGTCATGCCCCTGACATGTTGAGGAGTGGAGGGGAACCCAGGGCGGTCGGGCGTCTCGGTTTTGACAACGCCATTCGTCTGCTGGCCACGCTGCCGCTTGGAGGTGGATTGGGGCGCATCGATCCCGGTTGCGGGGCGCTTCCGAATCGTGGGCGAGCTCGTAGGGCTGTCGCCATCGAGGTCGATGATGACTGGCGGTTTTGATGGCTTGACGTGATCCTTCACGTTGAATCTCGGCTTCTGATTGATGATGTGCTTTTTGAACGGTTCCCCAATCTGACCGTCCCAGTTGCTCATGAAAGCCTGACTCATGACCCTGTCCTTGACCCGAATGGTGAACTCGGCGAGGCTCTTCATGACCTCCAGCTCAGGGTTCGGCGGGGGGTCAGGGTAGTTCTGGAGCTGATGGCCAATATCCAGGAGACGTGTGTTAACCTTCTCCTTGACTTCAGGAAGGCTGCAACACGTCAGGTACTGCGGCTGAAGAGTTGCGCTAAAAAGACTTACATTTTCGAGAACTCCTCCGAGAGCTTCAGCGACAGATAGTCTTTCAGCTTGTCCACGCCACACTTCTCCTTGAAATCGTCGAACGCGTCTGGCCATTGACCCGTTTCGTCTGCGGTACGATTGAAGAAGGCCTCCTCCATCTTGTTTTGCTCCTCCAGGTCGCTACCCTGGCGCGAGGTAATGAAGTAGCCGAACCCTGTTTTGTGAGCTCTGCCGTTGAGCATGGCAATCCAGTTCGAAGCGGCATGGTCGTCTTTCGGAAGCAGATCTGCCTTCGTCATTATCCCAAGACAGCGGTTTTCGGCCCGCAGAGCCCTGATCATCTTTAGCGCCAGCGAGTTTTCCGGATCTTGGTTCATCGGCACGGCGCAGAGGATGATGGCGCTCGGGCGCGAGATGTACTCGCGTGTCAGATTTTGGACAGCCTTCTCCAGAAAGGTGTCTTCAGCACGTCTGGCCGTCATGAAGACGCCAGGGAGGTCATAAAAGTTAAGATCCGCGAGTTCGGGTCCCTTCACTTCCAACGCGACGGTGTTGGGCGAAAATTGGGCTTCGGCCCTCTCCTCCTTCTTTTTGATTTGTTCTAAGAGCTGTTCCCGTGTACTCTCGGGTGCTTCGCCCTTCAGCTTCGGGATGAAGAACTGGCAGTGTGTGCTGGGATTGAGAATCGCCGCCTGAGCGCAGCGGAGAACGGTCTCAATCTCCTCCGAATCGGACTGATCTCTCACGGTCTTGAACTCCCGGCGAGCCTGCCGGCTGGGGTCCAGCTTCACCCAAGGCGGAAACTTGTTTGCGTTCGTGACATCGCGCTCCGTGATTTGATGGTTTGGCGGACAGTACTCGTAATCCAGCTTCAGAAAGACTCGGCAGGAAAACTCGTCGGCACGCGAGACTCGAATGTGGATTGGACAACGGGTGCACGTTCCGGAGCTCCGAGGGAGAGTAAGCCCGGCGATGGCCGACATCAAGCTGGATTTTCCGGAGGATTGGTCGCCGACGAGTACCAATTCCGGTAGGCTCGCAACGTGTTGGATCCCCCGGGCTTGGAGCTCACCAAGTGCATCGATGATGTACTTGGATTTTTGGCCGATGTCCCGAAGGGCGCGGTTCGCCGCCCCATTAAATGAGGCTTGGAAGCTCTGCGGACCAACTGGAAGGACGCCGGCGTTCTCAAGCTTTGGCCCGCGCCTAACCTCCATCATCACGCAGTCTTCGTCTTCCTCCTCAAGCACTTGAGGCCCAGAAGCGGAAGACGGCCGGATTCTCGTATCGACACTCGCTACAGCAAATCAAGTCTCAGTTCGAAATCGGGTTGCAGGGACGACTTACGGGCAGCAGATCGCATGTGGCGCCGCCGCTGAACACGCTCACTAGGCGTCTCAGATTGCGCATACTGCGCCTCCAAGATCGAATCTGGCGTCCTCATTGATCGGGACCGACCGGCGCCATTTGGCATTGAGCCAGAACCCGGCTCTTGCTTAACTTGCATCCTGAATCCAGTCGGCTTTGCTGGGCCATGTTAGTCGGATGGAATGCCAAAGGGTAAGGGTAATAGTTGGGGTGATGAGAGAAAAGGAAGGGAGTTTGTAAGTGTGGGAAGAAAGCAATTTGCAACCTACCTCTTTTGACCAACCGAAGTATTCACAACCGATGCCTGCCAATAATCGCTGACAAGGCTGTGATTCCAGTGGAACGAAAGGACGGCCGTTGTGCACAGTGAGCAGAACGAGGACATTCGGAAAGAAAGGTGACACCCGCTCTGCAAGTGGTTGGCGAGAGTGAAGATGGTCGACAAAATAAGTGAGTGCTGAGGAAGAAGAGGCAGAGAAATGGAATGAAAGGACGGAACTCGAAGCCAGCGAGCTGGAAGAGGCAGCAGCTCTACTTCGAAGAGCTCCAAAAGCGCAACTCGGGACACTCAGCCTGAAGATGATGACTGTTAGCAGAGGAGAAGGACATCGGCGAGTGCAGTAACAAGATTTACCTTGTTCAGGAGAATTCTCCGAGTTTGCGTTTGCAGGAAAGGCTGGGAAAATGTGGGGCGGCAGCACTGGCAAATGGAACTCGTTCAGTACCACGACGCGCCTATTCGCGTTTCACACCTTCACTGCGGATTTCTGCGGGAAGTTGTGAATAGAAGGTCAATGGCCATTGCATCAGATGTGCAGACAGCAGTTTGACATCTGATGAAAGAAGAAAACCCGGCATGGAATCACTCATTCCTGCATTTTCTGAAAATGGTCAATTCCGTTGGTATCTAGATCTACCCGAGGGGAGATTCATGCCACCATACAATCGGTCTAAATCTGCGTTTGTATGCACAAAAATCCTCCAAGCATGTCAACGCGAAATCAACCTTTTGGCCAGACCAGAGGTGGACATAGAGTTACACTCTGCTGGATGCAGATGCGGTGGGGTCGACTGCTCGGCCATCCAGTTCATCATGCTTGGAAAGAAAGAGGGGCAACGCACTGACCAGTTGCCTTCCCCCAACTGGATCCCTGTAGTTGGTGACCGCTTCCAGGTTCACATGGCCCCTCCAGATTCAGGGGGATTGGGCCATCTGGCATCGATACTCGAGAACTGGTGCACCTCCATTTTCAACCTCACCCCTTCTCCTCCCTTGACCTTACCTCCAAGCTGCTTGCGTCGGCATATCTTCCCTCGTTGACGACCCAAAGCATTTACCATGTCCCTGCAAATCCCCCACCGCGAGAAATCAAACGGCGCAGGCGGCGTCACAAAGGCCGTCATCCTGGTTCGTTATTCTGGAAAGAGATGAGGTGGGAAGTGCAAGTTTCAATGTTAACAGTCCTAGGTTGGAGGCGCCTCGCGCGGCACCCGCTTTCGCCCGCTTTCGCTCGATGTCCCCAAGGTAGTCTCGACTCTACGCTCAATCCTATGGGAGTATGACGTGTGCGATCGCTAATGAGAACGCGCTGCGCAGCCCCTCTTCGACGTCGCCGGCCACCCCATCATCTGGCACTGCCTGACCGCCATCAACAAGGTACCATCCATCCATGAAGTCTACCTCATCGGCTACTACGAGGAATCCGTCTTTCGAGACTTCATTAAGGATGCGTCGAGCGAATTTCCCAACCTGTCGATCAAGTACCTCCGCGAATACCAGGCCCTGGGCACCGCCGGCGGCCTGTACCACTTCCGCGATGCCATCCTCAAGGGCCGGCCTGAACACATCTTTGTCCTGAACTCGGACGTCTGCTGCAGCTTTCCGCTCAACGAGATGCTCGCCCTGGCTGACGCGAAGGATGCCGAGGCCGTCATTCTGGGAACGCGTGTCAGCGAAGAGGCCGCTACCAATTTTGGCTGCATCGTCTCTGACCCACACACCCGCCGCGTGCTGCACTACGTCGAGAAGCCCGAGAGCCACATTTCGAACCTGATAAACTGCGGCGTCTACCTCTTTTCTGCCGACGCTCTCTTCCCTTCGATCCGCACCGCCATCAAGCGCCGCACCGATCGGCCTCGCCTTGGTTCGTACCGCTCCTCCGAGAACCTGGCAGCTTCGTTCATCGCCGACGACGACGAGGATAGTGCAAAGAACGAGGTGATTCGTCTTGAGCAGGACATCCTCAGCGACATGGCCGACAACAAGCAGTTCTTCGTTTATGAGACCAAGGACTTCTGGCGCCAGATCAAGACGGCTGGTTCCGCCATCCCCGCCAACGCCCTGTACCTCCAGAAGGCTATGCAGAACGGCTCCGAGAAGCTTGCCACCCCGTCTGCGAATATCATTCAGCCCGTGTACATCCATCCCACCGCCCAGGTGCACCCAACGGCTAAGCTAGGTCCCAACGTCTCAATCGGGCCCCGCGCCACCGTCGGCCCGGGCGCCCGCATCAAGGAGTCCATCGTGCTGGAGGATGCCGAGATTAAGCACGATGCCTGCGTGCTGTACTCTATCATCGGCTGGAGCAGCCGTGTCGGCGCGTGGGCCCGCGTGGAGGGTACGCCCACCCCGGTGACGAGTCATAACACGAGCATCATCAAGAACGGCGTCAAGGTCCAAGCCATTACCATCCTTGGCAAGGAGTGCGCAGTGGGAGACGAAATACGCGTGCAGAACTGCGTGTGCCTGCCGTTTAAGGAACTCAAGAGGGTGGGTTTGGCTCATTTCCGCCTATTCGATCCTCTTAAAGCTAACCCGGTGCCTAGGATGTTGCCAACGAGGTCATTATGTGAGCATGGAGCGTCAGACTGAGAAGATACCCACGCGGATCCTGCCTTGGGAAAGCAGCGAGGAAGAGCTTCTTCTTTTTCTTTTTGTTGTTTTTTGGTTGCATTTCCCAGTAGCGCGATGTGTGAGGGCCGTTTAAAAATAATAGACGAATCCACGGATTGACTTGCTCTCAACGCGCCGTGCAGCCACCCTTGCTAATCTCGGTAAGTCCAAGTCACGATCCCAAGTCACTGCCGCTGGTACCCGCCTAGTCTTCATCTCTTGACACAATTCGTCGAGAGTCGTGTACTGGAGGACTGTACAACCCACTCATACAGATAAATCAGCCCACTTCCCTGTTATTCCCAACTTTCGCCCGACGTCCGAACATCCGGCTCACAAGACAACCCGAGGGCACCAGGCAAAAGCACATCAACAAAACCGGTATCTCCCTCCGTCTCAACAGCATCGTTATCCATCATCCTGATGTTTGTCCCAACCTCGTGATCCCGCCAATATGCCCTCCTCCCAGAAGTCCTTCAGGTAAGGCAGGCAGATAGAACGACATGCCAAACCCACGCATGCACCCATCCAGATAACAGAAAACAAGATGGAAACAAAGCAAGAAGCACAACGAGGCTCCCTCAGCCTTTCGTTTGGGTCACAACCCCAATCTTGCCAGGAAGGGCATCATACCACCTCGTCTGCGCATCCATGTCCTCCCACAACATCCCCATCAGCCCAAACGATCCTCTCCACGCCACGCTCCCTTCAATGCCTTGCACCCGGGTCCCGGCACTGAGAATCGGTCCAAAGGTAGAGATCCTGTCCATGTGCTCTCTCCCCTGGGCCCCGCCGATCTGCAAGACCTTCAACCCCCTGTACCCCCCGGGCCGGCGATACGTCATGGAGCGCCGGAGCTTCACCAGTAGATGGCGCACCGCGTCCTCGCTGAGCGGCACCACCCAGTTGTGGTGCCTGCTGCGTGCGTACGGGTGCAGGGCGCGGCAGGAGGCGTCGCATTTTCGGTGCGCTTCCGGGACGATGGCCAGGCGGGTCAGGTACGGCGCCGAGCGGCCGAGGATGCAGATGAAGTCGCCGAGCTTGAGCGAGCCGTCGAAGTACTCGGTGTGAATGTGGAGATGGATGTTGCGGAGGGAGCGCGCGTTGGTCGTGTTTATCTTGTCGAGCCTGTGGTTCGGCCAGGGGCTGGGTTGATTCCAGTTCCAACCAGGTTTGCGACTTGCTTATTCTTAAGGTATGGATGGGCTGGGTTGAGGCCCTCTGCCACCGTCCTGAAGTACGTACCATGTCTTCATTGAGTGCTCCCACGTCTCCTGTTTCTTGCGGTTGCCGGGTAACTGCTCGCAACTATCCATCAGGATGAATGTGTTCGTGCTGTAAAAGTAGTGGGTAGCCTCGGCCGAAATCTGCTTGTTCACTCGGAACAGCGCGAGGTCAAGGTCGGGCTTTTCATGGCTAGTACCAACCGCGTCAACTAAGGTAGCTGTTTCTCCTTAACGGGATACTCGGCGATGGGCGGAAAGACAACTGCCTCATGGCTCATCCTGGAACTCGACAGCGCCAGGCAATGTACCCGCCAGCTACTTACTCCACAGCGCCAAGGGAGAGGAAATGAATCCAGAGAACGAGTCAGACCTACAAGATACCTGTGACGTCGATGCCATGGGAGACGAGCAGCAGCAAAGAGTAAACATGTGCCCGAATCTCAGCGGAAGAGAGAGGAAGGTGTGATGCGGTGGTCGAGGAGCGCAGGCCCGGGATGGCTGCCAACGCGCCCGGGCGCGTGGAGGCTTGGGCTGGGGATCCTTCCTGGGCATGTTGGAGGAGATTGTAAGAGCAGCCGCTCAGCAGCTAGGTTGGAAGTTGAGGTTGAGATGGTAAGGGAGGATGTGTGTTGGGTTGCTAGATGTATCGAAAAGAAACAAGGACATTGCTGCTGGCCGTCAGGCCAAAGAGTGTGACCTTAGTCGGCCTTTTGCAAATTTGTCGTACCTCTACCTCAGGGAGCACTTTCAGAGTTTACATGTATCTTAGTCCCCCTACCTGAAGAGCACACAGGTTTCACTCCTGCAATAGGCGGGTTGTGCAATGATTACCTTATCTTCATCATCCCAGCGCCGGCTGCTTTGTGTTGTAACCGAAAGGCCTTTCTCTGGCTCTTATACTTGGTAATTAACACATTTGAACCTTGATACCAGAACGGAACAACAAATGCACCTAGGTAGCTTAACTTCCAAGAGGATTAAGAGATCTATGCAAGCATTTGCAAGGTTAGAAAGTCACATCAAGCCAGAACATTCAGGTTGGGCGTGAGCCAACAGAAAAAGAACTTGAACAGGATGGTTTTCGAAGAAAAGCACTTGAAGGATGTCTTCTCCGAAACGCTAGCAGGTGGCCTGCAACCTTTTCTTTTGACGCCACCTATTACTAGTGTTCTCACCGGCCCCCAATACTGGCCCCGCCAGGCAGTCTAATTTCAAGGTTCGTAACCCCGGTTCGAGGCCTCCAGCTCATCCGCAACGAAGCGGTTTGGAGAAATAAATCATAAGGAGCCGACTGCAAGGTGTTGGAGAGTCTGGCCTCCAGAAAGCACTCATACCTCTAGAGAACTCAAGCGAGAAGCACCTTACCTTATCTATCATCCATGCTCTGCCCGACATGCTCCCGTTAGCGACGACAAGGTCCGTCATTGCTTTTGTCCTTGTTCTTGTTCAACTGGTGTTTCTCTACATTGAACTTGCTGGAATCCGTTGGAAAGAGCTCTTCTCGACCAATCCGGCAGACACTGGGTGGGGCTTACGCTCAAACACGCCCATCCACGCTGGAGGGCGACGCTCGCTAGGCACTTCATAGCGCTGATAATCCTCGGCCTGTTCGGAGCCATCTCAATCTCAATAGTCTCCTCAGAAACGCGAGCAAAGGGCGTGGCCGAGATCACGAAAGAGGCCGGTGCGAGCGTCTTCAACCAGACACTGCCCACATGCGACTCCAGCATTGCCTTCGTTGACGCGGATTTTGATGGTGACGGCATCCCCATCGGCATTTCGACACAAATCTGCTTCCTCATTGCCATCGCCATCCTCGGCACTTTTCACTGCAAGGCCACAGGCGCCAAGGAGCTGGGAGCCGGCCTGGCCGTCACGCATTTTTCCCTCGCCGTGGCTCTCTTCGTTCAGTACCGCCGTGACACGCTGCGCCCGGCCGATGGCATCATCGGCTGTATGATTTTGGACGCGCAAAATGCGGCCCTGCTAATCCAGCTGACGACCAAAGAGACGCTGGCCGCGCGATGGCAGGTGGGCATCATCGCCGCCTGCCAGCTTACGGGGTTCGCCGTCATCCCCTTCCTCGTCCAAGGGTTCCGGAAGGGAGTCCTTGGGGCCGCTCGCTCTGACTGCAAGCAGTGTCTCTCCGTGTGTTGGTGGGCTTTCTCCCGCAACTGCCCCTCCGTGTCCGCGGAGGGCGACAACGAGTTGATTCGCGACATGATGGTGTTCTGGCTGTATTACGCCTGTCGGTGTGTCTGCGCTGTACAATCAATCTTTCTCGCTGCTGTCAATACACAGCACTTTCATCTGGCGGAAAAGGACGACAAGCCCTTGAACGGCATCACGTTTCCACACATGGCGGTCTACCGGCATCGGACGAGACCGGGCATTGGCGCTCAAAGGTCAGCCTTTTCATTATCGCCAAGCGGTCGTGTTCTGGACGAGCCCGCAATCGTCGGCGAGGAGGCGTCGCGGGAGCTCAAACAACGCGCCTCATGACGGCGCTGTCGCAAGCAAACTCCCCTCCAGCGGGCATCCGTCCACGGTAACCCTTCCCTACTCCGTTTGTAGCATCTTCGCGTTGACTTCAATGGCGTCGGCCTAGATCACCATGCGCGACAACCGGATTCGGCCTAGCTCCGAGATCTTCTCCGTTGGTGAGGTCACCGGCATGGTCGTCGCGGGCGTCACGAGCATGCGAGCCGCATGGCTGTTCCTCCGCATGTTCTTCGAAAGTGGAAGCGACGGGCGGTTCAAGTTCCTGTGGCCCCTTTCCTTCGACTTTATCGGGCTACTGTACTCGCCGACCTTCATCGTTTATCCGGACAATATGTTCCCCGTGTACTGCCGACCGGACGGTCGAGAACCACGACTGGGTGACATCCTCACTGTCATGGACGCAGGAGATACCTCAGTTTCCCGGACACCGCTACCCGGGGACATAGCCGGCATTCAAGAACATTCATACGTCGAACGAATCGCCAACGCACTAATCCAGGTCCCACGAGCTGGCGAGCTTGGCAACTTCGCGATGGACGAATTGGAGGTTAGATATCTTTTTACCGATTCACAAAGAATTCTAAAGGCTCTCTTACAAGCACATGCAAGCGAAGGGCCGTTGACTTTCAGGTTATCGGCCCGGCTAATTCCGGAGACGAAGCGAAAGCGCAACTTAAGATTCATGGTGACGGGTGTGATGCTAGCTCACAGGCTGATGACGCAAGAATCGAAGCGACCGTGCGGGACTGCTGTTGGGCAGCCTGTCCTGTTTGTATATCAGCTTCAGGAAGTGAAGGAAAGATGTTGGGGCAGAGTCGAGATGTGTCTTGTTTACAACGAAGCGAGCATGGCCGAGTGGAGCATTCTTGAAGAGAGATCGACTTCGGCGAGTGGTGGTCCCGCTGTTATGTCTGGGGCTATGCCTGAGGGCCACCCTTAAGAATGACAAAAAGCTGATTGAGGTTCTGGACATACGTACTAGTAGAGTAAGATCCCCATTGCAAATTAATGTGGGATGTCAAGTACCTATTGTGTAGTGTATAAGGGGTTGAGGACACAGCGGAAAATGCAGGCTGGAACTGGAACAAGCTTGGAGTCTTGGATGCCGTTGCCAAGCTGCGCCACGCTGAGCTTGTTCAAGTTCGCACCCAAAATGCTGTGCAGGAGGTGTGACAGTTTTGTAGTGGGGTTCAAGAACTACAGTAGCGTTGATGAGTTCAGCCTCCTCAAGATGGAAACCTTGTGAGGATACTCCGTACTTCATGACTCGTTCCACATATTGGATGGGACAAGGTGAATCCAAGCCACCCGTCACGATTTCAGATCCGGTCGCCAGTGCAAGGGAGTTGTTCCCTCGCTAGTCTCCGCCAATGGGAAGCTCCCTCACCCTCCCGTTTGTCGAACCAGCCCCTGTCGCCAAGGCCATCCTGGCGCATGCAGCTTTTTTAGCTTGTGTGGCATTGGCGCTGGACAGGTTGGTTTGCAGTTTTGAGGCACCTCAGCGAACCACGTGTGACATTGCGTGCAACAGGAGAATACGGCAGTTTGTTGACAATGAGAGAAGGCATTTGTATGTCTCATGTCAGATAGTCCAGCGCGTACAGAAGACCAGTATGTAAGCCAAGTTCTGCCCCCGTGTGATGGCGCCATGCGACTCGGTATCGCGGACGACAGCTGCGGTGAGAGTGGAAGGGCAGGGGCTTGCTGAAATTTGAGTGCGGCTGAGCGCGCTAGCGGGACGCTATCCCACCCTAAATGACCCTTTGGAGTCTGGAACTTCAACTCCGCCTTGCACCATGCTGACAGCGAGCGGCTCTGGGCAAGGATCGAATTCGGCGGCTCGGCCCCTCGGGTCTCGAGGCTCTGCTTTGGGCCTGACGGCGGCGGGCGAGGTTCCCAAATAAAACAGAGCGACCCCCCCTTGTTGTTTGGTGCGATATCCGTACCTGAGTCAGACCATATTTCAATAACACCAGTGCATTCCTGGACCGTTGGATACCGTATCTTGCGGCCGCCCGGACGACTCGAAACCTACCTACAATGGCCGACGCCGTCCCCGAACAGCAGCAGTACGCTGCCCCAGCAGCAGTCGCCCATGGCAAGGAGCCTGAGGAACGGTATATTCAGCAGACGCCGGTGTGGGTGGTTGTGATGCGCGGCTTTCAAATCTTGATATCTTTCATCATCCTTGTTATGGCCGCTTGGTGTATGCACGGCATTGTCCTGGGTGCGAACGCCTTTGCCTTGGTCTGCGTAAGTCTATCGACTCCTGCGCCTCTTCGCGGGTGGGCTCCGTCTCGACTGGGAGCTGACTGGGATTGCAGTGGCTGTTCACTTGGATTATCGTCGCGTATGAGCTCATTTCGGAGAAAGTTCCATCGGCGCAGAAGGCATACAACATCTGGGCCGTCCTGTCACTCGATTTCCTTATGGCTCTCTTTTGGTTGGCTTCGATGGGTGCCAATGCCGCCTTACGCGCGGAATTCAATACCACCGTCAACATTAATTCCTGCCACAGCAACGGAAAGGTCGTCAACAGCAAGACCTGCACCTACACTCCTGCCAAGGCCAAGCGCAACGGTGCTGTGGCTGACCAGACCGGCCTTGCCGTAATAAGCGCCATCGCCGGATTGAGTGCGCTTGTGTGGTACGTCGCGGCCTTTCCGAAGCGCCGCCGAATTGCTCACTGACACTCTCCGTTCCTCAACCAGGCTCCTTTTCGTGGCCACACTCGTTTTCCACGGGCACACCTACCGCCTCTGGCACCAGGAGCACAAGAAGCCCTCGGCTGACAACGCGACCGTCGAGATGAAGGTACAACAATTTTCTTTGGTTGTGGACTGCTTAACGCCTTTATGGCTCTCCTACGCCTCCCGAGATAGCGAATTTGCGCTTGAAACCCTCCGGAGACATCCGCGATTGGAATTTCACAGCTGACATTGTTGGTCAGGCCCAGGGCACGCCCATGCTGGCCCCGCAGCCCGACGCCCAGCCCGTCCACCCACAGTACTCGGACCAGCAACAGTACCAATCACAGGTGTACCCGCCGCAGGCCCAGCAGCACGATGCCTACCCGCAGCAGACCGCCGCCTATGCGCAGCCGCCCCAGACCGACCCCTACGTGCAGCAGGCCGCTGCCTACCCTCCACAGCAGCAGTACGAGCAGCAGCAACCTTACAGCCCGCATGGCACTCCCGCACCGGGGCAGCCGTACTATCCACCCCAGGAGCAGCAGCAGCAGCAGCCGTATAGCCCGCATGGAACGCCCGCGCCCGGGCAGCCTTACTACCCACCGCAGGAGAAGCAGCAATGAACACATTCGTGTGAGGGGTGCTGGGGGTATTAGCGGTGGTTGTCTTTTGCTTTTTCTGGTCTGAGTCTTAAGACTCGAAACTCAACATCACGAATTTTGCCAGACCACGAGGATAATGATGGCTTCGGGAGCAGATCAGGGATTGCTGGGTTCATGTTTTAACTTTCTTGGGTTTATTATACCTGGTATCTGACGATATCTGTTCCAAGGGGGCGTTGGGTAGCGCTTTGGCCGGCATCATAGATACTGTAATTTGCATTTCATTGTTTTGCAAACTGGAGTTCCGGTATGCCGCTATGTGACTGGCAAGGTGGTGATTTACAAGCAAGAGAAGATCTGAACATACCAATCAGATGTCCAAGTTGATGGTGACCGTCGTCCATCATAGCATTACTACAGATGACTGCCCTTTTCTTTGTGGGCCGCAAAGACCTCCGAGCTCAAAATTTCTGATGGTACTCAAGCAGATGGCAGCAGCATGAACCAGAAGTTCCAGGTTGTTGGGGGAGCTGTTCTTTGTCCGCTCAACATCTGTATTGACTGGTCAATCACTCCACGTCAGTGAACCCACATCTTCACCGCACTTTGAAGTCTTGAAGGCATATGAGATTATGTGATGGCCAAGTACGCATCTGACTTGACGATTTGATAAATTGTACGTAAAGCAGCGAGGCTGGAGATTCTAAATCTGGCACCTGAACTCCGTGCGCCCTCACTCTGAGACTCACAAATCCCCGTTTGTCCTGCTCTCGGGTACTTGCTTGAGCAGCTGTTCTGTCAGAGCAAGTCCCTGCACATGCCCCGACAACCAAATGAGACATACATGAATTGACTCGGATCCAGGCAGGGACATGTTGTTGCGGAGCAGGTGCTTTGTCAGAAGTGTCAAGCGGATGTAGGCAAGCGTGATGTCTAAGAAACTTCTAGTCTTTGTTAGTTGTTCTGGCATCCTCTCTTTCGCTTTGAGGTAGGAAAACAATCCATTGAAGTGGACGGCTCATTCTTGGTCTCCGTTCCTTTCCAACCAATGCCCATGATCTCTCGTCCCTCATCATGGACGGTTCAGTCATCCCTGAGGAATGATGGATGGTCCCACGTCTGGACATTACCTCGTCCCAAGTCACGGACAGTCTCTCATTCTTTTTCGAACGCTCCTTGTGTCTCTGTCTCACCCGTCCTCTCTATCAGCGCCGCCAAGGTTTCAGGACGCCAAGGATTCATCACGGAGAGGGCACCAACTTCTGTTGTACATCAAGGATGACGAGTAAACTCATAGACAGTTTCTCTTCATCTTCAACATGCACTGTCAGCCCTTATCCAGCAGCGGCGGCCAACAAGGTGAAGCTCCTCTTGCTGATGACTCTGCCCTCTTCCAGCTCTGCGTGACACATCAGGAGGCGGCCAATAATGCGGAGGCCGGACCCGCATGCCAGCAGTTCAGTTGCACGTTTCTCTTGCCTGTGCTTCGCCTCTCCTTCTCTTCTCCTCTTGCTTTCTTCCTCAAGCATCGTCGGCTGCAGCAAAGAATCAGAGCTCAAGCACACCAGTCTGCGCGGTGCCACCTCTCTTGCTCGTTCGCCCTTTCCCAGCTTGAGCACTCTTCCCCCTCGCCATAGCTTGACTGACCTGCCATTGGTAGCTGCTCTTCAGCGTCAAAAAGCAAAAAAAAAAAAAAAATTATAATAATAAAAAATAAAAATAAATAAATAAAAAATAAAAAAATCGACACAGCAAAGCGGGGCTTCAGGATGAAGCTTCGAATCTTTCTTCGCCTTGTTGGCGATGGTGGTGTTCGCCATCGCCCAGGGCGTGACCGACAAAATCGCGCCGGAGGGCGGTGCCCCCGCCGGCTGCAAGCCCACCCTCGACGCCAAGTTCGAAATCACCATCATTCCATTCAAAGGTATGGCGAAGAAGGACATGGCCATCGAGGTATGACCCCTCGCTGCCGTGATCGACATGTTGCACGTTGCACCCCCTGACCCACATCGGAGCCGGCGCCGTCTTGGCAGGCCGGCTCCGAGCCAACGGCGAATCGGAGAGCTCCATATCGCGCACCCGGTGGGAGTCGGCAAGACGACGACGATGCTAACCAACACATGCGGCAGGCTCGCACCACCTTCTCGGGCGACCATGGCAACCTCGTCCTCCAACTGGCCGGCGGCATCCTGACCGACGCCCAGAACCGCACCGGGTACATTGCGTCGAACTTCCAATTCCAGTTCGACAACCCCCCGCAGACCGGCGCCCTCTATACCGCGGGCTTCTCTGCATGCACCAACGGCTCGCTCGCCCTTGGCGGCTCCGCCGTCTTCTGGCAATGCCTCTCGGGTACGTTCTACAACCTCTACGACCGCTGGTGGGCCGCGCAGTGCGAGCCGGCGCTGATGGTTGCCATGCCTTGCGGCGGAGGTGACCCTACGGTTCCTCAGTCGGGCACAACCGTCGGTACCGAAGTTGTCACCAACACCATGGTTGTGCCGCTCAGTGACGGCCAGCCGCAAGTCGTCACTACCACAAGCATCGTATACATTTGCCAGATTGGAGATGGTTTGATTTCCTTCCCCAGCCCTTTCGATATCACTCGAAGCCCCCTAGAATTGAGACCTCAATTGACATGACACCACAGGCCAAGTTCAGGAGCATACGACCCCTTGCGCCGCGGCCTCGCAGATCCCCCACGGCCAAGTCCAAGTAACGACGGCCGGATCTCGGCAAGCGTCCCAGCTCTCGAACGGCAAGTCGTGCAGCCCACGCCTCTCGGCGGCGCCCAGTCGTCGGCTGTGAGCGTGAGCGTGCCTGGCGGTACCGCCTCGGGTGGTCCTGTGGTGGTTCCGACTGCCGCGCCGCCTGCTAGTGGAGCCGCTGCCGGTGGTGGTCGCAATGTCAGCGACTTACTTCTGACCATGGACGGCATGGCGATGGTGATGATGGGAGTCATAGGCCTGGTCTGGTTCTAGGCCGAAGCCAGCCAGATGGCAACGGCTGCTGGGGGTGGCGTTGGCGGTCTCCTTTCGCGGTAACTTTTTCTGTTTTCTCTCGGGGTTCGGTGGATTGCTCGCTTGGAGGCGTGGGTCTGCGTTAGGGGTCGACAGCGTGTGAGCTGGAAATACATATGATAGCGGCATATAATAGCGCGACTCATGGTTGGGTCAGTATACTGGGCCTCGGCGTTACGGTAGTAACATTTTTCGGCTGAGCAACTGTCCAATTGGTAAAGTGACGGCCATCCCATGCTCCGGAGTGAGGGGTTTCATCGCAAATGACCAAGAAATGATTGATACTGGCATTTCATGTGCATCCTGGGAGTCGATGAAGTAATGCGAATTGCAGGGACCACTATAGTCGTCCACGGGATTCTCGTCAATCCCCAGATTCATCAATGTTAAGTTCGTTTACACTTTTTCCAAGACGACGAATTTCATCACAGTGACGTGAAGATCTGTGAGGCCGAGCCTCCATTGGTGGGTCAAGGGCTTTTGGTCGAGGTTTATCCGGCCTGCCGCCTTTTACGGATCCGTAACCGATAACAGAATTGATGAACCAGGTTTGGCAGGCAACATCACGACTTTCTCACATATAAGCGACATCGTTCACGACCCTCCTCCTTTCATTTAGTCCGTCGCCCTCCTCCATTCACGTTCTTGACGACCGAGAAACATGTCGGAGTACTGGAAATCGACAAACAAATACTGGTGCAAGCACTGCAGCGTCTTCGTACGTGACACCAAGCTTGAGCGCACCAACCATGAAGCCACTGCGAAGCACCAGGGCGCAGTCAAGCGCTCGCTCCGCGACCTGCACCGGAACGCCGACAATAAAGAGCGCGAGAAAGAACGGGCGAAGCGAGAAGTCGAGCGATTGAATGGCGTCGTGTCCGGAAGCGCCAGCAGCAGCGCATCGGGCGCATCAAGGTCGGGAGCCAAGGCAAGCAGCGGGGTCTACGGCGCACCACCACAACAGGTCTCGGAGGTAGAGCGGCAGAAGCAGCTGGAGCAGCTTGCCGAGCTGGGCGTCAACATTCCGACCGAGCTGAGAGGGAGCATGGCAATGCCTGGGGAGTGGACCGTCACGGCGACCAAGGTCATCGAGCCCTCGGGAGGCAAAGCGTACGTCCACGATTCGGACTCGGTCGAGGGCTGCGCGACCGGCTTGAAGCGAGAGAGGGAACGCACAGAGGAGGAGAAAGAACAAGAGGAGGCGATCAAGGGGTTGTTCAAGAGGCCGAGAAAGTGGGGGGTTGATTCCAAGACCATGCCTGCCGAGGAGGACGCCGAGCTTGAGGCGCTGCTCAGCGGGCCACTGGTCAAGACTAAGAAGGAGGAGGGTGAGCTCCCGAACAAGGCAGAGGACAGCCAGGGAGAGACTGTGGAGAATGAAGGCGTCGAACCAATAAAACAGGAGCCATCGCCACCCATCAAGAATGAACCGGATGACGAAGAAACGAGCAGCAGCGTTGCCGCACTCAAGGAAAACGCACAAGAGGTTCCATCTGGTGCTGGGGCCACGGACGGTACAGCGGCGGCCACAGCAGTCATGTTCAAAAAACGGAAGCCCAAGAACTTACGGCAGAAGTAGGTGTCGTTTCTGACAAAATGGTACGTAGGCCTTAGAAGCTCTCTGTGTCAATGATACCCTTTTCCATTATCAGTCACACATACACTGGTTCGTCTCGATGTTCCTATCGCAGGTTGCAGAATGGCCAAAAAGCCATCCGACCGGCGTGTATTTGATCTTTCTTGGTTTTTACTTCCACAGAACACGCCCATGTGTTCCTCGAAGACAACGGCATTGACCGAGAATTGGTGGCCGACGCCCAGAGAGTCGTGCTTTCCTGCCTCTCATTTCCGGACACGTGATGTGCTGTGGGATGAGCTGCAGCTGCAGCACCAGGCATCCAAAACCACGCTGGTTTCCGTCAATCTCACCCCATGACAGACAACTCCGGTCGCCATCAAGATGTCCAGCAAAACGGTCAAATTTTGCATGATGCTGTTCTTCCGGGGGTATTTGCGGCAAAGGAACGAGGAGTACAAAGCTCTCCGCGACGCCTGGCTCAATGGTACGACCAACTTTCTGCATGCACCCCCGATGTGGCCGGCTGACCGATGTATGCTCATCAGACTCCCTGCCGAGCTTCTCCTCATGATCTGCGAGCCTCTGTACCAGGCCGGCCTTTTTCACCTGGCCCTGACCTGCCGCGTCTTGGCCGGCGTAACGTTGGACTTACTTTATCAGCGAGACATCTTGCTTTTCGATTGCCTCGCTCTTCGCTGGGCTTGCACCTTCGGTATCGTCTCGACCTTGCAAAGGACCATCAGCTATGGCGCTCCTCCCGACCGTGTCTGCAATCCCCATTCGCACGTCGGAAGGGGTTGGATCATTGGCGGAAGGACCGACTCTTGGCCTTACGACCCACGCTACTGCGAGACGCCGCTGAGCACCGCCATCGTGGCCAATGAACCCGAAATTGTTCGATTGCTGCTCGCCCATGGCGCTGATCCCAATCATTGTCTCGACCTCAGGGCGTCTGACCGCCTATACTCGGTAGAAGATTGTTTATTCCCGATAAACCTCGCCATGGGTACGCCCCAAATGCGCTCCTACGGTACCTTCATGCCTGGCCATCCGCGAATCGTGCGCCAATTTCTCGATGCTGGCGCCAACCCGAACCAATACACCGTGCCCCGGAGCCCGTTGTTTACCGGCGCCCGGGTACGCGGCTTTACGCCGCTCCATATGGCCATGCAAGCCAAGGTTCCTGTCGAGACTGTCAAATTGCTCTTGGAACGCGGTGCGGACCCCACCCTGGTGGAAAGTTACAAAGGCACTTGCACTTCCTACTGAAGAAGTTTGACGAGTTTTGTGACCGCTCCCCGCTGGGAGCGGCATTGCTTTGCTCGGCTCCAGCAACGTCTATCCTCTCGACTTCCACAAGATACAGCTGCTCCTCTCGTATGGAGGCGCGCACGAGGTTTATCACGTTAGTTACAGGCCCGTTGGCAATGGCGTGGGCAGCCTTCTGCCCGTTTTGTTCCGTCATTGGAACCATCCCTGGGTTGCCGACGTCCTCAAGCTGTTCATCTCCGAAGGGGCTGACATCACGAGCTGGGGCGCGATGCTTATCCCGGCCATCGTGTCCCTCATGTTGTGGACCGAAGAGTTTATCACAGAGGGCTATCGTCGAGCAGCGGTACATCAGGTCTCGGAAGCCCTCGCCAAGGCCTGTGAGGTGATCACCCTCATGGCGGAGGCTACCTTGGTGGAGGAGCATACCGGCCCGGTCCGGAAGTCGGCGATCATCGATGCCGTCATCTCTGCTGAGGTTCCTGGACCATGGGCTACAAGAGAGGACCAATCAGCCCTCCGATACGTATGCGGGTACTTTGGGATCGAGGGCTTCTCATGGCTGGTCCCCGTGCTGCTGCGTTACGGTGCCGACATGAATAGCGCCGACACAGAGGGCCGCACCGCGCTCCACCACGCTGCCATGTTTGGTTCCGGCTACCAGGTGCGGAGCTCGTCAACTTCCTTGGTTGCCCCGCAGCGTCCGGGCTCATCGTCGACGCCTGCGATTCCTGGAATTGGACTCCGCTTCACTACGCCTGTCTGTTTGGTATGTGGGGCGAATCCGGCAACCGAGTTGCTACCGCCCGGCTGTTCCTGGACAATGGTGCCGACTCTCGGGCTAGGACCAACGGCGACTGGACACCGCTCTCCCTCGCCGTCCTTTCCGCCAACCGGGACTTGGTCGAGTTGTTGTTGGACCACGGCGCCCATCCTGAGGACGCATTCCGCCGGCGCGAATCCGACACCGAGATGACCTGGTGCCTGTCGGTCGCATCCTCTTCTCCCTCAGAATGCTCCCGGCCGGGCCCCCATGCCGGATTTGGTGGCAGAGCTGGCGATCGCCAAGGAGGGCACGGCAACACTGCTGTCGCATCGAACGGGAATCCCGGTGCGCCTTGCGCCGGCGCCGGAGTTGCCCATACTACCCGGGGTTTCCTGGCTCCAGCATGATGGGTTTGAAATCGACGTTGTGTACCCTTGTTTTGGTACCTCCAGCGTCGACGTCGCTGACCTGGGGGGGACCAAGTTTGAGGAGGACATTGAGAATGTTCTGGATAGACTTGATCTTCTTGGTCTTGAGGCTTGGATTGCTTCCGTCCGCGATTCGGTGCGGCCCTCGATGTTCTGGCGGGGTGGTCTGCTGCCTCGCTGACTTGATGGGCTTCAATAGGTCGGTTCTGTACTTCGCATGCTTTTTATTTCTGTTTTCCACGTTCCCGTTCTCGTTCCCTTTCCCTCCTTTCTTCTCCTTTCTTTTTCGTCGTTTCTCTGTTTTGTTTCCGTGTTGACACCACTTGGTCTTCAGCCATCACTTTCTGGACTTTCCAAGCCTCAACATGTGCAACTGCGCTCTTTTCGACCGGATTTATAGCTGACAGAGTTAGTTAAGCAATATCACAGGCATACGGACGATTTTTAAACCCATGGGTGAGTGTATTTAAGCCAACTATATACAGGAATGAGAAATCATGAGCTCATGAAAGAGAAGCATCATCATCAGTGGCCTCTCAACAGCCCCAGGCCCTGTCCTCGGCATTTTCATCATCGCTCATTGCCTACTCAGCGCGGTCCAGCATCTGCTCCACCACAACAGACCAGGGCGTGCCTGCACTACCGCCACCGAGTCCCCAGCCTCTTAACCGCCATATCCTCCCCCCTAGTTGCCAATCTGCCTGGCCAGCCAGGCCGGGGCGCTCACGCTCGAATCAGTCGTGTACAAGAAGTGCGCCGGCGCGATGAACAGCGTGCCCCAGCAGACGGCATCCGACACGTTGCAGTACACCTCGGTCTTATCACTATCAAAATTCGGAATGCGCCCGCCATTCTATACCAGTAAAGTCAGCTGCGAATTACCTAATATAGGTTTAAAACAAACCTGCAAGTTCCGGGTATATCCAAACAGAACGACGCCCTTGATCTGGTTCTTGATGGTGGTCGACAGCTCGCTGACGGCGCCGGCCATGACGGCGGTGCCCTGGCTGTACCCGCCCGCGACGATGGCCGCGTTGGGGCACTTGCGGTTGGCTAGCGTGAAGAGCCGCTTGGCCTCGTCGATGGCGGCTTGCGACGTGCCCCGGGGGAGGAAGTTCTCGGCCAGGCCAGCCGTGTAGGGGCCGCCCACGCCCTGCACCCAGAGGCGGCCGCGGTAGCGGGACTCGAGGCCATCGGCGACGTTGGGGCCGGCCGAGATGCCCTTTTTGGCGCGTGTTAGTTAGGTTCTTTTTTTTCTTCTTTTCTTCTTCTTTTTCTTTTCTGTTTTTTGGGAAAAGCGGGGTTTTGGGAAAGACGTGCCATGTTGCCGGGCTCGGTCGAGGCGCGGGCAAAGATGAAGATGACGCGCGGGCAGTTGGACGAGCTGCCCCTCTCAAGCTCGTTGCGGGTTGAAGAGAGCTGGCGGGCCTCGATTTCGAGCTCACGAGCTTCAATCTCAACGGCGTTCTCGGCCTCAGCCGGGACGGTGGGGAGGGCGGCGACGAGGCTGGCGGCAGCGAGGAGCTGGAGGAACTTCATGTTTGCGGTTGGCTGGCTGTTCGACTGGCTGTCTGAAAAGAGAAGCTGCTGAGCTGAGACGGGGACTCTGACCGAGGACTCGAGGCTGGCTGATGAGATGAAGGGCAGTGGTTTCAGGTCGAGGGATGCACCGGCTACTTATACCTGAGGTTGACTTCTTCACGAGCTCGTGAAGCCGTCACGGTACAGGGCATACTCTGTAGTTGGTGGTGTTCTCCTCAGCGGAGGAGTTCATAGCCCCTGAGTGTCCCATTTCAACTTGGAGGGTTCATTATGCACCCCAGAGTCCAAGTACCGAGGCTGCCGCAAGCATTTCTGTTTGGGGTTTAGTGTAGCCCTGTGGAAGCCTCGAGGTGTGACATGGCAGCCTCCCTGGTTTGTTGTTACCCAAATTAGGTAGCCCCCGTTCGAAAAGGCTGGAGAAGACTGAAACTGTGATCAACTCGAATCCACCTTAGCAAAACAAATGTGGAGACGGGAAGAACCAGAGAGTTGAATAAAAAGACATTGAACAGACAATGGCACGTCAGTGAGAAGTATCATGATCTCGTATCTAGCTTGGTTGATCTAGGCTGCCTGGCGTCAATGGTCGCACCGTCTTGAGATTCAGATCAATGTATCCGTCCTTGTTGACAAAACACGCGCTCACCTGATTCAAGTGTCGTGCTGGCATCCGACCTGATACTGAAATGAGGCTCAAGAAGCGAATTCGGTTTGACTACGCCGGCTGGGCACGTTTCGAGATTAGACTGGACGCAAAAATTCTCAGTAGGTACCTATTCGCTCCACGTGCCGCGGTATGTACAGAATTAGGACATCTTCCAGGTTGGGCTGACTGGCCCCCACCGAGGTCTGTAACCGCAGAAGACAACGACGACCCAGCATTTTGGGCTTTCCCCCGCAATTCTCTCCTTCTGCATGGTGGGCGATGCAGGTCGTTGCGGGGTGCAGGGCTGGGTGTCATCGGCATCACTGTTTCAGAGAAAGCCCTCCAATGTGGCTACGCGCCAAGCCAGGAAAGTGCCGAGGCTCGACGGCGGGTGTGCTCACGAGGTTGGCTTGGGGCTTGTATGAGGCCTCAGAGGCGGGGGCACGTCCCGAAACAGGTTTGTTTGCGAATAAAGTGCTGTGAGTTTGTATGGCGACGGCGACTTCGTTGTTGAAGCCGTTGAGGGGAAGTTTGAAGTGGGAAGGCATGGTGACATTCAGTTCCAGTCGCCCAAGAGGGTTGATGGCGCCGTTCGGCTCGCATTGTCACTGGGCCTCTTGCGAGAGAGGGGATCTGGATTCCGAGGACCGAGGCTGGTTGTTGAGGAGCGAAGACGGACTGCTGGTGGTATCATGAGTTCTTTTGGCTTTTTTTCTGTTCAAAATGGTGATTGAGATGCAAATTAGGACTGAGGAGAGCCTAGGAAGATGAGGTCGTCTTAACTTGATGACATTGGTGGTCGGGATGAGTGTTTGGACCCTTTGGTAGGGTTGTCGGAACACTTTGCCTTTCAACGATTTGTTTAACATTGACTGTCATGGGACTGGATTTCTTGACCGTCAACCCTAAAATCTTGAGGTAGGGAATTCCCATTTCACCTCATGATGTAGATTTCGATCTTTAGGTATATGATATACAAACCCTTTTCATCACACAAACCTCTCTCATCATACAAACCCCCTTTCTTTCAGAGGACTGTGCGTCTTGGAGGCTGGATCTATACCTCTGTTCGCCCCTAACGCAGGTTACCTCTGCCACCAGTACTAGTAAGCTGTAGTAGCCATAAAAAAATGTAGTCCGGACTAGGCTCCCTCCTGTGTATTCTAAGCCGACGGCGGAGCAGGCCACTGATCCAACACGACCTGCTCCCCAACCAATTCAAACTCAAACCCCTCCCTCTTCTCCTCCCCTCCTCCCCCCTGCCCCTTCCCTTTCCCCTTCCCCTTCCCTTTTCCTTTCCCCTCGCCATCACCCCCATCCACCGATGAGTCCCCATTCACATCCAAAGAGATCTTATACCTCCCCGGATAGAGCACCGTATTCCCCTGCTCATCCACCCGCGCCAGACTGCCCAGCGTCCACCCGAGCTGCGCACTCTTCTCCCTCCTCGGCGCGATATCCCGCACCCGCGCGTACGAGACCAGCGTCTTGATGGGGTACGGCCTGGGGCCGAACTCGCCCGACAGGAAGGCCAGCGCGACGTAGTCGGACGTGTGTTCCCTGCCCGTGTTGGTGATGCTTGCCGGGATGGGCGGCAGCAGGCAGGTGTCTTTGTGTTGATGACCGTGGCACCCCTCAAGGAGGGAAGATATGGAGATCTTGTTGTTGTTGTTGTTGTTATTGCCGCCCCGGTTACGCTTAAAGGGGTTGGACAGGCGCCCGGAAAAGGTGGTGTAGTGCAGGCCGAAGCCAAACGGTCTGACGGGCGTGGCGTACCAGCGGTAGGTGCGGCCCGGGGACGCGCGGAGGGACATCTCGGTCATGGGGATGGCGGCCGTGTAGTTGGCTGGGTACTGAGTGACTGGAAGGCGGCCCGCGGGCGAGGCGGCGCCGCTGAGGAGGCGCATCACGGCGGTGCCGCCGTCTTGGCCCGGCCAGTTGGCCCACAGAATTGCGTTGACGGCAGGGAGAGCGAAGAGGGGACTGTCGTCGAGTTGGTCGCCGAGTTGGATTATGATTAGGGGCTTGTTGAGCTCGCCGAGACGGCGGATCAGGGCGAGCTGGGCGCCTGGCCAGTCGATTGTCTGCCGGTCTTTTGTCTCGCCTGCTGCCGAGGTGTCGAGCCCGCCAAAGTAGAGGATGTAGTCGGCGTCTTTAGCCGTGTCGACGGCCGAGACGGTCCATGAGTCGTTTGCCGACGTGCTCTGCAGCACGGGACCGCCGGCCGTCTTGACTTGCCAGCCCATCTGGCGCGCTGCGAAGGCGGGCGAATGCTGGAACGCCGGCGTCCCGCTGTAGCCCCCGGATAGCTTGTCAGGGGCGTCGGCCCAGAAGCCCACCATAGCGACCTTCGGGGAGGGCTTCTTCTTCAACGGCAGTGTGCCGTCGTTCTTGAGCAGGACAGTGCCCTCAACGGCTGCTTGAAGAGCCAGCCGCTGCGACTCGGGCTGGTTGACGTCGGCCCATCCGAGGGCGGCGTGTGGCGAGTCGGCGCCGTCAAAGTATCCCACGCGCACCAGGCCCTGATACAGCCGGCGCAGGGCTCTGTCGATGGTCGGCACCTTCAGCAGGCCCTGGGACCAGGCCCCCGGAATGTCGGATGACCCCTGGTACTCGCAGCTGGTGTCGGTGCCGGCATCGAAACACATGGCGGTGCCCTCGGCGTTGGACTTGGCGTAGTGGTGGTTGGCCCACACGTCGAGGACGGCCTCGCAGTCGCTCGTGACATAGTTGTCGTGCTCGGTCCAGTTCCAGTGCTCGCGCAGGATGGTCTGCAACAGGTACGAGTTGGCGCACGACGGCACCCCGTTGACGGCGTTATAGGCGCACATAATGGACCCGACGCGCGAGTCGCGGGCGCACTGCTGGAACGGCGAGAGATAGTACTCGGCCAGATCCTGGAGCGTGATCTTGGCGTTGAAGTTGTGCCGTGTGGCGCCGTTCCAGTCCTCAAAGTCGTTGCCCGCGTAGTGCTTGCAGGTCGACACGATGCGCCGCTCCGGCCCGGGGCCTTCGAGCCCGCGGATCATGGAAGCGGCGTAGCGCTTGACTCGCAGCACGTCCTCGCCGGGCGTCTCGGAGCCGCGGCCCCAGCGGGGATCCTTGAACGGGTTGACATTCGGGGTCCAGTAGTCCAGGCCCGACCAGCCGGCGTTGCCAAAGGCGCGCCCCTCAATGCCGATGACAGCGCCAATCTTTTCAATCAGCTCGTCGTCGAAGGCTGCAGCCATCAGCAGCGGCATGGGAAACGAGGTCGACGAATTGAAGTCCCCCGGTCCGTCCCGGAACTGCGTTCCGGGCGCGTAGGCGACACCGTGGAGTGCTTCGCTCCACCAGTTGTACGCCGGCAGGCCGAGACGTGGTGCCCCATTTGACTTGCTGGGGTTTTTTTTGTCAGATATGTCAGGCAGGTCATCGTTGATTTTGCACTCCTGATACATACCTCACCAGGTTCTGCAGCTTCTCCTCGTTGACCATGGCGGCGACGAGGGCGGCTGCTCGCTGGGCCGGGGGCAGGCTGCGGTCACACACCTTGTTCTGAGCCAAAGGCCCATTGCGGCAGTCGGGGTATGTCTGGAAGGGGGCATTCAAGCCGTAGACTGCGGCGGAAATCCCGCAGATAAGCCATGGGATCTTCATGGTCAGGCTGGGTTGCCCTTAAACAAAGCAATACAACGTCGACAATAGTCAGATATCTCAAGTCCACGTTGGCCAACACGGGGGGCGAAACGGGGGATACATGTATGGAAGTCGAATCTCTAGATCAGTAGGCTCTAGCCAAGGCCAGCGGCAGATTCTAGTATACTTGCCCATCTAGGAAGTTCGTGGTCTCGGCCCATGAGCCCGGAACTGACATCTAGAGTTACACCCATATCCCGATCTGCCAGCCCTCGATCCCCGGAATTTCTTTGTCTGGTAGACTGCACTGCCGTTTCTCAAAGCCGAGTCCCAACTTCCGGTCAGCACCAGGCCTTAGTAGTAGCCGCTCGACAGAAGCGCTGCCATGTTATTGGGGCGCGTCTATCGTAGCGATCGGCATGCAGTCGGGATGCATTGCCAGACGTATTTAACCGCTAGCCTGTATCGTCTCTCCGGGCCTTGCTTCTCTCCTCCGCCTCTTCCCCTCACTTACTCGCATCTCGACATTGCACCGGACAGCTAAGTAACCAAAATATTGACTCTGTTGACTCAGGAATCCGAATTGAATGGAGTTGACCAGTTGTTGAATCGCGTCTCCAAACTCAGGCCAGGTCGCTAGGACGATGTCACACGGCTGCCACGCCAATTTATCCGCCCGGTCTGACAACAGCCTGCAGCGGCCGATGAATACAAGCGATCGCCGGCCACTAGCAGCTGTACGGACTGAGCAAAGTCAGCGAGGGTTCAAGCTACTATGTACATACTTACTACTAGTTAGTGTCCACTACCCCGAAACGAGAACTGAGCAAAGTGCCCCTGGCAACCAGCACACTTCCACACCCCTTGCCTGCAGGTGGCGCCAACCCCGGCTACACCATCTTGATCGAGCTTGGGAATGCATTCCGTGGTGTCCCCCGGCTCCCTACCCTCAGAAGTCGAATCCACATCCAATCTGGGGCGCATAGCATCCGAGCCCTAGTCAGGTCTACCGTGGCACTGGGGCAGAAGACGGCTCACTCAAATTTATTCCGCGCTTGGGGGTTTATAATATATTTGTTAACTTTGTAACCTGCGCAACGATGCTAACCAGCTGGGTGGGCCTTTCAAAAGAAGGATTGCCTCCGGGTGTGCCAAGGGTAGATTGGAGCTGTCCCGTCCATATCTCTTAAAGTCATCTTTTTCATTCCCTGTCGTAGGATGTGTATGGGTGACGGAGGTAGCGAACGGCGATCACAGGTCTCGGATTGACGCTGTATAGTCAACCACACTCCGGCAGGTATAGTACTACCACCCGATCCTTCTCGCTCAATAGATATTCGCCGAGAACTGCGAGACGGTCATGGTGGCTGGCCCGCCGGTGAAGGGCTCGGTGCCCAGCTGGAAGACTGTATAGATAGATGGCAAGGTCAGCAACCGTTCTTCAACCGCCCACTCAGATGAACGAGTGGGAGATGGTGATATGGGTAATCGAAGATGTAGTTACCGATCAGATGCTGGCTGCTGGCTGGATAGCCCTGGCTGCTCTGCAGGTAGTTGAAGAAGTCCTTGACGTTTGCGCTGAAGCTGTTAATGGGACTGGGCGCAATGAAGCTAAAGACCTTCATGGAACCGTTGTAGCCGACCCAGAGCTCCCAGGTGCGGCCGGCCACGTTGACGGTGCCTACGGAGGAGCCGATCGGGTAGACGTTGCCGTATCTGGCGAGCCTATGCACCGGTAGGTAAAGTAGTCAGTGTCGGTCGCTGAGTTGCCATTGCTCAATCAAGTTGGTAAAGAAGGAAGATATACCAAATCATCAACTCATAGTCACCACTGCTCGTGACATGGTTCGGATCGGCGGCGGTAAACACATCATACGCGACATTCGCCCGGATGTTAGTCGTGTCGTACGACCACGAGACGGACGTCTGCATGGAGCTGAGCGACGAGATGCGGAGCCCGCGGGCAAACTGCCTGCCCGAGTTGGCGTAGCTCTTGACGTTGTTGTCCCCGCCGCGCCAGGTCCACGTCGTGCGCCAGCGGACGCCAGACCCGGAGCTGCCGTCGACGTAGGTGCACTGCGAGCCCGACGAGGCCGACCCCTTGCCCCAGTTGTTGTTGTTGATCTCGTAGCCGTTGCCGGACCAGTAGCCGTACTGGTCACAGAGCGTTGCCTGTTGGCGCGGGATGAGGGAGGTGGTGGGGGTCGTGCTGCCCAGGGGCGACGCGGCGGCGAGCGAGGCCAGGAAGAGGGCGATCAGCTGCATCTTGAAGAGCCGTCTTTGCTGCTGGAGGATGGATGATGATTCTCTTGCGTCTTCTAAGCATATCATGGGTTGGGAGAGCAAAGTATGGAAAGTTCGACCCCTTTTGAATCCCCAGTCCGGGCCCTTCATCGGGGGCTGGGAGAGCGACTTCGTGTTCCATCCTCGGACGTGATCATGACGGCAAGAAGCAATGGCGGAGCACCGAGTTCACTTTCCATAGAGAATACATTGCGACATGATTCCGGGCCGATTTTGATTGACATTGTCACAGCTTCATTGGAACTGAGCATTTGGGATGAGTTCCCTCCGCGTGGAGCCACCTATTCCTCCCACTATCTCGAAGCTATCCCACGTTCTCACAAGCCGACGTGGATTGCCGAAGCATACCAGCTTTTATATTCGGCCTGTCCCCGGCGTTTCTGGCGGAGAACGTCGCAGTTTGCCCTTGAAAGAGTAATATTTTACCAAAGTTCCGCAAGCTGGTGCCCCTGACACCCGGCTGTTCGGTTTCGGTGTCCGAGCGCATGATTCGAGGCCTGGAAACCAAGCTTTCGCTGCGGCCAAGGGAGATGTCGAGGTTGTACCTACACGGAACTGAACCGTGGTCCTTCCTGTTTCGCCAGTTGAGCCGCCAAACGATTGGCGCGGGAGACAGCCCGTCGGGAATGGGGTTGTATTCGGTCGCGTGCCTCCCGAGTGCGCGTGTGTCCACAACAGACAGACTCGACTGCATCTCCCGGATGCCTATTCTTATTGGGTGAACTAGAGACTAGTTGGTTGCCTTTTCTCATCTTTACATCATCTCGCGCCGAGCCTACTATTCCAATTGCCATTAAGTTACTCAGCGGGACAGCTGAAAAACTTTGCCATCTGACAACCATATTCTGAGAGACTGTGCACCAGCGTGGAAGTCAACTGGAACTATCTGGCAATCATCAACGTGAATCATTATCAGTGTTGGTGCCGTACCAGACAGAGACAGTGTGGTAGCTGGTAGAAGTGTGCACTTGTGCGGCATTCCGTACTTGTGTATTTGCGTGTTGACTTAACTACTTTGATGTGAACTGTTTTTATCAAGCTTTCGCTTTCTGTGATTTACGTAGTGGCTCATTCCTCGGGTAACTATATACCTGAGGTAATTCTGGGTGAAGAGCCAAGAAATGTTATAGAACATGTACTGTAGTTACAAACCATAGCCTGGCACTGGATGGCGGGTACTAATCCGTACTTTAGGTTAGAATGTCTGGGGAAATGGAATTTTCGACTTCAAGTTGTCTAACGTTACTTGCACTTACTCCGTACCCCTTGGGTCATCAGTGCACTTATCTTCACTGATCTCCACTTATCACGGCCAGTCGTAGCCTAGGGTCTCAATAACCAGCCATACCAAGATCCTGTACCTATGTACATACCTTAGCGAGCTTAGGTAACCAACACCGCCATTGTTCATTTGCAATTAAGGCCATCACATCACTTTCAATTGCATGCAACTGCCGTACATTTGGGCTCACATCGAACTCCCAGGTGGAACAACAGACGGTCTCAACCTTTTAAGCGCTACTGTGCTGTTGGGCAAACTGGACAGTTCCTTTGTTTGCATATGTGATGTTGTCGATGCATCTGAGCCGCTTGATGTAATGGACGATGGTCACGTTGGCTGTCAAATCCTGGTGTCGCTGGAAAGGGCCTCAGGTTGTGATTGGTCAAAATAAGTGGAGATAAGTGCACCGAAGACCAGGGGTAGGTGCAAATAGATTTGAAGTCGGACGATTCCTGTATCGCCATACAATGAATTTCCCAAATGCCTGGAACTTTCCATTGTCCATGTCCGATCTTGGGTTCCTCTCGGTGACGAAGTCGGGGTTAGTGACTTGGAGGGGCAGACAATCAAATCTTACACAAAGACGTGTCAACCAATCACAACAAATACCCCCGCCATGTGCACTCCCACATTTCTTGGAGCCGCCCATCCAACTGCACTTTTCCAACTTGTAAGCACGTGCCTGTGATACAACGCATCGTGTATTCGGGAAGGATCATTCTAATGATTTTATTTAGACTTTATAAGACAAAATGAGGTGAACTGTCAGTGGCATACGGGCAGACGCTGGGCTCAACTCATCACTCAACCCTTATTCCCTCCCTCTCCTCCAAGATGGTGTCAGTCAAGCAGCTGTTGGTGGCCGGCTTCGCCTCGAGCGCTGCCGCCACGTCAATCAAGCGCAGCTCTCCTGTCGCCTCGGTCTCGTGCAATGGGAAGACTTACACCTACGAAGGTCTTGCCGGCTTCGGGTCCCTCAAGTCGGACGCCCGCGACCAGTATGGCGACACCATCAGCATCGGGTCGTCGATGCGCATCAAGGATTGGAAGAAGGCGGGCAACCGGTATAAGGGCACTCTCTACGGCCTGCCAGATCGCGGATGGAACACCAATGGCACACAGGCCACCATTCCGCGCATCCACATTTTTGAGATCAGCTTCACGCCTTCCCCAGACGCAACTGTGGCCGCGCCGTCTGGGCCCAACGTGGAGTTCGAGTACAAGCGTACCATCCTCCTCTCGGGGCCCGACGGCAAGCCCATGACTGGGCTGGATCCTGATTTCACGGGCGGCTTGACGTACGACGGATTCCCCACCATGCCCGCCGCCACATACCCGGGAGATGGCTTCGGCGGTCCTGGAGCGGGCGACAAGCGCATTTCGCTCGATGCCGAGGGCTTGGTTATTGAGGACGATGGCTCGTTCTGGATCAGCGACGAGTACGGCCCGTTTGTTTACAAATTCAACAAGGACGGCAAGTTGGTGGCCGCTATCCAGCCTCCTGATGCCCTTCTCCCCATCCGGAACGGCGAGATCAGGTGAGGTGACACATCCTCGTACTTACATATCCCGCCGACTGACGGATCTCTACAGCTTCAACTCCAATACACCGCCCATCTACAACCAGAGCATCGTCCCGGACCCAGAGGATCCCCATCACGGACGCCAAAACAACCAGGGCTTCGAGGGCCTCACCATCAGTGCCGACGGCAAGACCCTCTGGGTCATGCTTCAGTCCGCAGCCAGGCAGGACGGTGGCGCCTCCTCGTCCAAGCGCCGCAACACGCGTCTGCTCAAGTACGTGCTCAACAAGCAGGAGGTGACATACGAGACCGAGTACGTCGTGCCGCTGCCCACCTATATCAACGGCGAGGGCAAGACTCGCGTCGCGGCGCAGTCTGAGATCCACTACATTTCGGACACCCAGCTGCTGGTCCTTGCGCGCGACTCGAGTGCCGGCCGCGGACAGGACGACCCGCTGAGTCGGTACCGCAGTGTAGACGTGGTCGACATCTCGGCCGCGACCAATATCAAGGGGCCCAAGTTTGACGACATCCAGAACGGAAACGTCACTGCTGGCGGTATCGAGAGCCCTTGTGAGTTTTATCTTTGATGCAAGTGTCCAAGCCATAACATGACTGATTTAATCTCTCAGCCGACAAACTTGTTGAGGGCATCACGCCTGCCGAATATTGCCCCTTCATTGACTACAACATCAATTCGGAGCTCAATAAGTTCAAGACCGAGGAGGGAGACGTCGTGCACAACGGCGCCCCGGTCGACATTGGCCTGCTCAACGAGAAGTGGGAGGCGCTGGCTCTCGTGCCCGTGAATCCAGGGAAGAAGTGCAGTGGCGCGGACGAGTACTACCTCATTACCCTGTCCGACAATGATTTCATTACCAACAACGGTATGTTTCATCAGACTTCATCCGCCAATGAGTTCGTATACCGGCAGCTCACTGACCATTCTTCAGGGTACTTCAACTTTGGCAAGGTTCAGTACGTCGATGACTCGGCCAGCGTTCCGTTCCTCAATAGCCAGGCCTTGGTCTTCAAGGTGACGCTGCCCAAGGGGAGCAAGCCGCTGGTTGGGTGAAGCACAAGAGTACCCAATGTGTCTAGTCATTAATACCTAATGCTACACGTATTTGAACTAGCCAGCTATCCAACAATGGCATTCATCCAAGCCCCTTTCAGGCAAACTTGGCCTTGTTCGCCTCGGCCCACTCAGCAAAGGGCGTCACCCTGCCACCATACTTGAGGACATTGCCCACAGCCCTCTCATACTGGTACTTCTCCCCATAATAGCTGAATCCTTCCGCCACGGCCTTGAAGTTCTTGACGATCTGCCTCGCCCCCGGCTCAGGCATCCCGAGATCCTGCATCACCGACCTGACGGCCTCCTCATCGTCGTCGAACCCGGCCACCTGGATATCCTTGCCAACAGCCTTCCCAATCACCCCCACTGCCTCCGCCTGCGAAAGCATCTGCGGGCCAGCCAACATGACGACATTCACCCCCGAACCCTGCTTCAGCGCCTGCTGCCCCTCGACCAACAACCGGCCGCACACCCGCCCAATATCCTCCGGCGCGATCATATCAAACTTGGCCTCGGGACACACCAGCCTCACCACCTCCCCGCCGGCCTTGTTGTTGGCAATATGCTTTGCGTACTGAAACAGATTACTCGCGAAATACCCCGGCCGCACGGCCACATATCCCTCGTCGCCAAACACCTCCTGCAGCGCGACCTCGACGCGCGCGTGCTGGAACTCGATGAAGTGCGCGGGCGACACCGCACGCGGATCCTCGCCCTCGCGCACGCCCGCACTGCTGAGGAACACGACGAACTCCACCCCGGCCGCCTTGAGCGCCTCGATGGCGCCGCGCATGCCGTCGTGGCTGCCGAAGACGAGGTAGATGAAGGCTACCTTGGCGCCCGAGGCGGCGGCGGCGGTTCGCACGCTGGCCGGGTCGGTCAGATCCGCTTGGATGCGGGAGAAGGAGGCCGAGTGCGTTTGTTCGGCTTCCGTCAGGGCGGCGTTGGGGAGCGGCTTGGAGGGGTTGCGCATCGCGAGGGTGATGTGGGCTGCGCCGTGGGCGTGGGCGGTTAGAGCCGCTGAGGAGGCGACGGTGCCCGTGGGGCCGAAGACGATTACGCTGGGGGCTGACATGGTGACTGGATTCGGTGGTGGTTTCGCTGAATGGTTGTTGAGTGTTTCGGATATTGGCAGGTCAAAAGGGACTGTTTCTTAAGGTACCGTATTCGCGCCGTGAGCTGCTTGAGATGACTTGATTTTGTTGGACATGATATCCCGTCTTCCTTCTCTCCTTGTCGGACGCGAGGAAGGGCATATATACAGGAGCTGTTTCCGGCATGAGAGCGTGAAGCATCACGTCTTTCGGACTCTTGGCACTCCGAAGCTGGGCTGTCGCGTCAGCCGCCTCGGCGAGTTTCCGTTCAATTTCGTGGAAGCCTGGTAGGCATTCGCATTCGCTAAATTGGACTATATTGGCGGTAGGTCGGAAACACGGAAGGTTCCAACCTCCGAAGGTCAGTTGCCACTGTCAGCATAGCTCGCGCTGATGATAAATCTATCGGCACGCGGAGCACCGATGTGGAGGTTCTGGTCGGGGGTTTCAAATAAGCCACTCCAACCAACCGCCATTCAAAGCTAGCTGCACCTTGGCTCGCAGACAAAGCCCGTCCTTGTTCGATGACGGAATTACACGGAACACCACACTTGCAACAACAATATGTGAACCCTTAGGTGACCTGTGAGTGTTGACAGCGACCATCACGGCATCATCCGAGTTGGGTAAATAAGGAGCCAGGCTGAGAACGATACGAATGCTTAGAGCTTGCTCGTTTTGCTGAGGACCCCAGGGATGGCGTCAGTACCATGACATTCCGTGATTGCACGGCACTCTAACCTATGGTCTAGGTACGGATCCGTACTGTAGATACGAACAAACAGCCTTTAGCAACCACAAGCCGAAACACGTCACATAACCCACTCCCATGAACCATTGCTGGGCAAATCAACATAAAATGAGAAGGTGTATGAATGAATCTGTGTGGGCGAAGGCATCGCCAATCCATGGTCAATCGGACCTTCCATGACCCATACAGCTCCGTATCCGACCGAACACAACGCAAGCTCGTCTTTGTCGAGGATACTAGGCGTGGCATCGAGGGTATTCTCGCTCGCGAGAAACACTGACCTGGGAAACAGCTGCCAAGGTCCAGAATGTGAAACGAAACTGCACTTCGTCCTCCACACCGTGACAGGTTCGAAATCCATTCTCGCTGTTTCTGCTGCTGCTGCTAACATTGAACGACGTGGTTCCTTGATCAGTTCTCCCCAGCGGGACTTTCGGTAAAATCATGGACCTGGTTGCCCAAGGACATCCTTTGACATCATTCCCATTCCAGGCCCTGTCCCAAAGAGATTCGGACATCGTCAAGGTGCTCCCCAATGTAAGCACCTTTTCTGTGTATAGAAACTACGGCGATACAACTGACATGCTTTGCTACCAGACTTTCTTGTCGATGTCCACCCAAGACTCCGAGATACAGCACGTCTTCACGTTGCGGCCCTTATCCATCCAGACGCCAGGGTGAGCGCTCACTGCTCAGGGACATAGGGCGATCGAGCTGAACTAGCTTCCAAGTTGGACAAGAATGTGAAGGTGGATACGGAGGATCTTGAGTGAGACTGTTTAGATCAGCAGGCGACAGCAGCCCTGCGCGTAGGCGGCGCAGCATGTGCGAGTGCCAAGGGCTTACTGATCCTGAGCCAGGGATGCAATCCTTCAGGCTGCTGCGACACTAGTATTATTGGTCGAGTACGGAGTAGGTAAAAATAATGTGCCGCAGCGGCCCAGCACGTATCCCGTACTTTAGGCATCTCTGCTGAATTCGCTCTCAGTCTTCATTCTCATTGTCCATCGTGACAAGTCGAAACCCACGCGATTAAGGTCAACGGGTCTGAGTCCTCTAATCAACATCGACCGAAAAATCGACGGCCTGACAACGAATTATAGAATACCAACATGGCAATAAACGGCACCTCGGCTGTCCCGACACTCACAGCCCATGGCCTCGAGAGGATGACGACAATGCCCGTTGCAGTCGCAATAGCTGTCATCCTCGCCGCTCTGGCTTTCGGCGCTCTCAGCCCGCGTCTTGACCCCCGGGAGCCTCCCCTCGTCAAGCCGGGAATCCCCTTAGTCGGGCATATCATTGGCCTTATGCGCCATCAAGCGCAGTATCACATCAACCTGCAGCGCTCAACCCGCAAACCCATCGCCACGCTGCCCATGCTCACCGGCAAGATGTATGCTGTCTGGGACCCGTACCTCACCGCCGCCGGCCTCCGCAACAAGTCTCTCTCCAGCACGCCACACATTCTCACCGCAACGCCCGTCCTGTCCCAGACCAGCCAGACCACCACCGCCCTCCTGCACGGCCCCCTGGGCGAGCCGCTCGTCGACAAAATGATGCTCAAGGCAATCCCCGCCAGCCTCAAAGGCCCGCCCATCCACCGGCTCAACACCACCGCGCTGACCTCCCTCGCCGCCCAACTCACCACCCTCGCTCCCTCCCCAACCACGCCCGCCACCGTCCCCAACGCCTGGCTCTGGCTCCGCCGCCTCCTCACCACAGCAACCACCGCCGCCCTCTACGGCCCGCACGACCCCTTCGCTGCCAACGACCCGGCCGTCGAGACAGCCCTCTGGGACTTCGAGAGGAACCTCCTCAAACTCACTCTCAACCTCCCGTCGGTACTAGTCCAGACGGGACACAAGGCGCGGGAGACGCTGTTCGCCGCGCTGACGCCGTACTACACGTCGCGCCACGACACGCACCCGGCCGCGTCCGACTTTGTGCGCAACCGCGCGGCGGTGATGCGGGAGGTTGGTGTGCCGGACGAGGATCTGGCGAGGATTGAGATCATGTTGCCGTTTGCGGCGCTGGCGAATACGGTGCCGATGCTGTTTTGGTTGGTCTGTCATGTCTTTTCGAGGAGGGAGCTGGTGGAGAGGTTGAGGAGGGAGGTCCAAGCGGGCATGGTTGTTAAGCCGCTACATTCTGAGGGTGGTAATCAAACTACCAGTGAGGTGGGAGGTGAGGAGGGTGGTGCGGAGGTGGTGGTGAACGTCGCGGCGGCGGTGGTGGAGGAAAAGTGTCCTCTGTTGATGAGCTGCTACCGCGAGACGCTGAGGAGGACAGTGCATCAGGTTAGTACGAGGACTGCGGTGCAGGATACCGTGTTGATGGATCGGGATGGGAGGGAGTATCTGCTCAAGAAGGGGAGTGTGGTGCAGATGGTCATTGGGGCTGGCCATGGAATGGAGGAGTACTGGGGGGAAGGTGTGGATGAATTTGACCCAGAGCGCTTTCTCAGCCGCAAGGGAGACGGTGAGGACGGGCCGGGCAGTTCCAAGGCTATGAAGACTGCTTTTCAGCCGTTTGGCGGCGGGATGCATCTCTGTCCTGGACGGGCCTTTGCATTCGCCGAGATGATGGCGGTCATGGCGACGCTGCTGCTCGGATACGACATTGAGCCGCTGGAAGGTTCCATGTGGGAGCTGCCAGCTTTTGCGACGAGGTCCGTCATCGACGCGGTGACGAAGCCGGCCAACCACGGCGAGGGGTTTGGCCTACGGATCAGGAGGCGGCTGGGCTGGGAGGGCGTGCGGTGGAAGTACGAGCTGTAATGGAACTCGGCATCTTTGCCGCGGCTAGGGGTAAATCGATCTGTGTAAGGCCATGTAGCTTGCCATGTAGCTCCATGTAACTGCTACCTATACAGGTATGTGAGGTGCGGACTTTGGAGGCTTCGACTCTGCATCATGATGTAGTGCTGGGACTAAAGAAGCGCACCATAAACGTCCAGTCTTCTTGAATGTGTCAAACTTAAGAGTGCCCAGGTACAGTACAACACCTACTGTAGCTCTAGGATCCCTACAATACGACCTGCCACGGAGACTCCATCTCCATGGCCCACTTCTCGCTCGTGTGATGCATCCCGGATTGGCTGCATCGGATTAGTGACTTGGCTCTGGAGAAGGATCCGAGGCATGAACAAGAGGCCCTCATTGCTTGCTTGGGCACAGGATGATTGCCCGTCTTCGCGCGGCATATCTTGTCTTCTTGACACTTCTTAGCTCTTCTTGCATCAGATGTGGGTACGGTAGGTACATGTCACGGTAGACGACCGTTGTAATAGACTGGGAGACAACACTGGACTGTTGCACCGCAACTTCTTGAATGGTCTAGTTGTCTGCATACTGCAACCTCCTCACCTGCAGCACATGATCCTTCCAATCCTTCATCATTTCATCCAAATATGACTTCGAGAGAACAACCAGTCATATGCTTCCGGCCGTTACATTGGGACATGAATGACGATCTCTAGTGCACCGGTATATGTTCCCTGGGTGATGCGGTAGCTTGGCTTCCGGCCTTGTTACGCATCGAGTAACGATAGTCGGTAGCTGAGCCTTCTTCACTCTCCGCACTCCAATTTCATGCCAGAGGGGGGTAATGTTGCCCTGATCAAAGGTGCTCAGACTGAACTCACGGGGGCTATCGAACTAACATATAAAGCACCAGTCTGCCCCCTTAATCGTGGAATGGTCTCTCACAACCGCAATTCGGTCACCCTTGAGACACCAATCCGACTCTCCCCAAGAGATCGTTGCCATTCTAGTCACTTACCCACCTCTACTTCTCCGTGAGTAAGCCACATCCAAGCATCGGTATCTCCGAGTATTGACAAAGAGCACCTCCCAGGTCACAATGAAGTACCCTACTCTTCTCGCGGCTGCTGCTGTGCTCTTCACCAGCGCTCTCGCTCTGCCGAACCCAAACCCAAACCCAGAGGCTGGCCCCGATGCCAACCCGCAGATCTGCTATTGCAACGTTGGGTGCTACGACACTTGTGGGCAGCCGTTCTGCTGCTAGGCTACGCAACCAGCTGGATTCTAGGATAATTGATTTTGGACAAAGCACAGGAATACCCTCCTCGACACGCTACTCAGCTTGAGAGCGCTTGGGCTTGGCCGCTTGGGTTATCTTAGGTACCTTAGGTACGCTTCGTACACGATCATAGCTGGAAGCAATCGACGCTGTTTCCCGCTCGTTAATGTAGACCATTTGGAAACACTGAATGTTCCTTTGAGAAGTTGTTGCCGGCCATGGCTCGCCCGTAAAACATAAAAGACAACGTTGCACAGTAAACAAATGGGAGACGTGCCAGACATTGAAGTACCTTAGTGTGAGGGGCAAGTCATTCTGAGATGGAAATCTGAGAAAGTAGCACAACAATCGAGCCCAGACCCCATTTGTACAATTCCCGAAGTCGGCGACTATCGGTCCAATCTCTCGAAGACGGGCATGTAGTCCAGGGGGCAGTTAACCTCCAAAAAATTCCCGCCGTCAAACTCGCTTCCTCCCTCGAGGGCCCTCCACTTGACACCTTGAGGGAGATACACCTTGAGCTTGGTCACTCCCGGACGCAGCACTGGACAGCACAGGTATGTGTGACCAAACATGTACTGCTCGCCTGCCTCCCAGCACTCCGCATCCTCGGGAAACTCATAAAACAGCGGTCTCATAACCGGCGTCCCTTTCTCATGGGCCTCCTGCATCAAGCCGCGTACGTACGACCTCATCTCCTCCCGAATCCCCATGTATTTCTTGCAGATGCCGTAGACCTCGGGCCCGTACGACCACACCTCGTTGGGCGCCCCGCTCCGGCACGCCGCGCCGCCCGTCGTCCCGTGCTGCGGTTGGAGGGGCTCGCGGCATCCGTGCAGCCTGAAGACGGGACAGAAGGCGCCCCATTGGAACCAGCGCACAAACAGCTCGCGGAATGCCTCGTCGTTGGGATCGCCGCCGTGGAACCCGCCAATGTCGGTCGTCCGCCACGGGAGACCGGCGATGCCCATGTGCAGGCCCGCCGCGAGCTGGTTGCGGAAGCTTGACCATGATGAGGCAATGTCGCCGCTCCACACCAGAGCGCCATACTTCTGGCTTCCGGCCCAGGCGCACCGCACCAGGTTGACGATTCTCTCATGGCCCTCGCTCTTGAGGCCCTCGTAGAAGGCCCGAGAGTATTCGAGGGGGTAGATGTTGCCGATGGCGAGGTTCGAGCCCCGGTGGTATCGATAGTTGGAGAAGTCGTAGGCAGAATATTCCGGTTCAGCCTCGTCGAGCCAGAAGACCTTGATGCCCTTGGCGTAATAGTTCTGGCGCGCCTTTTCCCAGACGTATTTGCGCGCCTCAGGGTTGGTGGAATCAAAGTGAACCGTCTCCCCCTGAAAGTCCATTGCAAGGCGCGCACCGCGGTCAACCCGGATCAGGTAGCCACGCTCGACCATCTCCTCGTAGTTCTCGCACCGCTTGTCGACGGTGGGCCAGATGGACACCATCAGCTCGATGCCCATCTCCTTGAGCTCCTGGACCATAGCGTCTGGATCGGGCCAGTACGTCTCGTCAAACTTCCAATCCCCCTGCAACGGCCAATGGAAGAAGTCGATCACAATGAGATCCAGCGGCAAGCCGCGCCGCTTATACTCGCGGGCCACCCCGAGCAGCTCCTCCTGCGTCTGATACCGCAGCTTGCACTGCCAGAATCCCAGCCCATAGTCGGGCATCATGGGCACCTTGCCCGTGGCATCCGCGTAACGCTCGACAATCTCGGCCGGCGCATCCCCGGCCACGACCCAATAATCCAACACCCCGGTCGAGTACGCCTCAAAGCTCATGACGTTCTTCCCCAGCACCGCCCTGCCCACGGCAGGGTTGTTCCACAGCAGGCCGTAGCCCCGCGACGACAGCAAGAAGGGCACGCTCGCCTGCGAGTTGCGCTGCGCCAGTTCGAGGTCGGCGCCCTTGAGGTCGAACAAGGGTTGCTGGTACTGGCCCATGCCGAACAGCTTCTCGTCCGGGTCGACGCTCTCAAACCGCATCGTCAGGTGGTAGTCGGATCCCCCCGGGACGGGCCTAAACTCGCGCGCCTCAACCTCGAGCGCGCTGCATTTGGGGTCGCGCACGTCGCGCCGGTTGCGCGCGTACTCTTCCAGGAGGAGGGCGCCGGTGACGGCGTTGTGAATCGTCAGCTTTCCGCGCGCCGAGACGACGGCTTTGATCTTGCCGTTGGTGAGGAAAGCCGAGTCGCGCGAGACGGTGATCTGGGGTTGCGTTGTAGGGGCCGCGGGGGTGATGAGGGCCCAGTCCTCCGAGGGCATCGTGCGGCTTTTGGTGGCGCGGATGCGCAACGCATTGTCGCCCCAGGGCTCGATCCAGAGCTTCTCTGCGTCATAGGTGTAGACGAGCTTGGTGTCTTGCTGAGAAAGCATTGTGTCACGGGCTGAGCATATAACCGTCAGCGACAACCCAGACAAACGGAAGCGAAGGGTTGGTTGCAAGATGGTTATCTTGATTTAAGGTGGGCGGTGGGTTGGCTGGAATCGATGGATGAATAGGCTGCATAGCCAGAGCCCGGAGTTTCACAGCGGAGAGTTATCAACGTCGGTGTCACCCGTCCTACCGACAAGGTGCTCCTCATCACTTGGCGCCTCCCCCACCATGCCACGTTCCGTCTTGCACCCGGGCTTGTGGAGCAAAGAGCGGATCGGCGACGGACCAGTCGGAGCATCCGCCAGACCCCGCTCCGTGTGGATTGTTGGGCGGGGGAACCACGTGGTCCAGCGCATCTCGGTCGATTCTCGACCGCTGCCGAGCTGGGATGGAGTTGAAGAGTAACGGGGTGGAGGGGATGCTCAGGTGGGGGGAAAGGAAAACAGTAGAGGGAAGCATTCAAGTGGACAAGCCACCGGAAAGTTTAGTCGCTGCCGTCGAGGGTCCTTTCGGCAGCCCGTAGGTGTGGCCTGCACCAGGTCGAGAATTTGTTTCATCTCGGGGTCGTTCACTACCGGTGGCGGCCTGCGGTATTTGCGGATCCTCCATACGAGGACATTGATTCTCCACCAGATCCATCAGAATCGTCTTAGAAACGTTGGTGGCTTGGTTTCGTGGCCAACAAATTGACCACCTGTCTTCCTAAGTTGTTGGTTGTCCTCACCGTTGACAGAGCTCTCTCTTGTGAACGAGGTGACACTCACGGTTTGCAGAGGTCTGTTAGTGAAGCTCAACCTGCTAATGATAAGGTACCCATGCGCGAAGCTAGAAGTGGACATACCCAATCTGTTGTGGTAAGACAGCAAACCTTTAACCACAGACTGCCCAGTTTGTCCATTGCGCCGTTCACCCTAACCGTGATTTGAGGCGCCATTTTCAGATTAATTCCAACTGTTTCGTTCCAGAAGATTGTCTAGGTAGGAAGGTTCATGTGGTCCTAAGAGACGGTCACCACCCAGGTTGTTGTGGCAAGAATTTGGTCCACACGGTAGGTAACTGAAAACATCGGACCCTTGATTCATGGTTCATAATGCCGCTTCACGGCTCATAATGAATACTGACTCATGATTTATATTTGGTCATAACTCTCATGATTCGTGTGGAGAGCCCCTGGCTCAGTTGGCTGAGGGTGGGATGGTTGGGGGGTAAAGAATGGAACTTGAGGTGAAATTCCAGTCTGGTCACAAAGAGTCAGAGACTACCCGGTAAGTAAGGTATATTAAATCACAAAGTCAGTATTTCCAACTCCCGGATGCTCACAGCCCGCTTCAATCTCAGTTAGCTACAAAGGCACATCCAGCTACTCATACGAGTTGACAGCGTCTCTTGTTTTTTTTTTCCTCCTAGCCCCGCTCACCCCGCGGCAAGAGTAGATGCCCACGCCCACAAAGAAGCAGAGGAGTGTGAGCAGAAACAACACAGCTAGAACGCATATGGTACTGTAGATGCTACATCGGGTCTCCCTTGGCTCGCATGCTGCCTCGTTCAAAGCTCGGAAGAAGCTGAAGAAGTCCAGGTTGTTGGACTGCTTGCCAGCTGTGTAGAGAGTAGTTCCGTTGGCCGTCATGCTGACTGATAAAGGGTGGAGCGAGCTAAGGTAGGAGGATGCTGGTGCAAAGGAGTGATGACACTACTGTTCTGACGGCTGAAGCCGGCCGTTTTATACAGCGCGCTGCTGGGAAGAACAGCCCGCTGAGCTTGTCGAACAACATCGCAGTACGCACCAGACACTGGCATTGTGTTTCTGGACAGAGCCCTAATAAAATGACAGCTTTGTACCTTAGGCTCAGGCATAACCAGTAGGATTATGAACTGAAATAAGAGGGACTAGCCCTGTCTTACAACTGCGTAGGTATGTAGTATTGTTGTTTTGTGTCGTCCACTGTCGTCTCGGGTGGTTCACCGACACAATAATCTAGGGAGACATGATCGCTCTTGAACACAGCAGAGACATTAAGAGACCACAGACCAGTACTGTTCATAGATCAATATCCTTGAAGTATTTCCATCAGTCCTAACGTTACACCTATTGATGTCTGACTGTCCCATAATCTTCCACCTGGATCCAGCTGTCTCGCTGCCCTGACCAATCTGCAATCTCTCATAAGCAGCTATTTTAGTCATCCTTCAGCCGATATCTGTGTGTCAGGACCCAGCCTAGCCAACGGCCCATAGTCTGACCATATGGTCCAGGTTCCAGTCGTCAATCTGGCGATGATCTACAGGGCCTCGAGGCTAATGTTTTGAACCAATGACTCAAATCTCGGTTCCGGGTCGTTCATTGCGCTAGTTACAGACAATTATATGTCAGTGCTGCATTTCGGCTGCCTTGAAGCATCCTCTCAAGATGCGCTGATTACAGTCCAGCTCATATTTGTTCGCAAGGTTCAAGTAACGCAGCGAGCGCATGGTGGGTTTGTGGAAGATGGAAGAAAGCAGGCGGAGAAGAGTGAGGTCCTACAATTCCTCGGATCAGATAGTTATAGGGTGAGAAAAGCAAGTCAAAACAAGAGGAGAAGACCACTCAAAGACAACATGAAAAGGAAAGAGAAAAGAGGTGAAGCGGTTGGATATCAAAAACAGAGAGAGGCAAGCAGGAGGGAAAGCAGCTTCCTATCTATGCTTGAGACTTGACCCGCTAGCACACGTGGGCTCTTTCGTGCTCCGTTCCTATCGTGGTAAAGTTCGTCCTGCCGGATGCTAGGTTGACCACCAGTCTGTTCACATCCAGCATTTCTCCATGGAGACCAGACATCAGAGGGATGGGAGAGCGAGAGAAGCCGCGAAAGCCCAAGAACTGGAAGGATTGCTTGGCGTGCCATCACTACCATGCCTTGATGCCTTCCCTCCGGCCGATGTTGTACTCGAACGAATGAGTTGGGGCCCAGCAAGCATTGGCATCACCAGCACGAGAGAGACCTGCCAACTACAGCGTAATCGCGTTGGGGGGATCACCTGATAGAAACTAACAGGGCAACAAGAACACCTTACACATTCAGTATACTCTATGCTGAGCTGTCAGGGGCACGCGGAAGAGTCCCGAACAGACCGCGCAATGTCGGAGGGCCAAACAATCAACGCCTGTGCCGTACAAAGAACACTCATAGCGTTGCCATACGGAGTATGGCCTGCGTTCCAGACCCAACAACCGATACTACCGCCGGCCCTGCCTGTTCCTGGTCCATGACCCACGCCATACGATATAGCTTGGGGTCCAATACCAAAGGAAGATGAGAAGAACGACCTCCATTCCGTACGTATTTGCTTGAACTAAGATACGCTCTGCTCCGGGTGCCAATAAAGGCAATATTATTCTGTATTCCGAGTCCCTCACGTTGACCCAACTTACCATCGCTCACAACGTATCTGTGGGGCCAGAAGAAGATAATCCAGTTTTGTGCCCCACGTATTCGGCTTCGTCTTATTCCGAATCGAAAAGATGCTGTGAACACCTCCAGCTACCTTGGGTATGGTGCCGAAGCTCCAGGGACCGCTGATGCACCATCCCCGACGAGGGCCGTTTGTCCGGCTTCACGCAAACATGTCACGCAGCAGCCTCACAAGATCCTATCTCTCAGCACAGGAGAGGTGGTACTCCCTCACGAGGACTGGCTTGAGGGACTGCGTTGGCTGAAAAGAATTGAACCGCCCTTCGAATTCTCCGTCCGGCATCGTCCCCGGCGAGCTGAACCTGTCCCAGCGGTATCTGCCTCTCCAGTGGCCGGGGACGGGACCCGTGTACCGCACAATCCACCAGATGAGCAACTCGTACGAGGGCGCTGTAGGGAAGGGGTAAATCCCCGTGTGGACCTTGAAGAGGAGGCATGCGAGCTGCCAGATGTCGCCCTTGCGCGAAGCTGGGTAGCCGAAGAGGAGCTCCGGAGGGAAGAGGTCGAATGGACAGTGCAGGGTCACTATCAGCGACGAGGTGGGCTCGACGAAGGCTTTGCCGAAGCCGACAAGAGCGGCATCTCCGAGGAGGCGAAGGTTGAGGTTACAGAAAGTCGCCAGTTGCACCGTCCTTGGAATGTGCTTTGAGCGCTGTCCTCCGCCGGCTAACTTGATGTTCTCGCTCGCAACTGGGCCAAGGTAGTTGCGGATGACGAGTTCATTGGCGGAGTCACAGTAAGGAATCTTGAGCAGTCCATGGGAGGGGGATAAGTCTGAGATGGGTGTCAGGATCGATGTGTGGACACGAGTTTAGAATGGAAATTTCACCAGTATGGCAAATATCTGCACATCTCGGTGACGGATGTTTGCTGGCAGAGGTCTTTGTGCATTGACCTGGTTCATGTTGTTGCGCAGTAATGGATGGCGAGGATTGTATTGGGTTACATCTTGTGATATTCCAGCACATGGCCCTTTGAAATAAAGTCAGATATACATAACCATGTGAGCAGTCACTTGGTGATGGAAGGGTAAAGGTACCAACCAACACCACCGCTGAAACCGCTGAACAAGGAACTGGCTGACTTACAAACTGACCCGACGAACCTCAGCCTTTCCATGTCCGATCCTCTTAGGCCCCCTTCACCCCCTTCCCCTGCTTCTCATAGCCATAATGCCACCCCTCCCCATTCAAGTCTTTCCTAACTTTATACTCCCTCTCCAACACCTTCACGGCCCCAAAGTCCACCTCCACAACCCCCATAGTCTCCTCATTAAGCCCCAGACCAGGCCCGCCAACGCACCCATACACCGGCGCTGTAACCTGGCTCAACCCGCCCGCGTTACAGTACACCACCACACACTCATTCTCAAACGCCCTCGTAACCAGCACGCTGTTGGTAAACAGCTGCTCACAATCAGGATTCATCCGCAACCGATCCTCGTCCAGCTCGCTTCGGTCACACAACCAAAAGCTCGGCACGACCACCAGCTCCGCCCCGTCCAGCACCAGCTCGCGAAAGGCCTCGGGAAAAGCTAGGTCCCAACAGATGAGCATGCCCGCGCGGATCGGGCGGCGGCCTCCGTCATCTTCTTCGTCGGCCCAAGTCAGCGGGGTGTCAAAGGCGGTGTGCCGCGGCTGCGACAGGCCCGCGGTCAGATGCGGGCGCTCTGAGTGCCACAGATTCCTCTTTTGGTAGGAACCGATGAGGGCGCCGGATGTGGCGGCGATCCAGTAGGCCATGTTGCGGATTTCTTTGTTTCCGTCGTCGTTGTCGCTGTCATTGTCGTGAACCTCGCAGATGGTGCCGGGCACGATGTTGATGTGCAGTTCGCGGGCGAGGGCTTGGTAGCGGGGGAGGTAGGTCGCCGACTCGGCGCAGGCGGCGACGAAGTCCGGGTGGTCGGGGCACCAGGACGTTAGGTGATACTCCGGGAGCACGGCTAGGTGGGCGCCTTGGGCGGTGGCCTGGCGGATGAAGGACTCGGCTCGGGTGTAGTTGTCTTCGACGGCAACTTCCTCTGTGGGTGTAAGTCGTAGGTACTTGACAGGAAAACGAATGTGACAGGGGTGATAGAAGCGAATGGATCTACTGTACTTTTGGTTGAAGTTGAATAACGGCAATCTTGTAGAAGGGCGCCATAAGACGATGACTGTTGGTCTTCGCCCTGTCTCTGCTGTGATAGGTATCGAAATCAGTGGGAAATCTTAAATGTGTGGAACCTCGTGATGTGACCGTTATGTGAACAATGAAAGTTGGGAAGGAGGGGGGATGGTGGGAACTTGGTACTCAGGTCATCACAAAGGCGACAACTCGAGCTGACCTGCTCTCTTGAGTGCCTTACCCCACTCTCAGTGGACCTCGCAGCAAGACGTCCTGTGTGGGAGGCGTCATGAGGATGCTCTTGGAAAACACCTCACATTGAACCCGGGGCTAATGCAGATCTTGTCATTTTGTCATTGGCCTTATTCGTGCCGCTGTAAACTTGCTGGTGGTATCCAGCATCACCGAGTCGTGGTTCGCAAGACACGGTTCTGACCATTCTATGCTCAAGTGTAACCGCCGTTCCTTCCCATTGCATGCAAGACGATCGTACCTCCATACCCCGTTCCGCCAAACGCCGTCTCCCTCGTAAACGCCGTCCTCTAAAGAATGGTGCCGAAGCTGGAGAACAGAGTGTCAGTAGCAAGTCACTCACGCACTATGCGGCCCATCTTACTCACCCAAAGGTCCTCTTGATGCTCCGGACATAGTACTCAAGCCAGTTATTCTTGGTCACCTCCTCCTGGCCGATAGGCACACCCTTCCACTCGACGCGCATGACGGTGACCGAGTCGACGTCGTTCTGGTCAAACTCGATCTGCAGCGTCGAGTAGTGGCCGGCAGGCCACTGGTCCAGACGCCAGCTCTGGACGATCTTGGTCGGCTCCTCCAGCTCCAGGTACTCGCCCGAGACGTTGCCGCCAAACAGTTCAAACTTGCCGCCCTTTTTGGCGCCTTCAAACACCCTGGGCGGCGCCCGAGTGAATGCGGCTAACCGCTGGGGATCGGTAAAAGTCTTGTAAAGCTCTTCCGCCGTCGTGCGAAACTCCTCCGTGTCGTTCACCGTGGTCGTGTTGACGATACTGCCGCGGTTGATCTGAGTGCTCGGCTTCTCATCGGCCGGTTTGGCCGCCGCAGCGCCAGTCGGGGGATGGTATTTCGGGGTGGAGAAGCCGCTCGACGGATTCGACCCAGGCGCGTGCTGGATGTCCTTGGCATGTTCGGCAATCAGGGCGGGGGCCAGCTTAAGGAACTCGCTTCGCAGCTGGGGCACGATCTTTGAGCGCACCAGATCCTTGACCGGCTGCTTTTCCTTCGAGTCGGAGTAGATGTCAATGTCGAACACAAACTCGTCCTCTGAGAGCTCGTGCGAGACCTCCGGGACTCGGATGGTGCCCGAAACGTCGGCGTCCTCAGCCGTGGAGCCTGGAGAGCGGGAGTTTAGCTTAAGGTCACAGCATTGCTGGATTACGATGGATGGGGGCTCGTGGAGTACGGAGACAAGTGATTGTATTCTATGGCAATACGTACCTGTATACTCCAGAGTTAACTTGACATCAAAAATGGTAATGACCTTGCCCTTGCGCTGTGCCACGTCGACGTCTCCATCCATGCTGACGACCTTGGTGATTTTAGCCGTCACATCCCCCTCCCTCGCCTCAATCTTGGTGAGGTTGTCATCAAACCACTGCCGCGCCCACGGCGAGGCGTCCTTATTCACCCAGTGCCAGTTGTTGGGATTGTGCAGAACCATCTTGGCGCGTGTTCCGGAAGGACGAGAAATTCAAGTATGGGGAGCTAAAGCCTGGAAGTCAATCTGCTTTAGTCAGCAATTGATCTGCTGAAGCTGAGTTTGGAACAGAAACAATGAAGGAGTTGCTGCTCGGTCAGAATTGGCCTGGTGGGCCGCAGCATCTGTCATCAATGGAAGGGAGTACAAGTCGCCCCTATGACTGGTGCCAGCTGAATGATCATCAGGGAGCAACTATGGTGATCGGTGTACGATACGCGACGCAATACTTGACATACCTGTTGAGGGGATGCCGGAGCACAGTCGGTCAATCTCTTTCGCTGCGAGGTCAATTGGCTTGACAAGCTGCTGAGGAGTCGAAGGGAGGGCGACTCGCCCTCGGATTAAGAAATCGGGCAAATGTCAGAGAGGAGCTTTGGAAAGCTCTAGAAAACTCGGCAGGCCCCGCAATTTGGAAGGCGGGGAGACGGGGCACTATTTTCCACCGCCTTCTGGAAAGACCAGCACCGGTTTCATCAGCCTGCCACTTCAGCTCTCTCCTCGACCACTTCAAAGTCTCGCATTTCCTGATCACTTCAAAGTTCGCATTTCCTCGAAGATTTTCAGCTCCACGAATATCCACAATGCTTATGTTTTCTTTATTTCAGAGACCACCTGTATACGCTGTCAAGATTGGCGGGATGCATGTCTCTTTACGGAGTAGTCCAAGCGTTCCAAACTTCCGCTTTTGATAACCCTCAGCCTCTGGGGCTGCCCGCAGTCACCGCAATATCACCACCATCTCAAGCATTCAGTTGTAGGAGCCTGACCGCACAAGTTCTTGCCGGTACAGATACCACCATGATCGAAGCCGGGGTGGAGCCGGCCGACTGCCGTTGCAGGAACACACCCCGGATCCAATTCTTCCCGGACCGGCATTTGGAGTCGCCGAACCTAGACCCTAAAAAAAAATAGCCCCCCGGTCCCAGCCGTCTGGAAAAACGCTCGCCAAGATTAAACGGTCGGCAGCCGGGAGCTCGACATCAGGCTGGCACCGGCGGTTGGCGCATGATGCTCAGCTTATTCGCGTGCCCAAAACCCATTGCTCAGGGTCGCTCCCGGATATCTCGTCTTCCGCTGCTGCAAGGCGGCCAAGAAATAACTCAGCGTATAGGTAGGCACTCAAGCCTGGCATTCAAGTTGTCAACAGAAGCTGCTAGCAATGCGCTTCCAAGACTGGAGCTTAATCTTCCTGTCAGTTATTCTTGGCGACTAGAATCAGTTCAAATGTCCCAGGATATCCGTAACTAGCAGTTCAAGCTCGTTGTTAACCAACCGTACACTGTAAGCCCGGGCGACGATGGGCCTGCTGCCGAGATCCAGATATAACGAGTCAGGCTTCAGCAGGCTCTGAAACTCCCTCAGAGGCCTTCTCGGATTTGGACATGTATGTACAGATACAGGAGGGTTGACACAGCCAGATGCTGGAATCAGTTGAACCCGACGCAAAGCTTACACGTCCATGTGCCTTCTGCTCATCTCTCGTTGAAGAGCTTGCAGACTAACACTGTGCCTTGGGCACTACTCTACTAGACGACAATATCACGATCTTCCGATCTGAGCGTAGCGGAGCACTGAGGAGCCTGTGCATTTTCAAGACGGCCGAATCATACGCCAAGGACGACCACAGAGCTAAGCGCCGACAGCGTGCATCACGCAGCATCTGGCGAATCAAGACCCAACGGACGAATTCTGAGAACCAAAAATAGATTGTTCGCACGGGCCTCAGCAAGCCAACCTCACCAAACCAATGATTCCTAAGCACTCTCAGTCCAGGGTTCATGGGCTAGGCTCGCCGCCATCACTTTGTTGGCGTCGCTGCTGGGATCGCCGAGCCCTATGGTGTGCCTGCATGTTAACTTTTTTCTTGCTGCGCTGGAACGGAGTAATTTTCGAAGACGACGGACAGAGTTGGTGATTCGTGCCCGGTTAGTTGCAGATCAGTGTGGCACCAGTACGCCCGTGTCTTGCCGCAGACGCATCCGGCCTCGAGTCAGTCTCTCTCATGGGTACAGGTTTCTGTGGAAAGATCCATTGGTGATCAATAGGAGCCATTTGATGTTGCGCGTCCTGACCGGATGTAAACAGGCTTCGCTGCACGGAGAGAGTGTCGGCAGACGAGAGCCACGTTACTCAATCGGCTTGACGTCCACAGGTAGCTACGCCGTCAACCTCGTCAGGTCCGTTTGCAGGGTCAGTCTCGGCGCAGAAACCCTCCTGGACGAGGCCCATATCTGAAGGCACACCAGGTCGCCAAGGCCGCCGGACCCCAGCCAACCACCACAGAGCGGGAAGGTGGCTCCCGCTTTTCAATGCAGGCCCGACAGTTTAATCTATCCACCGACGGCACTCCCGCACCAGGGTGCTGATAGGTTGCAGCAACACGGTCGCCTATGCTTGGTTACCTGTTGGTCTGAGGCACTCTCTCCTTACCTCTTGCAACGCTCCCATCTACTGCTCAACACCATCTGCAGCCTGCACGACCTCGCGCCGCAGCCGCGCCTTGGGAGGGACGACATCTGCCGCGACGACGGACATCAAATCGCGAACCTTCACCAACAGGATTTAAGCATTCTTAGTTTTCTATCATGGTAAAGACCCAATCGACGACTCTGCGATCAGCCAGGGCCACGGCTTGAATGGCGTGGTGACATTGCTGTGTTGTCTGTCACTGGCGCCGGCTTGATAACACCCCGACCTACGGGCTTGAAGAAGTCCGCCCACATAATCCCCGGATTAGACGCGACGAGATAACCTGGGCCCGTGTCAAAGCACTTTGGTCGGACATCAACAGCCCGCCATGATCGGTTCTTCACGGGATCCCACTGCGCGGCTTCGCGCCGGGCTGAATCCCCTCTTGACGGTGTCGCTGGGGGGTTACCACGGCCACAACTCGAACAACACACCAGTGTCGGCCTTGTCCGTGAGTTCGCATGGCGCCTATTCGTCCGGCCAGACTCCCCTGAGCGCTATCCAGCCATATAACCCGCAACAATGGGTATCGTCGCCCATTGCCGGCCCGGCCCCGGACCGTAGCCAACACATGCAAGCTGCCCAGCCATTCCATGATCCCCAAAGTGAGTTTCGATTCCTGCAACTCGGAATGGTTTGATTGACAGGAGAAAGCGTCGCCGCTCCCTCCCCCGCCATATTCCCCTCCCCGCAGCGGACGGCCGCCGAGCATGACATTCGATCAGGCTCCGGTGGCCAACGTGTCTGTCGCGAGAGCACCTCCCCCGCCGATTCAGAGGGAACCTCCGGGCGCCAACACATCCTTCCCGCCTCCTCCTGGAGTCAGAGGCGCTTCGCGGGAGAGAAGATTTGGGCTCCCTTCCCTTGGGAGGAGGAGAGAGCCAGAACAATCAAGTCCCCCTGTTGAGCAAACCCCGCACAGCAGGTCTTTCAGCATGTTATCGCGGGGTGTCGGTGGTCAGCCGGCGCCGTTAACGCTTCAGATACCACAGAGAACCGATTCGGACGCCTCCCAGAATCTTGCACCTGGCGCACGACGAGCCGTCTCCACACCGGCCGTATCGACACCGACCTCGGCGCGATCACGGTCCTCCTCACAAGTGAGATGGGACCCTTCGATGCCCGTACCGCCCCCGCCCCCGGGGCCGCCGCCGTCCTCAGCAAGGTCGCAGAGTGTCCAGCGGATGCCGTCAGGGAGCGATCCAATCGTGTCGCCACCGACGCGACGGCCGCCTCCAAGCGGGATAACCGCGTTGGGACCAGTACCGCCCACACCAGCAAACTGGAGTGAGGGCGACCACATGCCGGGACCCGCAGGGCCAACCACGGAGTCGCCTAGTACAGCGGCTGTGCAGGCGGCGGAGAGCTCGATCGCTGGCAGTTTCGTCGAAGGCCCGCCACCCGAATCTGGTCCTTCCTCGGCAAGCCCAGCCGGAGGTCTGACGAGAAGCCCTGCAGTGAGACATGAGAAAGCCCAAACACTGCTCGAGCGACGGAGTGAGAGCCGGACAAGGGGAAGCAACCGCGACTCAATCGATGCTTCGGGGAGACCGCCACATCTCTCGGATATTGTGATCCCATCCCCTTCCGGGGGTACGCTGCAACGACGTCTAACGATCAGCCGCGGGACGCCGCGGACCGGGCGGACGAGCGATACTCCCAGGACAGGCGAGTCGCATGAAAGCGGACAGGAGTCGCGAACTCCACGGGCCGATGGCTCGGCACAGGTCCTATCCGGGCAGGTGACGCCGACGATGTTATCACCAAGTGCCGGGAAGCAGCCGGAACGCCACGTTTTTGCGCCAAAAGCCCTGCCGACACCCCCCACGGGAAGTCGATCATCCTCGACACATCGGGGCCGAGGTTCCGATTTCCCGTCGAGCACCCCACAGTCCCCTTCACCACTAACCAAGCAGACTGTCATTACCCAGAGCACTGAACAGTTTGCTATTGGGGCCATTGAACGGTTCAAGGCCTTCGCCCAGAAAGAGGCGGCCGCGCCTAATGACGCCGAACGGGTGCGGCTGTTTGCCGAATTTTTCGTCAGCGAGTCAAGGATACGCCGGGAGCGGTATGGGGCGGCCATAGGGGCCATGGGGTCCGAAATACTTGACTTGACGCGCGATCTGTTTCGGCCTATGCCTGCCAGGCGAGAATCGAGCAACTCGGTCACCAGCGGGATCGTGGAACTCACGCCGCAGTCGTCTGAGCCTGCGTCACACCGCGGATCCATTGGATCTGCTTTGGGCGGCATCAACACGCCGACCTCCAGTCAACAGGCACCGCCGTCGCCTGCACAGCCGTCGAATCAGAACTGGCAGTCGTCGAATTACATGCCCTCACTCTCTCCAATTCTGAGTATGAGCGTGAGCGACGCCTTGGATGAAGAGGACTCGCGGGGCCGGCCAGCAAGCCGCTGGTGGGAGGCCGACTCGACCGGTGCTCCTGGAGGGAGGATAGAGAGGTCAAAGCGGGAGTCAAAGTATATGGGCGTCCCAAAGGAGGCCCGTGAAGCTTTGCAATGGATCGACGAGCCGCACCCATCGCCTGGGGCGGGATCGAGTAAACGCGCCTCATATCCACCAGAGAAGACGGGATGGCACGACCAGGACTCGGCGAACACCCCCCAGGCTTTCTCTCAGAGCTCACTGGCATCCTCGTCAGCACCGGCAACGCCGAACCCCGATCACCTTGACGTCTCGCGCCTTGTGACGCTTCCCCCGCCGTATCCTCGCCACCACCCCGCCGTAAACAATAATCATCCGGAGCTGACGGAGACGCGTAACGCGGTTCGCGGCATCAGTGATATGACCGAGGTGGACGAAATCAAGGAACGGTTTAAGCAAAGAAGCGCACAGCTCCGTGCCGAGGCCGCCGAGACAGCCAAGAAGCGCCGCCAGGCCCTCCGGCAGCACTTACAGCAGCAGATCTCGTCGGGTGCCATGAGCTACGCCGACGCAGCCGCCATCGAAGCCGACGCCAAGGCAGAGGAACAGGCCAAACTCAGGGAGCTGGAGAAGCAAGACTTCGACACGTTCCAAGCCGCCGTCGTCATGCCGGTCAACGAGATCCTCCAGACGCGCATCAACAGCGCTACCACCCTCTTCGACTCGCTCCGCAGCCGCCTGTTCGACGAGACGCACGAGTCCAACCCCAACCTCCCGCAAGAGGAAGGCGACGAACAGCCCGAGCTGCTCGAGAAGCTCACCCTCCTCAAATGGATCTTTGAAGCGCGCGAGTCCCTCCACCGCAGCCTGTACGACCTCCTGTCGGACCGCAACGACCGCTACCGCGACATGGTCCTCGTGCCGTACCGCCTCGCGGGCCAGGACGACAAGGTCGCCTCGGCCGAGGCCTTCTTCGTCGAGGACGCGGCCAAGCGGGCGCTGGCCTATTCCGAAGAAGTCCTGCACCGCACCCAGGAGTTCCGCGACGTAGTCGAGGAGACGGTCGTGCGCGGCGTCGAGGTCCAGCTCAACGCCTTCTGGGACATCGCCCCGCCGCTTAAACGCCTGCTCGACAAGATTCCCTGCGCCGACGTCGGCGGGCTCGAAGGGTTCCACATCCAGATCCCCGCCGCCGAGTTCGCTGAGAATCCATCGTACCACGCCCACCCGCTGCAGTATTTGTATAGTCTGCTGCTGCATGCTGAAAAGAGCACATACCAGTTCATTGAGAGCCAGACGAATCTGCTGTGTCTGCTGCACGAGGTCAAGGAGGCGTGTGTGCTGGCCAAGGCTAAAGTCATGGAGCATGACCGGAGGGATCCGGCGCGGGTTGAGGAGATGAAGGCCGAGGAGACGAGGCGGTTGACGGAGGATTTAAAGGAGAAGGTTAGGGTCGTGCAGGATCAGTGGAATAGCGCGCTGGGGGAGACGGTGGGGAGCGTTAAGGAGAGGGTTGGGGGGTGGTTGCTTGAGACGGGCGGGTGGGATGAGAGTTTTGAGGAGGGGGGCGTTGGTGGTGTTTAGGGGTTGTATTGCTGGTGGCTGTGATTGCTTCGCTCTGTTGTACCTGCAAGGAAACGGGCGGGTTTTGATGATGGAAAGGCTTTTGGAGAACAGCAGGGCTTGGGTGCTATTACTTCTGAGACGGTGATCTTGATACCCGCCCTTGGCTATTTACTTCCGACGCGTATGGGCTAAGATGAAACGACACAATGATGTATATGAGCTGCATATGAAGGCGGCGCCGTATTTAGGAAAGGAAGACGGTTCTTCTCAAACATACTCGTTGGAGACCCTTTGAGATCAAACGCGCAAACTGGACTTGGCCGACTGCTGGATCAAAAAAGAAAAAAAAAAATGAGAAAAATCTAAACCAAACTTCCTCTCGGCTGAAGATATACCACTGCCACCATTCAGGGAAGAAACGGAACATGGTGCAGTCCATCCTTGATGAAAGGTCCCAAGACACGAATCGTTCTCTTCCCTCCAGCGTCTTGTTTGCTGCCAACCCGGAGCCTTGCTGCACCCCT